CCCCCCCCCCCCCCCCCCCCCCCGGCCAGGTTCAACATCAAAGTCAATCTCCAGCTCGTCACCAGCTTCATGCTGACCGGCATCTCTGTTGGAGCCAAGTATGCCCAGAATGGACAGCTCTTTGCACGCTTCAAACTCACTGAAACACTTTCTGAGGTAACTGGGTTGGTAGAATTGTCAACTGCAATAGACTTGCAATAAACTACATTGGTTTCTGCCTTGTCACTCTTTACTAGTGTAACTACTTACTGATGGCCAAAAGGTGTCAGCTAGCTACCGCTTCTGAACAGTATTTGTTTCATTTGTTACCTCAGGACACATTGGCTGGCCGGCTGGTGATGACCAAGGTGAATTCAGTCCTGGTGTTGCCATTTGGCCGTGACGGTCACAGCAGCCATCCGCCTCCCGGGGTCAAAGAGCGTGTTTACGAGGCTGTGATCGAGGAGAAGACCAAGGACTACATCTTCCTAAGGATCTGCAAGAACTGCTGTGATGAGCTAGGGCTACTGCCTGACAGAGAACTACAGGTATGAAGTAGTCTGTTCTGAGGCATGAGGAGTGAGAAATATCCCTTTTATTGAAGGACTCTACCTCCAGCAGGCCCAGCTTGATATTTATCGCTCCTCCTGCCTGAACATCAGCAGATGAAGCGAGCCGTTGTGTTAACATTTATCATAACAACCCACATCCTATCACTGAGAGCATCTTCTTATTCTCCTGGATACGCTGCTTCTGCCTGCGTACATGATACATTTTCATTTCCCTATCTCCTCTGTGGGTTCTTAGAATATTTCACACAGCCTTGATCTTTCACGCTCCTCTCGCCATCGCATATCTCTGACTTTCCTGCTCTTGAATTCGTTGTTTATTTCACTTTCTTGCTTCGTCTTTCCTTATATCTCGTTCTTCTAATTTCCACACTCCTATCCCAAAGGCAGTGCATACTTTACGGGATACCTTTTAGGATTGTGTCTGAGTTTGCATGATGACGAGGCCCTCTAGCAGTAGAAACCAAATCTTGGTGATTACATGATAAAACTGGTATAAGCAAAGGGATTGAATAGAAGTGTAAACAACCAAGGCTCCCCAAAACATCACGGTCAAAATAAACAACACGGTAGAACATTGTGCAATGGTCACTTTTGTAGGGGTGTTGCAGGTGTTACTGTCTCCCAGTCCCCGTTACTGGTAAGAACCTCGTTATAATGATGATCACACCACCATGCTTCACTTTGTGGATGATATTGGCCAAAAGATAGAAGCACCTATTTTTTGCCGAATATGGCAATTGTTTTAGGATTTTTTTGTTGTTGATCTATGTATGTCTTTTGTCTACACAATTCATTTAGCTGTAGGTGAACTGCATTCAGTCTAGTTCTAGAGGCATCTTAAAGATCAAATCTTGATTTAGCTCTTGATTGGTTGGTTTAAAAATGTAATCAAGCTTGTACTTAGTCCTATTTTAAAACTGTAGATATAATGCACATATTGCATTTATTGTGTTTAATGGAAGGACAAGACTCATGAGCTCAAGTTAAACCACAAATGAATGATTCCCATTTTATCCAATATTATACAACCCTAACAAAAAGCTTTTGTGCCGGCGGCCCGGCGCTATTCTATTTGATTGGATTACTTTGTATTGCTTATAACATAGTATCCCTGCCCTGTAGATGGATATATAATCTATAGTTAAACCAGGGTTGCTTTGACCGCTTGGTAAGCTGTCGGTGTTGTTTCTGCGTCAGGTGGAGCTCCAGTTCCAGCTGAACAGACTGCCGCTCTGTGAGATGCATTATGCTCTGGATCGCATCAAAGATAATGGCATCCTTTTCCCTGACATTGGAATGGTCCCAACCATCCCCTGGAGCCCCACCAGGTGTGTATTCCACCATGCACACAGTCTCACACACACACACACACACACACACACACAAATGTCGCTGTTAAGGGCTCGTCCAGAAGTTAGATTTACGTTGAAACATCAATGTTTTATTCTGATTATGGTTTTCACCTCTTGTGTCTCACTCCATTGATTCTATGAGAACTCCGTGATACTTTACTGTAAAAAAGGTCAAATACTAATCATTTAAGTCAGTGAAAATGAAATTTCCCTATACACACATAACAGATGGTTTCATGTCGCTGTATGGAAGAGGGAACCTTCTTTTCTGTTGCAGATGAATAGTGTAGCTGCTGCTTATCTAGTCTCCAAAATTGATTTAGACTTTTGTTTTAATTGGAATTTGGATAAGTGTGAGTGTTTCATTAAATGTGGGCAACAGAGTGAATTTAGCTGAAGTTTAAGCGCATCGCTTTCACAGTTTCTTTATGGGGGTTGCTTTGAGTTATAACAGCAGTGATCAGAATGAGATACACCCTGCTGTATGTTTTAATATAAATACACACTTTTGCACTCTAACCACAAATATACAAAACACGATAGTGAATAAAAGCTTTGCATCTTGGTTGTGTGGTTTGAGGTTGCACCGTACTAGTATACAACATTAACATTTTAATGGTCATTTTGTGTTATGACTAAAAGTTTTACTTTTTGTATAAAAAGCTGATGGCAAGATGGGCATCAAACAGCCATTTAAAATGATACCCACTGCCTTGTTTTGACCTTTTTAAATTCTTACATTTAGTGAGTGTATTATAGCGTGATGGAAACCAAATTCATTTTCATTTTAAATGTATTTAATGTGTAAATAGGTTCACAGTTGCATTCAAATGATCAATCACACTTTATTCACAAACATAAGCAATAATCAGCCCGATGTGGTCTCTCTCATGTTCAGAGCTATTACTTGTTCATGAGGCAATATTTTATCTAAATGCTTAAACGGCTACTTTGACAAAATACATAAATGACTAAGTTCATTAAAAGTAGATTTCTCTAATATTTTCCCCGTCCTCAGGCAGTGGGACGAGCAGCTGGACCCCCGTCTGAATGCCAAGCAGAAAGAGGCCATCCTGGCGATCACCACACCCGTCACTATTCCCCTGCCCCCGATCCTCCTCATTGGACCCTACGGCACCGGCAAGACCTTCACGCTGGCACAGGCTGTCAAGCACATCCTGCGCCAGGACACCAGCAGGTTTGTTTATGTTTGTCTTACCACTAGTAGGATAGTTGCACATCCTTTACTATTGTTTACCTTCCCTAAGCCCCGATTCTCTTCCATCATATCCATTCATCCGCTTTATTTTTTACCAAAATGTGATACTGTATATCGGCCTACCTGTTTTGTGACAAAGGTTGGGGTTTTCTTTTAACCAGGGTGTCTTTTATTTTGGACAACACAGTCATATTTCCCTTTCTAATACCACTGCTTTGTGATTTGCTTTTGAATATGATTGTTTATTCTTCAGAAATGACATGTTGGCCCTGATAGCTGGGAGCACTGTCCTCTTTCCTTTCAGCACTTGAAAGGTGTCTGGCGTCGAGACGGAAAGGCATTCGGAGTGTCTCGGCATGTTAATGGGTGTCAGTTTAAGTGCTGGGAAACTCGCTACATGTGAAGTCAATTCTCAGTCTTTGGTATTGATCAACAAACCTGTCAAATCCCACACATGTTGTGGTCATTTTGCGCTTCACAGTAATTAAAGAAAATATTTCTCATGAACTCAATCTACTCTCAATTGCCAGTTTATTGAGATTACCTAGAGTAGCAAAAAATAAGTCCTTTAATAAATCCTAACTTTATGATATTATAATGTGTTATAATGGGAGTTGTTTATAGTATTGAGTGTATCCTAAAATTACACCTCTCAGTATAATATAGAACAATTCAACAGTGCATGTTTTAAATATTACTGATTTTCTTTTTCTTTTGATTAACCATCTTGAGAATGAATCAACAACCTGGACATCACGAGCCTCCCTCTGGAGTAGACCGCTATCAGCCGCTGTGAAATAATGGGTGCTATTGAGTGTTTTTAGGGATGGAAAGAGGATTGTAGATGTGAGCAGGTGTGTGTTTGTGTCGCCATCAAATTGGCATCAGTCATTAAAGCTCCAGGTGCCAAGGGAGGTCAGTCAGAGGGTGTGATCGGGCATGGCTGTGCAGTGACCTCAGTTTCTAACTCCAGGGCAGTGGCAGCCTTGGGTTTGACATTAAACGTTCCAGAAAACACCGACTGAAGTGTCAAAGCTGGGCAGTGTGTGTGTGTTTGTACTGTGTTGGCGTATATACTCGGTAGTGTGCGTGTGTCACCACTCGAGGATAAAAGAGTGCTGGCCATTTGGATGAATTTGTGTTATTTGTGATGGGTGCACACGGTTAGTTTGATCATCTTTCCTGGGCCGGGATGCGGTTTAATCCGATCAATCGCGGTGTATCACTTAAATTTGCCACACTGTGTTGTGCAACGATAAAACATCGCAATGTTTCCTTCGATTATCATTTGTCCTCATTAGTTAGCTCCCTCACTGTGTGCAGATACCCACAGGAAGTCCTGCAGTTTCTTGTGTTTGAAGCGAAGCAATACAGCACAAGAACACGCATAGTGCCCGGCCTGAATGAAAAATAAATGCAATACCTCGAACAGTGTCCCCTGAACAAAAGTTCACATTTTCTGTTTGAATAAGGGAGACAGGGTTGTATGTATGTAATGTAAAAGGAAAAAGTGTGTAGCGATGTAATATTCATTCCTCCTCTCACTTTGAATGCACTTTCTATTCTATCTTTAGGATGAATTATAGATATTTTAAAAGTCAAGACAGGGGGAAGTGACCCCTCTGGACTTGTGCTGACTGCTCTTCATGCTGTTAAAATGATGTAGACGTTGTATGGATTGTAGTCGGGTGTACCTAATGTGTGTTATTGGACATGTTAAATGCATAGCTGTCGCTCGCTGTGATGTTTCACCACCGTTTCAATGGGTAACTACAAGAGACAGTTTTGCAAAGCTCAATTTGAAGTAACTGTACACGCTGTTGAGCTTAAAGGTACTTGCTCTGAGTCTACACGCTACAAGGCATTTTGTGTAAACACGTTTTGACCAGTCCAATTAGAGATTAACAACCGACTCAAAGCTTTTAAAATATTAAATTGCATTGATGGGATGACGAACCTTATCCCCTCGCATGCGGTGTCTCTTAAGACAGACATTGACGACAAAAATAACTGTAATTTTGTGTTAGTCATACAAATTAAAGGGAACCAGTGCATAAAAGTAGGTTGAAGGGTTATTTCTCTCTTAAATAGCAACAAAAATGTTATTGTGGTATCTAATTAAGCAGATAGTTTTGACTTTATGTGCCATTTCTTCCACTGAGTGTCACAGAAACTGTGTACCATGCGTGGCCTCTGACATTGTTTGTCTTCTGTCTCTACAGGGTCCTGATCTGCACACACTCCAACAGTGCAGCTGACCTTTACATTAAGGACTACCTTCATCCTTACGTGGAAGCAGGCAACGCGCATGCCAGACCTCTCAGGTATGGAAGCACACTTGCTTAAAGAAGACTCGACAGCTATGGGCAGAAACATGCTTTGTGTGCCTTGTGTATTTGTGAACAGCAGTTTTAAAGTGCCATGGTGTCTGAAAGCAAACATGGTGCTTATAAAGGTATATTTTAATATACTCTGTTTGCATTTATATGTCCTATTTGCAGGCTGCAGTTCATTCAGATTTTGAGAAGCCCTTTGTGTCTTCAATGAGCCACATTTCTATAGTATACACTGTAAAGGCATTAAGAACTTACCTCCAACACATGTACATTATATATACCTACAGCCGCCCAAAGCACACTTTTGTCTTGTAGTTGACCACATTCATGACTTGGAGCAGCCCTAGCTTGTCTACTGTGAGCCATTTAAAACCCTTGATCTTGTATATAAATGCTCTGGTATGTAAAGGTGGCTTCTTACAGAGTGAATTAGTTTCGATAATATATTTAATACCATTATTTTGAATAAGAAAAACAATGGCTTGCCTTTTAAATTGCCTGTACTTAACATAAACTCCAGTTCAGTTAAATTGGATCTTTTGTATTCAGTGGCTGTTGCTTTTCTGTTGGAGGAGACCATCCTAGCTGGAGAGCTTCTGTATGACACTCACTCATCTATACATCAACTAGATTAACATTGTTGGAAAGCCTGCAGTCCCAATAATACGTCCATATTATACAGAGATTGTTTTTGGCCGGCAGCAGTGACAGACAGACATTTGCTAACTTTAGAGACTCTACGAACTCTCCTGCATTTCAAACTCCACCTGAAGGCAACAAACAAAGGCACTCACGGATTCACACAACTTCCTCACACTGCATCAGTGATTCTAATCACATTCCAGCAACCTCAGAGATCACAAATGACAGAAAAACAGTGTCTGACTTGATAAGCCAGGGCCTAACTAGGTCACTGTTTTATTTTGTTAAGCCCAGGGACAACAGGCAATCAACATGAGTGGGTTGTCTGATTTCTGTGGATTCCAGTGTGAATTGCCCCTTAATCACTGTAGCAACCTCCTCTCTTAGCTCCCCCTTGTCTACTTTTCGATGAGTGGGCTCAGTCAAGAATTAAGACCCTGTATGAATATATGTAGGACGCTAGTGTGGAAAGGGACTGACCAACATCACAAGGAAGAGAGGGCTTGCCTTCCTTTCTGTACTTCGCAGCCATGCATAGTATCTTTTCTCTTCCCTCCTCGAGGGAAGACTCCATCTTAAAATTGTACAGTTAGGCACAGTTGACGATTGAGCCCTGATGTTTTGTTCTTCCCATATCAATACTAAGTTTGCCCTGTGTGAAGTGAAACAAAGGCAGAGAAGATGCCAGATTACGTCTGAGAAATTATTTGTTGCTGGTCCGAAACCAACTTTGTTGCTTTGGGAGTTAATTTGCAGACTCAATTAGGAGGGTTGCATCCACGAACCTAAATCTTTAAATTGGTAGATAAAGCAGGTTAAGGGAACCGCATCGTGCAAGACTCTTTCACACAATATGGATAAACAGGATCTGAATGTGAATCAGACTGATGAAGTGGTCCTCCTTCGGTTGTTTCTCTCTCTTCTGACAAATCTCCTTTTTGTCTCTCTCTCAAGGGTATACTTCAGGAACCGCTGGGTGAAGACGGTTCACCCGCTGGTCCAGCAGTACTGTCTCATCTCCAACACACACATCAATTTCCAGATGCCCACAAGGGAGGACATCCTCAGGCACCGCGTGGTGGTGGTCACCCTCAGCACCTCCCAATACCTCTGCCAGCTTGACTTGGAGCCCGGTGAGTCGTGTGACAAGATATGTAGTCCTCTTGAGTGTAGTGGCAGTCTAAACCACCTTCATTTCCTGAGGGGCTAACAAACACCATTCACATTGCTCAGAGAACATGTGAAGAATGAGCACTGACTATCAGGTGGACAAAATATTACAATTCCTTGAGTCAAACACAAGGATAGCCTCAAAAATGACCATTTGGATTCAGTCGGCACATAAAAATAGTCTCAACTAAGGTAGTATTTAATTTTGGTCTATGATACACTGCATTATGTGAAACTATATTCATGCAAATATGTTTTGTTTCTTAATATAAATATATAGAAATAATTCCGTCTCATGTTCTTTGGTCATCCCCGGTGACTCGTATCCAGTGTTGGCAGAAGCCCGCCTAGAGAGAAGCTCATTTAAGTTGTGTAAAAGACATGGAAAACAACCAGTTTGTCATTGCAGGCTAATAATTGACTCTAATGTGTTAGCAGAGGGGGCTTTCTCTGTTGCTTGGGAACACCATCTGCCTGTTTCTAATGTATTGTACATCATTAGCCCCTCTCCAGCTCTCCTCGTGTTCCACGGTGATGAAAATCGTCGGGAAACGAGGCAATTGGGAGCCAGCGAGTCTACTAAGTAGCAATAACAAATCTCCCACCCCAAACGCACAGATGCCCCAGGAAATCTATTCTATATATATCTCTATAGATAGATAGATAGATATCTCTCTTTCGCTCTCGCGCTCTCGCTCGCATTCCTCTCTTATGGCCTAGATATCTGGCATGTGGAAATGTGCAATGTTTTTTTCCGGTGTGCCTGTAAGACTAGTTCCACCTTCAGGAGTTGGACCCACACATGTTATGCCCTGCTCATGTATGCATTTTTGTGGGTGCACTTCTATATTTAAATACACACTTAGGTTGACTGCCTATGGGTGCACTCGTAGACGCCTACAGCTACGTTAACCCCTGAAAAAGAATAGCTTGAAACATTAATTCTTGATCTGCGTCCATTCATCGTAGAAGGCTGTTTGCTGGCTAATTCAACCCAAATAACGAGCAGTAAACACCTTTGCAGACCACAATGCTTACTCGGAAGTTTAAAAAAAAATGAATACAAAATCACAAAAATGTAAATATTATCTCTGATAAGTAAATTTTGTTAAAGAAAGCACTCTTAAAAGGGAAAACTGAATGAGCTGTATTTCCCCTTTTAGCAGATGTGTGCAGTCTAGTATTGATTTGTCTGGATGCTGCTGGGTCTTGCAGCCTGGTGATGAAGGTTTAAGGTTAGAGCTCATACTGTGGTCAATAAGGGAATGTCGTTATCCCAAAGGAAGTTGGCTCCTATTGGGTTCACATTGTGTGGCGGGCACCAGAACACGTCCAAGAACAATGTCAAATTCTCACAAAAATAATTTCCCAACCCAGCTTTGAGCATGAGCCGCATTTTGAACACAGTTTGACACAACTTTTAAACCCGATCTTTACTGGAGTTATCTTTTTCACAGCTCTTGCAAGTCACTTTTAAAAGTGTGAAAAGGGTAGAAAGGGACGATGAAAGGTAGAATGTGAGAGACTGGGGATGTGAGGTGAAGCAACCACCATTCATTATTAAACTGTCGTCTTGTGCAACACTGGGCCTCTGATCTCTCTCTCCCCCTCTGCTTATTATCCCTTCCTCCTTTCTTTCTTTTACTACTGTTTCACAATTCAAACACCATTATTGGCTTATTGAAAAATGGCAGCTGCAGAAATGTAATTTGGATCTGTAGTTTAGAGGGCGGGCAGCTCTGTCCCAGATGAAACATAAAGGTCCGTGTTCCTTCAGGGCTGGCTCTCTGTCAACGTGGCCCTCATTAAGACCGTCTCTGCGTCCCTCCTCATCTTCATATCTCTGCACGGGGAAACATTTCCATTTGTAATGTTGCGTATTCATGTAGATCGAAGTAAAAGAGCATGTGGGCAGGATGCAGCAGGACTACAAGTTATAGACGAGATCAACAAAAGTGCATGGCCTCAATAATGAACTGTGTGATATGAGGGTAGCACACGAATGATTTGGCTGCGTTGTTGAGCAAGTCATTTTCCGTGAAGTGATCAAAAAAAAATGACAATCCCACAAATTAATTTCTCTCCTCACGGCGACAACTGTGCAGCTTGGATTTTCATTCATCCTGTATGTGACCAATTCAGAGATTACTCAAGCACGTCATTTTAAGGATATTACCCAGAGATTATTCATGTGCATTATTTTATGCATATTACACCCCACCTTTTGGAATCAGTGTGACCTCTGTCTGCATCTAACAAATCATTCTATTAGGGACACGTGATAGAAAAGGAGGGAATTCTAGCAATGCTTCATTCCATGTTTTTAGTCTGGTTTGAGTTCCACATGTGCACATCTCCTTTGATTACTTTACACTTCATATGCTTAAATAGATACATATTCTGCAAATGCAAAGGTAAGGGCCATTGTAAAAGAAAAACAGTTTTTTATCAGCCGCACAGGGGGGACAATGCTAGCATTTCCTTCAATGAGGTGCACACTGAGAACACTGGTTTGAGGCTCTACAGTTGGAAAAATATAATCAATATGTTTTGCAGGCATTTGTTCAAAGGCTGATACAAAGGAGTGAATGTTGCCTCAAATCAATTTGCTCCACCGCTTTTCTTGCCAGCCCGTGTTTCTGTTTGTTTACTTTCTGACAGTCGCCGAGTTTATTTTGTTATTTTCTGCCGTCACATTTCATATCTGCATATACTTTCCTGTAGAAAGTCTGCCCGGGCTTCAGAGGCTGTTTGCTGGTTGTTATTCAGCCTCCCTGCTCCAGCACTCATTTGCCATGCCGTTTCATTCACCCCCCCTCCCACCCCCCTCTTCACATTGCAGAGCACCGTTTAAGCTTTTAAAATCAGGGGTAGAGCTACTGTTCAATCCCTTTCAAATGTCCACAAAACCCTGCCTTTGCTTTGCAGGGCCGGTTAAAAGAAAGGGCAGAAAAAGTGACTCAGAGGAGGACACAGTTTACAAGCTTTTAATGCTCCTGGTGAACAAAATGATTGTTTGTTAATGTGCCAATGTTGGTCATCTTAATTTTGACACACACGCACTCGCATATACCCCTGTTTTTTTTCTTCTATTTTCCTTATCAGGATTTTCGGGTGTGAAACAAGTGTGCACTGTTTATGTTTAGCATCAACAACTTGCAGTACTAAAGTGATGCTGGTGTGTTGTCTGTTTTGGCAGGGTTGTTCTCTCATATCCTTTTGGATGAAGCAGCCCAGGCCATGGAGTGTGAAACCATCATGCCTTTTGCTCTAGCTAGCAAGAACACCCGCATCGTGCTGGCTGGAGACCATATGCAGGTAACGACAAAGAGTTTCTCCAGTGGGGGGAATTAAGCATTTCTTTGCTAATGTGCTAATTACTAGATATATGCAAATCAAAGGGTATTGGGTTCATTCTCTCAGATAATTAAATACCTTTCTTTGTATTTTTAAATAAATTAAAATAATATTTGGAAGGAGGGATGCAATACAGGTACAGATAGTAGCTGAGACATCGGGTAGAGGTAATGACTCCATTTGTATCTTGCGATGGGTAAGACTCCAAATACAAAAGAACAGACTGCAGCCAATCGAGAGCTGAGGTTCTGGAGACCACTTCAGCCACAGATGACTTAAATATTAGCTCACATCAGTCGAGCAAGCCAAACGCAAGGAATTAAAACCTTATTTCCTCCTCTCCTGGTTTTAGACAGAAGCACAGATTATCAGTAGGCAGCGGAGGAACACTGTGCAGTAGCTGCTCTAATTACTTGATCTCTCTCTCTGCTATTTCTTGGAGCAAAGAAAAAGTGGATTTAAAAGAGAACGTCCACCTGTGTATCCAGCTGTCTCTTTCTCAATCGCTTTGTCTCACGGCCATCTTCTTCCACCTTTCTATCCTATATAATAGCTTCGTAGGTCCAAGGACGGCTGTGGCCCTTTGTATTTCTCCGTCTCTTCCCTCTCTCCTGTCTCTGCTCTCACTTTAACAGTTTACCCCCATTATTCATCAGTGGGAGAGCAGACTGAATAGTCAATGAAGGCGAAGGCATCTATTGATTGTTTGCTTTCTTATTAACTGTGTGGGGCCTCAGTAGAGCTAGAAGACCCTCTCACTTTCAGGCTTGAATTAAGATTCAAATGAAAGATAAATTGCAGTCTTGTTTGTCTGGGTGTGTTCAACCTCATTTGAATTAAAGCACATCGGGATGATTGGGACAAATCTAGCTCACTACACACTGAAGATGTTAAGACTGTTTAGGTATTGGTTCAAGAACTGATTACGCTTGATTTACTCACTTATTTTATTTATTGCTATAACAAGAGATTAGGTATAAAACGCCACCTGTGGTTTGGTATCGAACAATCCAATGCTGTTCTGTCTTGGCTGGAAAGCAGTGCCATATTGGAGCAGGTCTGTAACCAAGGCTGGCTGCTGCATATATACTCCAAACAAATTTTGAATTTGGCATGTTCTCAAACTGCTGTGACTTCACTGCGAGTAAATTCCACTATAATCACTGTTTGTTTAATGGCATACACACCAGATGGAAGAGGTTGCAATCTACAGTGGGACAGACAACTCTCTTTCTTCCTCAAAACAAGAATAGCCCTCAACGTAGATAATTACATTTTAAGTTAATATTTGGAATATCCTACCTAACGAATAGCCTTTTTTGAAAAAAGTAAGGGTGCCCGGGGGAACCAAACTGTGCATTCTTGTTGGAAAAATGTAAAGATTCAGCATATCAGACTGCTGTAAACACGTTGAAGAAGGGGATGCGTTCTGTATAATACATCCTGTCAAAGCAGCTGACACACCGAGGAAATTTAGTTCAAATATCTTTGGAAGCACACATGAGATTGCAAACACAAGACATTCTTGTAGACCTGACTCGCTAAGCTACTTCACAAAATGACCTGAGCCCTGTCGAGCAATACATGGGATTTCATGTGATTAGCATAGCTTCAACCAGAGGTCTAACACGTTCTCATGAAACCACCTGATGAACTGTGGTGTAAAAACCGTGAAAGAAAGGTGTGCCTAAAGCTTGTGTGCTATGTGGATTCACACCGCTATTTTAGACTTTGAATGTATTCAGCGTACTTAATTGAAATTCAGTGTTGATTAGACAGTAAAAGAAATGATGTGAGAGAATGGTAAAATACCCTTTTCATGCTTTGAAACTAACTTTCTGTCTCTCTCTCTTTCTCCATTTTGTCCTTCAGCTCAGTCCATTTGTGTACAGCGAATTTGCGCGTGAGCGTAACCTGCATGTGTCGCTGCTGGACAGGCTGTATGAGCACTACCCCCCCGAATACCCTTGTCGCATCCTCCTGTGCGAGAACTACCGCTCTCACGAAGCTATCATCAGGTAGGTGTGAGCCATCGACACCGCCTGGTGTCGAAACTGTGAGAGGGAGAGGCTGAGACACTCGAGAGAAGAGGGGGTGGGAGGAACGGGTCAGGAGGAAAAGGGGAAACATAGGTGAAGAATTAACAGACATGAGTTGATAGGAAAGAGGGGTCATTATGTAAAAATGGTCAGACTTTTCAATATTTTGAAATCTAAGTCAACCCTAATAAAGGCTTAAAAGCTGCACAAATGTTCTCCATCTTAATAGTTGTGGCCTTAGCATAAAGAATGATGATATGATGGTAATTCTTAGATTATCAGTAACTTCTGATAGATCTCCTTGCACCAACATGCTCCATTCTAATATATCCCCTCTATTTGCTTTCCTTTTGTGCTTCTCTTTCTCTCACCTCCTCTTCCGACAGCTACACGTCAGAATTATTTTATGATGGCAAGTTGATGGCGAGTGGGAAGCAGCCCTCCCACAAGGACTTCTACCCTCTGACCTTCTTCACAGCCAGAGGAGAAGATGTCCAGGAGAAGAACAGTACTGCCTACTACAACAATGCAGAGGTATGGAAGTTAGAACTGGTTTAGTTGTTCTGCTGGGGCCTCATGGTGTTTGCATATAAGTCATTATGAGATCTATCCAAGTAAGTGTTTGTGTTAATATGTACTCCTCTTGCTTGATAGTAAATGTTAAATTTTGAAGTAGGTAGGTGAATGAATAGAAAATTCATTTTTGAAAGTAACAATTGCTATCACTAGATAACACCAATATCTTCAATTCGTTTAGCACTTGTTGCTTTAATGCAGCATTTTCCTGTCCTGTCCCACAGAACTAATGTCTTTATGATTCTTATTTCCACTGCATTCCTAAAATCCTGAAGTTTAGAACTAAACTATTATACCAAATAGCTCTGCTCCCTTCCTCTTGAGTAAGGAAAGGCTATCAAAGCTTAAAAACGAGACCAATATGAAGTTAATCAGTGTGATGGCTGAAGCATGTTGATTCAGTTTGTATTAATTGATTGTGACGTGTGTGCTATAGCTAATCTGAAAAAACAAGAAGCTTCACTAAGCTACACAAATTAACTTAATGAAAATGCTCAAATTCTGATGATAAAATGTTAAAACTAACACTTCGCTGGTAATTATATCATTAATTCATCATCTGACCAAGACTGCCATATATGCTACTTACGCCTAGTTATATCTAATTTATTTCAGTTGTATCCGCCTGCGATTATTGTATTATTTAGGCTCCATTGTAGTTAGTCTACGTTGCTTTTGTCTCTGTGCTTGTATGGGTGCATAATGCACAGTTTGATGAATAATTGTGTTCAAATTATCGATATTTTTTATTATGAATCACGGTTGCTGTGCTGTAGACCCCAGTTTGTTATAAATAATTCAGGGATTTGATTATAACGACATGTCATTTATTTTAAGTTGAGTTTGGTTGACTGAAGTCCAAAGCAGAATGATCAGCACCGTTTATTTCGCCTCATCACACCCACTGTCTTTCAACCCTAATTGAAGATGAAACCCATGAATGTAATTAGGAGCAACATTTGACACCCATGATGCATGATTCACTGACAGTCCCAGCCTTTGATTGGTTCCTCTGCAGACTTGTTGGTGGTCATTGCCTGTGTCTGACCCTTGACCCTTTACTGACAAGTTCCAGCCAACTCAACCACGGCTGCTTCTTCATTTTGCTCCCAAACTGTCAGCAATGCCAAACGAATTACCTTCCGTCTCTCTGATACAGCACCCGTGTCAAACCATTGACAACATTATCATAATCTTGCTAAATCACAATGCGGTACGCATGTCCGGTTGATAGTCCTGCGCAAGTGTCTCTGATGAGCTTCAAGTGGAAGACAATATTTCCATGACGGTTTATAGCCTCTGGGAGTATGCCAATTCTTTTAATAGGAATTAAAAAACTGCTTATATTACAAAAGAACAATATTCAAGCCCCAACTCCTGCTTTATTAAATAATATCAAAGCAAATCTTAAAACTAATACACAATATATTAAATTGGAAGTAAAATCATAATCATCTGTACAGTGAAGCTTATGATGATAAAACAATTGTTGTCGCCGCCTTCGCTCATGTTCCTCTATCTCCGCAGGTATTTGAGATTGTGGAGCGGGTGGAAGAGTTGAAGAAGAAGTGGCCGGTGTCCTGGGGTAAGCTGGACGACACCAGCATTGGAGTGGTGTCGCCGTACGCTGACCAGGTGTTCCGCATTCGTGCTGAGCTCCGAAAGAAGAGAATGCACGAGATCAGCGTGGAAAGAGTGCTCAATGTCCAAGGTGAGGAAGAAACATTGACCATCGTGCATCTCCATGTGTGTAGTTACTGGCTCAAACCACCGAAACTGGTGCTACATCAATGTACCAGTTCATGAATATTTTGAGATTTAAATAGCCTTGTTGGTGTCCTGCATGCATGTATTCAGGGTTTAATATTTTCATTTGATGGTGTGTTGACATTATTCAAAGAATGGGAAATTGTAAACTGGAAGAAAGCAGCTATTTTCAGACAATAAAAAAAATAGTTGGACGAAGAAATACCAACGTCTGAATCCCCAGCTGCCTCATTCTCCATGACGCTTGCCTGACATATTTCTGTGTGAGATGACCTTCAGTCAAAAATGATACTTACAATTAGAGCTACATTGCCTTAAAGACAAATCTCTATACATCCCACTGCAGTTATCAGTTTTCATATTAGCCTTCATATCATCCATAAGGATGATATGAGTTTGTTTCTTTCCCCAATCTCTCGTCTGCTTCAGTCTCATGCAGTTCCCACTTGTATTGCATCCAGCTGCTTTCCTCAGGTCATTAACTTCCTCATTAATAATCACACATGAAACATGTGAACACACACGCAAGAAAACCCTACTGTGGTTAGTGCTTAAACTTGAATTTGTAGTTGTTTGTTTGTGTTCTATCAAAGGCTCCTTTATTTGTAGCAACACTTGGCAGTACAACACAATTGGCTTTAAAAAAATGAATGCAATCATCGAAGCTAATGGAGAAATTAAGGTTCCTCATCGTTTTCATTCATTGCAGTTTTGTTGCTTATTTCTGACAATGTGCTTCAAATTTGGTCAACCTTGAGCTAGCTTCCATCTCTTTTGTGTTTCTAATTGAGTGACATCGATGGTCTTTGCTTCTTCTAATAATGTTTTACCTCGCTGTTTTCAGAGTCCTTAGAAACTATTATAATAAAAACAATAATAAAAACACGTTTGCAGGTAAACAGTTCCGGGTGCTGTTCCTCAGCACGGTGCGGACGCGGCATACCTGCAAACACAAGCAGACGGCCATCAAACGTAAAGAGCAGCTAGTTGAGGACTCGACAGAGGACCTCGACTATGGATTCCTCTCCAACTACAAGCTACTCAACACGGCCATCACCAGAGCCCAGTCCCTGGTCGCAGTTGTGGGAGACCCCATTGCACTGTGCTCTGTTGGGCGCTGCAGGTAAATAATGGAACTTTTCTTTCTTCGCCTTAATACTGCAACGGACTGCTCATTGGCAAGATAATATAGAATATAAAAAAATATATAATCTCCATCTGTTGTTTCCTTCTTTTTTTGCGCCTTTCCAGAAAATTCTGGGAGCACTTTATCTCCATCTGCCACGAAAACTCCAGCCTACACGGCATCACCTTTGAGCAGATCAAGTCTCAGCTGGAGGCCCTGGAGCTCAAGAAGACCTACGTCCTCAACCCATTGGCCCCAGAGTTCATTCCCCGTGCCCTCAGGCCACTGCAAGGGCACCACTCTTCATCGCAGGCCCTGCACCCCCACCATCATCCTCATCCTCAGCATGCACAGCTCGCCTCCAACAAGCAGGGTCCGCAGCAGCAGCAGTCACCCCCTAAGGTGAGGTGTTTCGGATGAGGCACAGTTGAATGAATAATTGTTTCCATCCAGCTCATCTATTTTCAATATGGGCATTAAAAATCCAGACACCAAACTGCAGAAATTATTTAAAAAAAAATATATATATAAATAGGTTTAGTCAAACAATAATATTACTTTTTAGTGGATACGTTTCTGCAATTTTTCAATTTGTCAATACTAAAAACAACAATTTTGAGTTTGCACATGTAGGGAAGGAATAAAAAGAGAGAAGGAAGACAGGAAAACAGAGTAGTGAGGCAGGAATGAAAGAGAAACAGGTGGGGACAGATGATATTTTGACAAGCTCAAATGTTGCAGGGTTTTTATGTTAATGTGTTGGGTAACCACTTTGTGGTTGGTTGAAAATAGTAAACAAATTATCTGGAATAAATTGAGTGCCTCTTGCTTTTAGAGATGGAAAAAGGATAAAAGCGCTACATGAGCAGGCACAAAGAACATATCCATCAAAATCTTTATTAGATGTATATATTTATTTTTCACCACAGTTATTACTTAGCGGTCATTCATTTTGGCCCCAGAAAAACAACACAGATATAAAATTACCGTCGCAGGTTTGGCTGTAAGGATGTGTTTTGATTGTTTGGCTTTGGTGGAAATGTTTTTGCGAGTCTGCCTGTCCTCCCCGTCTGCCCTGTGGTAAAGGTTAACGAAATCCACACAGCTGTCAACCTGCTGCCATCTCCCTCTGGGCCTAATGAGCCACAGCTCCGCAGCATCAGCCGGCTTCAGACACACACACGGACACAGTTCCTCCCTCTCGCCACAGTCATACTATGTGGCGCACAACCACACAGCACACACAGACATGGTGCTGTCACTATGCAGTATGTAATATATTGTTTCCTTGAGCATATCCAGCGTGTTGCTAATTTAAAGGTCATTCTCGGTAGCTCTGTACACGGTGGAAGCACCTACTGAGATGTACAGCCAAAATAATCCATGCAAATGTCATTTAATAATATATTAATTGGGTAACTTTTAACAGTGTCTTGCCAATAGTTTCTTTTGTTGTAGGATTAAATGTAGCTGCTTCAAGGCAACTTTTTTGCCGCTGCTGATCAGTATTGCACTGATACCTTACATTGTGAGTATTATAAAATTCTACATAATCAGGTTCATTTGTCCAAACTATTGTAGTGTTTAAAGGGTAAACGTGAGGATAAAATAAATGGTTCATAAATCAATTTGTAGAGACGGATACATATTCATAACTTGGTATCCAAAGGCAGAGTGAAAGAGTAATACATAAGGATTATAGGGACTATACAATATGTACTTGCAATTACTTGTAAGACCTATTAATTTAATCAGAGTTCAGAAAGCATGCAACATGGTCACTGTGTGGCATCCAGATTACCAGAAATATATGCTTTAGTTGACTTCATATTGTGAAGTGCTGTTTTCAGACACAGATGGTGTTTTGATGCAAGTATGCAAGACTGTGACATTTGTGGTAAAATATGTCTCGCATTAAAAAGCTTTTTTGTAATTTCAGCTTTAGTGGTTTTGATTGGAGGGATGATAATTTATCATTATTTGGAAATAAGAAGTGATACTTGAGGTGGTGTCAGGATCAAATGTTTGGTATTAAGTCAGACTTGTGTGACTTCCTCTTGGCATATACAGTATTCTTCTGTGTGTCTCTCCATTACAATCTTTCTCGTATCTCTTCAATCAATCAATGGCAAGACATTGATTGCCCAGCACAGTACACATATCATATCACATCACTGACGGTGTGTCATTGAGAACCAAACTGTTACTGCTGAACCTAGACCCCTATAAGATCCAGTCAGCAGGGCCTTTTACTCTCAGCTGCTCTCCACGGAAAATTGATCGTATGAGTCAAATGTTGAGCAGGATCGTTTCTGGGCTTCGCCACTGTTCAACTCGTACTTAGGGGAAAGGTTGCAGCACCACATCTATGATTCGATAAATTGCAGAGACTTTTACATTAGTTGCAGCAGTTTTATATTTGGTTGCTATATAATGCTAATACTAAAGGTGCCATAATAAATATAACTTTTTTACATGTGGAACCAACCAACCAGATTTGACTTTGTTTACTGACCTTATCTTTTAGTTGGTACCTGGGCTCTGTCTCACAAAGTGATTTCAACATTGTCAGTCTGTCTTTCAGAATTTGCAATTATTTGATACAACTGCGAATACAGTTATTCTAGTATCTCTAAATGCCTAATTTGCAGAATTAGTCTCATTTTCTCAACAAATGGCCTTTACCTTTAAACTCTGTCCGGGTTTGTAGAGTTTGCAAAATACCAGGAACACATTACAGCTTGGCTACTAGAAGTTAGTCCTGTTTTTGTCCGTTTTTGTTTGGATGCTGTCATGAATGTTCAGGTAATAGTTGGAACTGTGCGATTGTATTGTAATGGCAGGCGTTCCTGCAAATTGTTTCCATCCTTGTGTTCATAACTACTTGCTAAAATACTTGAAAATTTGCTCTTAATGCCAAAGACTGCTGGTAGTAGTAGTAGTAACATTAATACTAAAAAGTGGACATTATGAACTTCATAATGATTTCACAGAATCACTCGTTTTCCTTTTATTATGGCTGGCGTTCCTTCCCTGAAATGGAAAAACTATCAGCTTTATATAATATCTGCATAGCAACAGAGTGGATCCCGTAGAATGGAGGATGTCATTAATTTCCCGCTCGAAGCACGCTCTCTGTCAAAACTATCTGTTAACACCACAGTCAACCTGGAGAGACTGCGTTCTACAAAACCAGCCACTGACGGAGCTCAAAGTAGATTTTTGTGTATTCTTTCCTCTAATGATTACTAATAGATGAGATATGGTCCACCAACACTCAGATATGTGGAGATCTCACGTGAGCCCAGTGTTTTGTATTCGCATGTGTCTGTGAGCACGCCCCCACATGAGTAATTGTACACGTGTGTCACCACTGATCAGCTGTCAGTTCAATCTCTCTGTGTACACGTATATAGTAGATGGAGCTGTATTGTGAAGCCCCCGAGAGAAAGAGGATGGCGAGGGAAAAGAAAAGATCTTTCTTTGCAGACGTGGTAACTTGTTGTAGCTTGAAAAGCAGTCACAATGCAGTCACCATACTGATCCCGGATTAACGAAGGTATACGTCTTCCAAATGCAGTGGTGTGTTTTTCATACATTTTGGACAAGCTGTGTCAGGATGCGACTGTTCATTAATAGCATATATTGATTAAGTGGATTTGGTGTTTTTAGGGGATTTTTTTTTTGTTGATAAAATCCTTTAATTATGGCTCTTCCATAAAAGTGCTTTAAATAATTTCTTAAATACATCAGTGGTATTAGTGAAGTGGTCACTGAGGAGCATATGCATACTACACCGTTGGTGATCTGTTTATTCTATATTTGGAGTCAGTATGTGTCTTTGTGCGTGCGTAAGCTTTGGACGCAGTTAGAAATACTGGGAGGCCGTACTACAGGACGGTAAAGAGATCTGCGATAGCGTACCAGGGAAAGTACATTACAGTACAGTATGTAGACAAAAACTCAGTCCCTTTTGGCAAGATGTTGATCCTATAGCTGTTTTGACAGATCTGGGATAGTCACGCGGACCAAACTGCAACCGCTGTATATCCAGTTCCTACTATTTATTGATTAACAGTTACGACGATCGTTTATTTACTCATTTCTTCTCCATTGGGCCTCTATGAACTCTTGAAGTCTTGCTTCATGACTTTCTAAGAGTTTGTTTTTTTCCTACAGGGCAAACATGCAAACCACACGGAGCACCTTCCACCTGAAGGATATGGTGAGTTTATCCCTGTTGATTATCTAAGTATTCAAAGCTTGTAGCTCAGGCAGGCTTAGGCTCAAAATGTTCACTTGACTGCATGTAGATGAAGGAAAAGGAAAGGAATCTAATGCAGGGGAAATTTGAGACTCATCAAAGTATATTACTACGGTACCATTGATAAACACTGCATCAAAAAGTCAGTGTTCTTGTAGCAGTAAAAAACAGTTGAAATTGATTCAGCATGTACAGTATAGAAATACATTTCCTCCACATAGCATTTTTCTCCTTTATTTCTATTGTCGGGTCTTACAACAGAGCAACAGTGGAAGAGTTTCCTTTTGTTTCTTTTGTTGTCTCTCTGAACACAAATGAGCACACATCACAACAGCTTGAAATGAGCCAGTCTAATGCAGCAGCGCAGATGGATGCATGACGGCCTGAGGCTATTGAAGCCAGCAGTGCGATGCAGCCTTGAACAACACAGCAAGGAGTTGTTAATGCGATGCTTACTCCGGGAAGACAATCGGTTTGTTTCAGCTGCTGCAGATTGTCAGCCAGCTAAACTGAAACAAATCAAATGAAATTCTGCCTTTTAATGCAGTTTGGGCATCGGCTATTCATAGGTCGTCGCCCTCCTCTCTGATAAAGTCAGAGAAGTTGTTACCTAATATTTTTTATATAAATAGTTGGATATGCATTGGGCTTAGTGTGTTGCCTGCTATCAATGTGTCTTCACATTTAGATTAAGAACCATTTGCATTTACTTGTATTTCTATGCCATCTTCTCTCATTGCAGTCCAACCCAACCCGGCTGTGTTGATGGGAAACCCTATTCGGGCATTCTCACCACCCTTGGGTGGCACGCCAGCTGGCATGGGCAAGTCACCCAGTCCTGTTCAGAGGATAGATCCTCATACAGGCGCCAGTATCCTCTACGTCCCAGCTGTGTACGGTGGCAACATGGTCATGTCCATGCCCCTACCGGTAAGTTTCCTGCTTCTGGTAACAAACTGCCAGATACGCATGTCAGATTGTATATTTAGCCAGTGTGCAATACAAAGTCTTATATTTTGACTACTACAAAGGATTTTATCAAATCGCTTTTTGTTTTGTAGAAAAGAAAAATATGTAAGATCCGCAAAGAAAATGTGTAAAATATGTGCCTGTTTTATCACCTAGTGTAATGTGTAACACGACTTGCATTGTTTAAGATAATATATCATAGGTTTGCTCTCAAAGAACAATCTAAAAATGTTTAATAGCTCCTCTTCTGTGTAGTAATTCTCAATAATAGTATACCACAGTAAAACTATTTTGTCAACATTTCTTTGAGTCATATTACCCAAATGCATTGAGGCTTATTGTAGATTAGCTCTGTTATTATGTAGCTCACGTCTGTAAAATGCGAAACAATTTAGCTATTTGGTTTCATGTGTTGCTGTTTGTTATTGTCATTATGGGTAATGTGCTGTCAGTTTACCTTCCTCTCTTCTGTCATGGTGTCTTAATCAAAAATCTGTCTATTTGTATTTCCTTAGTTGCCTTGGCCAGGTTACCAGAATCGATTCCCTGTGGACCCTCGCATCATGAGCCACCCGGCAGCCATGGCCTACAACTTTAATCTGTTGCAGGCCCAGAATCGAGGCTCCCCCATCCCTTACAGTGGAGTGGCCCACCCCACTCACCTAGGAATGGGCCAGCCCAGCCCTGACAAGGAGCTACAGGCCGACCCCATCAGAAATGGTGTGCCTCAACCAGCCAAAATCACAAACTGCTATAATTGTATTCCATCAAATGGAAAGAAAGAAGTAGTCAAGCATATTTTAATAAATTTATTTTCTGGTTTTGACTTCTTAGGTAAATTGGAAGGATGTCCAAAGTCAGAACAGAGCCGTCTTCAGACACCAGAGAGGAAAACCACCGACATGAAGGAAAAACAGGCAAGTTGTTGACATTTATGTGTTTCATTATCCTTAAGCAACGTATCTATTTTTTATGTAGAGATCCACGTCTTTGCTCACGGGGTTTATTTTTTACTCCAGGGAGATTTAGACACAGGCCAAAGCCGAAGTCTAGACTCACAGCCAGACGGGCTTGTTGGATTTCCCAATGCGCTGCTCCATCGAAAAGATCCCTCAGCTGCCCAAAGACCCCTCAACTACCACCTGGCACCACCCAACCCAGCTTTCCCTCCACATCCTGCCAGTGGAAGAGCCTTCCCCCCACAGTATCCAGTCTCCAGGCTTCCTTATCGGGTCAGCCAGCCTCAACACCCAGGGATGGCCCCACCGAGTCAGCAGCAGCAACAGCTCAGCCCTGCCTACACTAGTGGTAACCACAACACTTCCTTCTTCATTGGCCCCATACCCCCTCACAGGGCTGTCCAGTCTCCTACTTTGGATGGGCCGGAGCCTGGAGGGGTGGAAGACATGAGCAGCTCCATTAGGACTCCGATGGGCCACCCGGGGGGCCACCACCCAGGCCTGTCACAGCATAACAGGGTCAACAGCTTTGGGGAGGACGGACAGGATGGAAGCCTGGGAGATAGTTTGGGTGAGTGGAGCATCATTTTTTTTTTTTTTATTCGGCAAATCCTTAGAGTACTCTATAAAGTTAGTCCAGATGCATGTTTGCCCATATTATCACTTGGTATTTGGTCTATGGCACAGAATCATATGGTTTTCTATCATCTATAGAAAATGAATGCAGTCAAGCGATCACAACTAATCACGTGGTTCCCCTTTTAGACCTCCAGGGTCCCTTGGCTCTAGAGGCCCTGAGCCAGCAGCAGCAGGCAGCCAGACTGGGCCAGTGGGGGGAGGCGCCAGGCCCTTTTCTCCAGGGTAGCGTCCCCTTCCCTCTGCCCCAGCAGCTTGCCCACCTGGCTCAACCTGGCATGGCTCGCTTCCCCCCTCAGCTGCTTCGGGCAGCTAGCTGGGGCCTTGGTGCCAATATCGAGGATGAAGCTGTTACTTCTGCTTCCACTGGACCACCTTTCACCAGGTTAGACTAAGCAACAGTTTGTATTATGTCATTGGTATTGGTTTGGTAACTTGATACTAGAGCCATATTACAGTTCTACTGTTGAACATTGAAGGTTTTTGTGTAAGATTTCAAATTGAGTGTACAGTAGAGCTAGCTGAAACGAGATAACGGCTTAAAATTGGACCGCAACGATTTCTGTATCTTGTTGGTTGCTCCTCAATTATTGATAAACCTTGTAAATTGTTGTTCCAGAATAGTGTTCTTTTCCATGCTGCTGCTTACAAACATGATACAGTTCAGACGTAAAGAAATACATTTTCAATTCCTAGGTACCCGGGCCTCTTGAGAGAGATGCCCCCACAGGAACAACCTGAACCCAGGGATGCAGCTGAGATGCAGCCTCCACCTCAATCTCGTCTCCTCCAGTACCGCCAGTCCCAGTCCCGTGCCTCAGGTGACCCTTCATCCTCTTTAGCCGCTACCCCCAATCATGCTGGACCTTTCCCATCAGGACCCTACCCCCATGACGCAGGCCGCGATCTCCTTAACGACAACCCTCTCAACAACCCAGCTCTGCAGCAGCATCCGGGAAACCCCCTTTATAATACTGGTAGCTACCCCCATCAGCCACCAGCCCACCCTACCAGCAACCCTTCCTCCCAGGTCAAATACATGCTGCAAGAGGCCCAGTGGCCTCACGGTGGAGCTGCGTCAGTGAGCCCACCACAACAGAACCACCTGTTGGGGAACCAGGGCCACGGCCTTCCTTATGGTCTGCCCATCATGGCTCATCCCAGCAGGCAGGAGCAAGTCCACCTGATGCAACTTCACCATCAGCACCACCAGCAGCAGCAGCAGCACCACCACCACCACCACCACCATCACCACCAACAACAACAACAACAACAACAGCAGCAGCAGCAGCAGCAGCAACAACAACAACAACAACTACCGCAGCAGCAACAACAACAACAACAAAGTCAAGGTCCAGACCAGGAGTCCTACCACCCACTTTCTCCCAGAACATCAGCAGCCACAACCCTTCACAACGTAGATGAGGTATGTTTATTCATTGTCAATGTATCTAAAACCTCTCTGTACTAAAATTGAATGTCACAGGCTTCAGTGCAGGCTAAAACTACTTTAAAAAGAGCTGTTGTGACTATCTATTTTAATCAATCATCATTTTACATTGTGTGCTTGAAGGGACAAACTCTGTATGCCTGCGGTTCCCATAACATCCTGGATGGTGTTTTATTTAGTTCATATAGGAATGAGTGCAAGCGTTGTGCCTGCCTTAATATGGGCAACTTGTTCACTGAACTCAATGTTGCATTTAGAATTCACTGTTTTATTTCACAGCAACTACAAATATCTGCTTCAAAATGCACCTGGGAGAGAACTTGTTTCATCCCTCTTTCTCCCTTTCTGCCCGTCTGACATTTTCTGTAAAGGTTCACCTTGGCGTCACCTGGTTTAACTCCTGTAAATGGTTTAATCGGTCTTCATACTTTTACAGTTGTAAGCATTATAATGGGATTAGCTGAGTCTTAGCAAGTGCTGTGAAAAGATTTTTGTGGACCTCTGCCTCTTCAGGGCTGCAAGCCTCTTTTATTTTAAAGGTCATATTGCCCACCCCTCTGACTTAATAACCCATTCTCACCATTTTCTCCTCATCCATCGTTGCCGTCTGTGCAGTATGAACCCAGAGGTCCAGGCCGGCCTCTCTATCAGCGTCGCATCTCTTCTAGCTACCCAGATGAAGCGTCTCCAGCCAACGCCCACAATGTCCTGTCCCAACAGACCCAGCCCTGCACGTCAGACCTCCAGGACCACCCCCATCAGCACATACAGCATCATCAGCACCCACATGCCCCCTACGGTTACCCCTCGCATGACCTCTGGCCTAGTAATGGTGGGGGTCCCGGCACGTTCCAGAACATTCCATGTAACGGAGCCGGTACACTCACTCAGCACCGGGATCTTCTGGGTAAGCACCGCTAAGTATGCTGTTGTTAACCCTCTGAACCCAAAGAAGCGTCGGGCCGTCATATGTTTCTCTCTGTGGCCTTGATTGATTTTCACTGCAGTATACAAGTCCTGCACCTCTATGGAAACGGCACAACCTTGACTAGAAGTAGAGAGAACTCAACAATGTCTTCTGTGCAGTATAACACAGTTACAATGCCATAAATCATTACAAAAAGGGAACAAAAACAAAAGTATATTTTCTTTGATAATGAAAAAAAAAATGGAGGCTCTACATGTATACATTGAACTATTTTGATTTTTGAAAGATGATAATCTGACTATTATGACTGTGTAGTTTTAAAGCGTGCTTTTCCATCCTACCAGCCTGTTTTCGGGTTCAGAGGGTTAAAGCATTATAATCTTTTACACAGCGTTGTTTTGAGAACTATTTATCATGTTCCATCCTGTTCCATCCTGTTCCAGCTTCCAAGGCCCTTCGTCAGACAGAGGAGCAGGTGAAGGCTGAGGTCACAGCAGCACAGCAGACACACCCACACTCCCTCAACTCCCTTCAGCATCTTGGACAGTTTCCTCCTCTCATGGCCAATAACAAGCAGCAGCAGCAGCAGCAACAGCAACAACAGCAACAACAGCAGCAGCAGCCACCGCCACCGCCGCCGCCACCACCCCCGCCGCAGGCTCCCACAGAGGCCAGTCAGGGGGCTCCAAATTTGAGCAAACCACCGACCATGTCCTACGCCAGCGCCCTCCGTGCTCCACCCAAACCCCGAGCTGTTCGCCCTGAACAGGTCAAAAAGAACAGCGACCCTCTCTCCCTCTTACAAGAGCTGAGTATAGGAAGTTCAAATGGTAGCAATGGGTACTATTCCTACTTTAAATGAGTGTCACCCCTCCCACATATTAAGTAAGTGATGAAATATAAAACTAAACAAAAAAAAAAAAAAAAAGGTAAAACTGTTTCTAAAAACACCAAAAAAAAAAGATAGTGCATTTATAAATTGTTTCTATCAGTAGGTTTTTTTCTGCATTTTGTTTCATTTTAACTTTTTATTTGTAACAGTCATCTTTTCTCCTGTTTCACATATCTGTGAGGAAAATAAGTATATATAATGAATGCATTACTGGTATATATACATACTCACTATGTATATATGAATATATACTTATATTATCTACACTTGTATATGTACGTAATGCTAAAAAAAAAGTTATAAAAATAAAATAAATTAAAAAAAAAAAAAAAAAAAAAGAGTTTGGTTGACCACTTAGCTACCTGCATATTTTTCCTAATTGAAGTTGGTTTTGTTGGTTACTAAATAAGTATGTTGAAGTTTTTATCATTTTGTATTCTTCAGTTTTGAGTGGACGTCACGTCTTGATTTTTCATACTACTGTAGTTGTGGTAATGGACAAAAAGCTAAGTGGTCAACTGACACAGAAACTACATGGAACAGTGTATAGAAGTAGATCAAATTTCCCCTAATCTGTAAATATGAAGAAAATAAAAGACTGAATTGTATGCCACAGACATGTCCTTAAATTCCTGTATCATGCTAGCTTTTGCATTATGAATTATTTTCCGTTTGTTGGCTTCTGATCCTTAATTCTTAGACATCCTGGGAGAATAGCTGGGAATTATTTTCAGTGATTTAGTAGAAAATGTGATTATTTACTGCTTATTTACTAAAATAACAATACAAATATTGACTGCGCATTTTTTACGCAGATTCCTCCCTTGTTTGTTTTAAGGATCAGAGAGCAGCAGACGTCACTGTCTGTGATCAGATTATCCCAAACTGCTTCGCTTGTGGCCGATGCTCAGTCATTTTATTTTATTGTATTTCTTTTCTTTGTGTCAACAGAAATCTTCAACACAGAAGTTGTTTCAATAACTGTTGAGGATATGAAATGGGTTATATTTTTTTTTTTGTCACTAATTGATATTGAGCTTTTTTTTTATTTTTAAAAAAGGTTGCAGTACTCTGAAGGTTTGTGAAAGTGAAGGCAAAGAGGTGAGGTCAGAGTGATGTCATGATAGGTAAGTTGAAACGGAGGGTGTGATCAACACTGTCTGTCAGATGTTTTTGAACACGCTAAATGCAAGCTTTTTCTGGTTAAATCTGAAGTATATTGAAACTGTAGATTCATAGTAAATACCCTTTAATAATACACTAGTGTTTGTGGCTTTTTATTTGATTAGAAACCACCTTGATCTTGGTCACAACAGCAAGCAGCATACTGTATTTGGATCATTGGTGCCGTCTATGCTCTTAACATACTGTTGGTCGTATACTTTCCCAGTTTCTAGATGCCTTTTCGTAGTGTAAGCCAGATTGCCCAAAGACCATTTTGCCATCTTCTAATCTCTGAATAATATGAACCGTATAACAGACAATAATCCAAAATCTCACACAAAAGGTGGTATTTGCTCCCAGTTCCAACAAAAGCGTTGATCATTGATTATAGAAGTATAAGTCAAAAGCATTTCCCGGATCCCTCCTTTTCTTTCTGACTTCATGGAAATTAAAGCAAATGGATTGCTCATGCCTTTCAACACTGCTTGAGATTTAACCCCAAAAAAAATCCTACACAGTGAAAGTATACAGTACGGTGTTCAAAGACGTATGACTGGTAGTGTGTTTTTTCGACTGAGCTAAATAAGAACAAATCGTTAATGACGTTTGCACGTTGTTACTGGTCATTCAATTGCTTTATTCACCTTTTTTTCAGTCTGATCTGATTAATAAGTTGATGTTAAAGCGGTAGATTAATCTTCCCTTTTTAATTGAATTGGAAAAAAGCTCAGACTGTGCTTCACATTAGCGGCGTCAACACTACTTTCGTCAGACACGACGACGTGATGAACACAACACATTGAACGTTCACGTTTGAGGTCCGGTCAGTGAGTTGGTTGCTCTTTAGTCGACATACAAACGCACACGGAAGCCACACAGCTTTCATGCACATGAATTTCACTGCGAACATAGTGAAGCCTCTGTGATCTGAAGTACCTTGCAAGAGAAATATAAAAAGATGCCGATACTATATCTGCCAGGGCTTTTTCCTTTTTGATGAAAGCAATACTGGAAACAGTCGTCCAGTGCTCGGTCCTGTTCTATGTAATTCATTTTAATTGTTAGAACACCACTGCCCCATTTGCAAATTCCAACATCCTGCTGTTTCATGGCTTTCATACATCATTTACAGTTAAATCTCTTAAAACGTCACCTCCCCCAGAAAGCTAGTGCCCCACAGCAAATAACTTAGATGTGTTTTTAACAGTCAGCGGAGAGCTTAGTTGTTTTCTTCTTTTTATTTTTTGTGCGTTTTTAAGTTTTGACATTGTAATTCAAAGGTCCAGATTTTCTGACTTGGTGGAGAACAACACATACTTGTAAATATGCATTTTCTAGGTATTTACAAACAAGAACTTTGGGATCGCCTCAATTTTGTAGAAGCTGTTCAAAGAAGAGGTATGCCCTTTTTAATTATGCAAATTCACAAAAAAATAATAATTCTAAAAATGGACAACAACCTAGTTGCGACATCTTGTTGACAACTTTTTAGATTTTTTTTTTTTGTTTCTTTTACATAAGATGGTGTCTGGCTGATTTGACAAAGAGGAGAACTTCTGTTGCAGCTGTTATAAGATGACTTATTTCACTGTACAATACATATTTTTAAGTATATGTTGCTGAATTTGTCCTGTTCTGTTATCTCACCGCTGTACAACAATCAACATGGTTTGGTTTTTGTAATGTGAAGTTTTTTCTTTTCATGCATGTTGAGATGACCTGGCTGGTTTGTATCCCTGTTTTTATTAGTTTGTATTGATTTGTGGATGAAAAAAAGAAGAAAAAAAAACAAAAAACTTTTGTTCAACCTACAGAATCAAATTTTGGTATATTATTTGATGTGTACAATAACTTGTGACAATATCAACAAAACTATTATAATATTTTACTAACATGTCAATCGAGTATGTAATGGTTATGTAAGTTCTTCTTTTCTGCGGTTTCTTAGCAGCGCTAAAGCGGAGGTTGCTCCCTGGTGTGTGTTGTATTTCCGAAGCTTTGGACACGTGTGTTTGGGGGAATCATCTCTCTCCAAAGCAGTCGTTGGCTAATCTCTGAAGTTGTGCAATACTAATATTTCACCGCTTCTTCACTTTTATTTATTTTTTACACAGAAGAGATTGAGCCAAAGACATTTTAAAGGGATTTTATTTACAAATCTGTGTCATTGCTGATTTGTTTTTATGGCTTCCTTTTAGTCCTTTTGTTTCCAAAATTAGTTGATAGGATCTTTGCTTTGAAACAAAGGGTTTTTACTCTTGTAATGAAGTTCCACCTCTTAATATCGCACCATATATCATCATATGAATTACTTTCTTTAAAGAAAACAAAGCGAAACCAACGTGTGTGTGTGTGTGTGTCTGGCAGGCGCATGGAAAGGGAGCAACCTTTTGCCCAGCCAGTAGAGAGCACTATGTTCAGCCTTCTATAAACGCCACATCTCTTCCTGTTATCTGTTTGCTCTCCTCTGTTCTTCCCTCGCTGCAGTGAATCAATGGCACACCTGTTCCCCCAGCCTCCCATTCCCATTGGTTCCTCCCTCGTGGGTACAAAATAATGAATAGATCTGTTTTACTCTTCTTCATTTCAATTGGTGGTGGTTATAATAAAGGATTTAGACTGTGTTTCAAAAGTTTATTTTCTTTATTTGTTTCTCTATTAAAGTGTTTTTATTGAAACTGCTCGAGTTCTTTCTCTTTTTTCTTCATCCTCTGCTTGTGTGCCGATATTCAATACCAGCCGATGTGCACAGGAATTATTAGGGGTTTGAAGTTAATTAATTAAACGTCAAAGGTTTCCACTATCTTCCTAGAAAATGGTCACAGTGTCGGCAGCAGCTTCTCCTTTGTCGTGACCTGGCTCGTAGGTGGTGACAAAAGAAGGGAAATGCACACAGTTGTACTTGGAAGATTATATTTATGTGCAGAATTTGCTAACTACATGTATGAAATACTCGGTCAGTAGGTCAGTTAGTGAATGTATGAAAGGGCGTAGCCAACAGAAAATATGCAAGGAGAGCTGGTGATGGAGTGACCAGCTGCATCCAGTTGGACTAATTTATTGTCCGCCTACCAGGACATGAAGGGACACACAACACTCACTAATCCGCACTCCTTTTGTCTTTGATACATGGAAGCAAAGGAAACAAACAAGACACAAAGCAGTCTCATACAAAAGTTTTCCAAAGCTTATTAAGATTTAATTTTTTGGTTACAAAGATACAGCACATTTCAAACACACCTACACAGAATACACTGCATTCAGAAATGTGTTTGATTTGATTAACGAAATGGACTCAAACATAAGGAGAATAAAGAAATGCACTACTTTTACATACACTTTTTCTTTTTGTTTCACTTGTTTTTTGTTAAAACTTATCAGAAAAGTCGAAAGAATATATAATTAGAAATAAAACAAATGGACTTCAGCCCTAAACAACCTCATGACATGGACGGTTGCTCTCACAAACCGCTGCATGTTTTGCACAAAAAGTTGCTTAACTGTGTCAATATACACGGGACAGCAGCTGTTTCATACAGAAGGCGATGCTGAGCAAAGTAAAACAAATGTCTCAGAATACCCACAGCTACAGTACAACACAAGACCGTACAGGGTGCTGTCAAGAAAAATCACATTTAGCATGAAATTTGTGCTAAACCTGAATAACTTTACTCCTGTGGTGGTGTTAATCATACTTTCTCTGTTGTGATGTTGCACAGTCGATGTTGCACTCCGCCTCGGAAAAGGTGTATAGTATTGTATATGGTTTTGTATACAATACACAATATATTGATATTGTATGTGGTGTGAAGACCCGGTAAGCAAAACCATTTTGCCACGTGTTTCTAATGGGTCATGATGACTCATGAAAACGAACAGAGAATTATTTGTATCAGTTTGGTTTGGAAGCTGTCAACAACAAGTAGAAGGCCTTGAATGTGCACCTGCTAGAGCTGAACCTTTTCCAACATGCAGACCGTGTGGGTGTTTAGCATTCAGCCGGCCACACGAACAAACCTGCTCTGTGCTGCGGCTTTGCCTGAAATCAGTCATCTTTAAAGGTTCTTTCGTAAATCTTAGAAATATAAAATGCACATTTGAAATACATATGTCGAAACTTATCTTACTTAATCGATATTTCTTGTAAGTAAATGATTCCTTGAGCGATCCCACACAAAAATCCACAGATGACCAGACCGATATATACAAGATATCAAACATGAAATCAAAGAAAAGTCACTGCTTCACATGACAGGCCGTAACTGTTTGAACTATATTCTCAGAATGTGAATGAAACTAACTTAACCTTAACCCTATAACATATTTGGGAGACCAAACCAGACCATGTCACATAACAGTGACGTTTATTAAAAGATGTTTAACATTTCTTTTTAATGTGCTGGCAGTGAAAGTTTCAGCCAAAAAAAGAAGAAACAGAAGTAGAAGAGCTGTTGGCTCTCACTGAGACGTATGGTTGTTTCTAGGCCTCAGGTCAGATTTGAGCTCTGATCTCCAACATGAACCATAGCAAAGCAGGTGCTGCTGAGGACTGCCTTATTTTTCACTCTGGGTTGAGCATACAGGAAAAGGCAAACATTCAAAATGTATAATTGCAGGAAGGTAATTTTCCCATCTTGGCTATGGTCCATCCACAACCAAACCAGTTTCTGTCATCATGCCGTTACTCTTTTATTTCCAGCTCCTGTTCTTGAAATTAATTTTTACTCAAATCTGTTCTCAAAACAAAAGACACAGTCACTCTCATCCTGCATTGATCTCTGTCTGTCTAGCTATCACTCGACTTGATCCGGCTCGGCATCCATGCAAGTCTCCCACGGATTCCTGGGCATCTGGGGCATGGAGAGGAGCAGGAGGGCGATGCCAGTGAGAAAGAGGAGAACGAAGCCGGTGCAGGCACAAGCGAAGGACCAGGCGTAGTAGTACTCGATCCAGATTGTGTCCTCGCTCTCGATCATGCGTTTGATCGACTGGCGCATCACTTCCAGTGAGACGAAGGCGCAGAGACCTGGGATGGACAGGGATGTGTGAGCATGAGTTGGGTAGTGCAGCTCTCGTCACATGACAAATCATGTGACCACAAAGGCAACGTGAGAGGTTTTTTTTGCATTCCAAAATGTAAATGCTGCGGGGAAATTGAAATTTGGTTGGTAAACTGGACTCACCTGCAAATGCAAAAAACATGCCAGCAGGTTTGAGGAGGTAGTCTCTTCCTTTGCCTTTACCGGTACAGGATCCGACCAAGCACAGAGAGCCCAGGATCATGAAGGCTAGACTGAAGATGGAGATGGCTGCGGCCGAGATGTTGTACTCTGGAGAGAAAGAGACCAAGAGTGTTGACATGAGGTAGTTCATGAATTACCTTTACAATCCAATGACATCAAATATGTTAAGATCATTGTCATCATAATATGTAATGTCACATTGTTCACATGGAGTGAAATGCATTTATTGTAATGTGTGTTAGAGACATATTTTCTACAATCAAATGTAAGAAACTTATTCAAAAGTCACATCGCTACTCTTGTGTAATTCGCTGTTTAGTTACTTCAACACAAAATCACCACACATCTTTTTATAACCCGTTTGACATTATTTTGAAACACCCTATTTTACATTTTGAGCCAGTATGTTTGGATCCTTTAGAAATTAGCTGGTTTTAGCAGGGCACAGCCTTGGCAGAGGTGGGCTCTCTTCGAGCCCCCTTCTAGTTCTACATTGTTCTTATTGTTAACAAATCCCATTAAAAATAACAGACAAGAACGCTTCAGTTCATCTCCTGAGACTTTTATTTTTTGTCTGTTACACCCAAGCTGTCAAGTTCATGCTGAAGACATACAAAAATCACAGATGTATAGTTTCTTCTTTTTTTTTAAATGTTGTTTCCTAAAACAGTTGAGCACTGTAGTTTGTAGAAAATATCGTTCAAACTGAATAAACTGTGCATTTGTTTGGGGCACAGACTCTGTGGGATCGACTCAAAGTAAACTACAGTGGCCACATTCGTGGTAATGATGGAACATGCCACCCAGTGCAACAGTGTGTCTCATTGATGTGCTGTTAATAGTGTTTGGACAACGATGGAGCTCTATGGCACAGAGGAGGCTTCAGCTACGCAGGTAATAACTACACTTTTTGTTGGTTTTGGTCTTTTCATGGAATTCGTTGACTGTAAGAAAAAGACTCGCTATTAAGGCAATAACCTTTCATTCAACATACAAATATGCTATATGATTGTAATTTGTTTACAGATAACGGGTGTCTCAGTACAGGGACAGCAGCTGGCTTGTTTTTTTCCGATCAGAGAGGTGGATGTGATGGGAGGCCTTTGATCTGCCGCCTGTTTGCCTGTGAACCATGCCCAGGGGAGAGGCACTCCTTTGGGGGAGAGAGCCTTCATCTTCTACTGGCAGGTGAGGATGAGCCGCACCCTGAACACGTTGTGCTCTCTGAGATACTGCACGTCTGTGGAGCTCATTGGCCGGCTCAACACCAAAGTTTCTCAAAAGCCAGAGCAAGGGAGACATGTGTTTTGTGTGCACTGGTGAGAAAGACAGTTCTCCAAAATAAGATGGCACAATAAAGGTTATGTAGACATTTTGCTCAGTTTAGTTATGTTTGGAAAAGATATACGAACAACCTCCAAATGTTAAGATCTATTCTTACAGCATCCATGACTATTCTCAACTTGTAAGAATTCCATAACAGTCAATTTATTTTCCCCTGGCGAACTCACTATTGTGAAGAGTCTGTACTGTATGGCTGTGATACAACATGCGCTGGCTGTACGGTCACAGCTGTAACTGGAGAGAGAAACATGGAGAGAATGGGGGATGGAACAAACACACACAGCTCTAAAACGTTGACTGTACCGTATGTACAGACCGTATTCGCTTGCACTGTTCCTGAGGAGCCATGTGTCAGTAGACAACGGCTGTGTCTTGAAAATAATCTGGCGATATGATATGTATTTGCAATATATTGCGATTTAAAAAAAAAATCAAATTTTAGAACAACTGTCACAGTGTAAAGAGCACACCGTCATATACATACAATCTGAGTAAAAAACACATTTTATTTGTTTTATGCAATCAGAACAGTAGGATCTGCATTTGCATTTATTGCAACATCATAGCACTACTTTTTGTGCAGTCTGAGCCACCTTCTGTCACAAATCTTTGCATGTAAACTATTAGCTAAACAGAATCTATACAGTATCAGTATATAAAGAAATAGAAGTTTTTCCAGTTATTACCTGCGTGAGCATGTTGACTTTTAGCCTGTTGGACAAAGGGTTGGGAAACAATAAAAGAAAATCCAATTGCCTTTCACCCAGAACTTCTACATATCCAATGTTGAGTTTTATCATTGACAGCTGGTCCAATACACCTGCTGTGACACCAATAACTGTTCTGAGGTCAGTAGTAAAACATGAGTGGAAATCTGAATCGTAGATCAGAGCAGAGCCGCAGCAGCAGGTGAGGTCAGTTGGGAATACGTGATGAAGCCAGTTTGATGTTTTACTTCACACAGACTGGGAAGTCCTAATGTTCCAAGGAATATATTTCAGAATGAATTCACAGATGAATCTCTCCCCTTTCATGTTTAGACAAGATAGCATGAAAGTCACGACGATAGGGGAACAATGACAGAAACCTACCTTTTTGTGTTTTATATTCAAATATCTCGGCATCCAGCCCTGGAGTGAAGTGTCTGAAGTAAGTGCAGTTTTCCTCTGTGAAAAGAAAGAAAATAGGATTTAGTTCAAATTTACACATCAAATGATTTGTGGGCCCTTTGAGGCAGCACAACAAGGTGTAAACACAACAATAGTATATACATCATATATATATCATCACCACATGGAATCGTTATGGCTGACGTGTTGTCAGCTGCCCATTTACAAAGCAGACATTTGTATTTATTTGGAGTCACAATTGTGTGTCTGTATGCATATATATATATATATATATATATAATCCTCTGTGGCTTCATCACCAAATTGAAATTTCATGACATTAATTAAATGTCTTAATATGCAAACACATGCTTAATGTGTAAAAAAACGAGGGAATCATCAAGAAAGGTTATGTAGCCGAGATGTAATAGTTCATTAGTTAATTAAAATGTCACCGTGATGGATGCCTTGAACTGCTTTCAACTCTGAAGACCAGTGTGCCCATTCTCTCATTATCTCACTTTGTTGACCAAAATCTTTTTTCAATCTAAACCAAGCTGCTTAAATTCAACCAAATTGCAGCTGCTGGAAGATAAACCAAATCTTTATCAAAATTGTCATGTTCTGAACATCTTTTTGTTGTGTTTAGGGCCACGTCTTCTTTCTTTGCTGAACCACTGAACTTTTTCACACTTCTATTCGATCATGAATAAATGATGGATGGCTATAAAAATCATATTTATAGAGCTTTTTACACCATCATGTATCACATGAAGATGATACTTTGAACACCTTACACCGTCTCAGATCCATCCCACATTGTTTTTACAAAAGCATCTCACAGATTGACACTACCAGGATAATATTACCACTAAAATGGTTATGAGATGGCGTGCAGACCCATGTCTGCTTTGTGTGGATCAAAAAATAGCCACAACAGACATCACAATCTTCTCTCCTGTTGAGCAGACAAGGTGTGAAACCTTGGGGATTTGCACAAATAAAGCCAGGCCGCTTTTTTACACATTTTTAGATGTTTTGCCAAGTGTTAAAAAAAGGTTTAGCTTCCAAGTCAAGTCATTGACTTATCTCATACCACATACTTCCTGTAGGGGCGTGGTTAAAAGTAGTTCATAAAGTGCACACAGGGTGGTAACATCTGAGGCTTCGCTTCATGTAATGCGTGTTTCTGAAAGGAGAAGAATGTCTTGGCATTAAAAAGAAATAACTTGTGGTTTCGGATGATCGTATGTGCAGAAGGAGTGAGGACGGTTATGTGCAGCATGTAACACCAGATCACTCTGTCACATCTACTCTCATGCAAAGTCAAGTGCACATCAATGATGATTATGCTATGAGGTCTCCACTCACACGATTGTTTCTAATCCCTTTTTTACAGACAGCTTCAGGACATGTTTGAAATGCTTTCATGCGAAATTGTGTAGTACTGCGAGGTATCGCATAGTGATTAAAGCTTGACGACCCGTGCTGGGATGGTAGATCATTTTCCTGTGTACCCTGTAAACCATGGAAATAAGCTAAATGGGATGTCAGATGGCTCTACCAGGAAATAGCAGAGTAATCTGATATAATAGGCAAAAAACAATAACTCTGAGTCATATTTTTCAAAGCCAAGGCAACATTGCAATGTTTACAAAAACCTCCTTTGAAATTACAAGCTTTTAGTGCTGCAGGCCAACACGATCCAGCACACACATACAAAAAAAATGTTTTCATGAATGAGTACGGGGACTGGCCATTAAAAACAGAGGTTGTTACTAAGCAACGAGCTCCACCGTTTTCACTGTAGAAGGCACGTATTAAAGAGAGGTTGATGTGATAGAGGCTTGTCAACTATTAGCACTTCTTAGCCAGACCTTGTATTGAAAAGAGAGGCTGAAAAATATCTTTGAACTCCACTAACTTCCCAAAAATATTCATGTTTTTAAATGAATGCAAATCCACTACGCTCTATACTTTACCACCAGACAACTCCTCCAAAGGCAGGAAACATGGTCTCATCTGTATGTGAGATAAGATGTCTTTTTAGGTCCAGGGTGGAAAGATGGAAGAACTGCCAGCAGGCCAAGTGTCTCTTCATTCACTAAATGCATATCTGGTTTGTTATTTATGTTGAAGTGGAGCCACTCAGCCTTGGAGTGGATGCTTTGAGCTCATTATCTGTATCAAGCAGCTTTATTCCCACATGTGACTGAATGTGTGTTGCCTATTTACACCTTTTTGTACCATCTTTACAGCGCAAAGCTTCAATAAAGATATGAGGAGCTGGAGGTGAGAAATATATCTGCTTGCCGCAAATGGCGTACACACACTGACGCGCACTGCTGCACCACTTGTGGCTGGTCCTTTTTACTGCTAGGCCGTGGTGACGAGTGCTGTAAAGCCCCTCTTATTCCTAACAGGGTAAATCCGTCATCTTTCCGAAGATCAGTTGAGGACATCGGATTAGCAGCATTTCTGCACAACACAGATCACACTTTATATAGCTTTCGCATGCACTGTCTATTAATTTTGTCAGCGGCGGAAGCTATGATTGGCCCAGACCTCTGAGCCATGGTGTTTGTTTTGTCTGCTGTATTTGGGTATCGTTACCTTCCACATTCTTAGGACAACTTCAGTTATGCCATATGTGTATATGCCATAGAAAATGTGTGTATTTTTCTATGGAGCCTGGCAACTACTGAACTCGTTTTAGAAATCATGCGCAAAATGTATCAATTAAACAAAATTACAATTTGACCACATTTTACTTCCGATACCTGTCGTGCTCTGTTAATCTGAGCACACTCCAACAAACTACAGCTTTGATTCAGCTTTAAACCCAAAGAGGCATAGGCCACCTGTCTAACTAAGTGTTTAAGACTTCACTGGCGGTTCCCCATCTCCATATAAGAAGCCTATCCCTTGGTTGTTAGGTCATTTGAGTGCCTATAAAGGCAAAATACCAGTGGTACCACCTTCTTTTATAACTATGCATCCCATGCCGGGGAGTGTTAAGTAATTTGAGTGACTGCGACTGCACAGAGATGTGAAGCTGCAAGAGGGTCTCGTGGGAACAGGTTGGTGGGACAGCAGGCCTTAAAGCTATGCCGGACCTATCCATGAGGCCCTGTCACTCAGAAGGCCGCTGAACTCGGCGTGAACACTTTACCCTCGTAGCCTCCACCCAAGACAGCTGAGTATTTACGTGGCCTATATTTATAACCACGGATGCTTGCTGAGCAGTTTAAAAAACCACACCCTTTCTCTTCCTGGAATCATGGTTAAAAACATTACAATAATTGCCTCTGTATGCTGTGGCAAGGAGGAGCATTGTAACATATCTGATGTTTCTTATACAACTCACAGCAGCTCAGAAAACCAGGATGAAAAGAAAAGTATAAATCAAAAGGAGAACTCGGACGACAGTCATCTAAAACTAAAATAGCCTTCGGGAAAATTTTGGCTCGGATGAAACAACATAGAGTGGGATGCAAGTCTGCATTGTATGCATTAAAGTTGTTCCTGAGATCATCTCACCATCTGCGCTTTGTCAGCAGTAGACCTGCACAACAGCTCAGCCCATATTTTCCAGATAAGTGTCTCGTAGTGGGAACCTCCTCACATACTGTTTAAGTCCTGCTTTGAATCAGAGGGTTGACGCCTCTCTGAAGCCATGTGGCTATGATAAACAATAATGTTCCTGTCCTAATACAGCTACTGGGTTGGGAGAAACCCCCCGGGAGACTGATGGATTTACTCACTTCTCAAATAAAGGCTGCCAAGGTGGCCATCACAAATCACAGGTGTTATTGAAGAAATGAAAGCCATTTGTTAGGAACAGGTGGCTGACTCTCTACAATGCACATGATATTATAAACTCACTTTCCAAATATTTAAAGATGACCACTGTCAGGATGTATGTACAGAATGTATGCATGTGCAGAAAAAGGCTCTTGAAGCATTTGCCACTTGCGTTTACGATCTGATAAATACCCCACACCTTGGTGGGCTGAGCTGATTTAGTATATTCAGCACATGCTTGACATGTCTGCACCAAAGAACCACCCTCAGACATTTCATCTGCTTCTGGAATGGCCCTGCAGTGCAGAGAGTGTCTGGGATTCCCAAAAGTCTAACAGCTGCCATCAGGGAATGGACATATTTGGGGGAGTTGCTCTCAGCCTTGTGAGTTGGACAAATTTGGGGGGGGGGGGGGTTTCAGGGGGAGATAACGAGCAACAGTCAGATAATGGTTTCTCAGATAACAGTAAATTTGCCAGCGCGGTTCAGCAGATGAGTGAATCCCACAGCAACTCATTGAGACAAGAGTCACTGCAAGTCAGCAACTGCTCGACACTGTTGACATCAATTTGATTTCATTACAGTCACGAAGGGCTGTGGTGAACACCTATTTAGGTCCTTTACTTGAGTTTAAGTAACACCACAACCTACTCCATGCAATGATTGTATGCTAAAGTACTATTGTCTGCTCGCCCCTTTCACATTGTTGTACTATGAAATCAGTACTGAATGTGTTTTCATTATTTCATACTTTAAATGTATAGTGGAGCGAGTAGAAGAATCCACAAGACTTCCCCCTGAAGTGTCGTGGAGCAGAGTTATACAGTAATATAAAATTTAAAGATCTATGTAATTTGAGACTATAAATAGGAAATACAGACAGTATTCTGACACAGAACCCATTTATTATTTAGAGTTTTATGAGGAGTGGGACCTGCAAGATAAAGTGTTACCAATGGGAATACTGAATTAAAGTACCTCCAAAGTGTGTTTAAACACAGTGTGTTTGAGCTATAGAGTGTCTGTATATGTCAGGTACTGGCTCCCATGTTGTATGGAGAACTGGCAAACTGGTTTTAAATAATAAATGCCTCTTTAAACAGAGAGGAGACAACAATCAGTCAAATCAGCTAAAGTGGTGTTTGCAGCCCCTTGGCACTCCATGCCTATATAAAGATAAATATTTACTGTGGTCAGGTCCAGTCTTTGAGTCAGCTTACTGATGGGCTGCATTTCAACACCACTGATGAATGACAATGGAAAACATCTAATTATTTCCCTCCAAAAATGTATACATTATGGAAGGATGCATGCATCTCACTAAGATTAGGATCTTTCTTCCATTTCACAAGCAGGTTTATGGAAGTTTAAAATGTCATGTGCCATATCAAGTGATCCTGCATTGGAACCTCTATTCTTAGAATCTCCCCACCTCAGAGCTGTGGGCTGGATTGCATGGAGGCACCTCACAGTTACAGACAAACATTATTAATATGGTATTGTCATTTTATCTGTCAGACGCATGAGAGTTTTCACTCCAATGTTCTCTTACCTCCAGGCAGGCTGATGGGTCCGCAGCCATGTCCCTGCATGAAGTTCTCCGAGCTGATGTAGATGTACTTCTTGCACAGCCTCCACAGGCCGAAGTGGGCCGCCTCGCAGGTCGTATTGGCTTTATCCACCTTCGGGCTGAGCACGGCCCAGTGGTCCGTTACCACTGCAGTGAACATGCATGCCATACCCACTAGTAGCACGAAGATTGCAATCTTTATCTTTGTGCGCTTGTGCATGTTTCCAGGTGGCTGAGATTTCTGTTCAGTGAATCTTCTATCCCTGATATGAAAAAAAAAATTGTAATGTGAACACACTGGTCTGTGTCCCTGGGGCTTCTTTCCTCAGTGACTGCAGCAAGCTTCCAACAAACTCTCTTCTCCGTTTCTCTCTCCGCCTAAGACCAGTGTCTTCTCTCCCCCTGTCGCAGATCTGTGCTTCTGGTTCGAAAGGAAAGGGGCCAGACTGCTCTGTCCTAGTTAGAAGTCCCCTTTTCCCTTCTCACTATGAGTTGCTGTACAACTGTGGGGCTGCAAGTTTAGATGTACAGCTGTTGAGGAAGATCTAGAAAGTTGATGACCAAACCAACTGTCTGTCATCGTGGGCAATGGGCGTAGAGGATGCTGCATGTGTTTGGTAGGTGGGGGTGGGGGCTATAAATGTGACTGGTGAGTCAAGTTGTCAGGCTGTCTGCGTATCCGGTTGCAGTGCCCGTGAGTGGAGATGTGTAACGTGCCATAATAAGTGGACTCACATAAACAGTTATACACGCAACTTTCAACATGGACGTTTCAGCATTGTGAGAATAGTTTCCCCTGGTTTCCATCCATCTATAGTGGCTGTGTTTTCACTCTCTGCCTCACTACGACACAGCCTTGGTGTGGATTTGTCTCTGTAAACTATTTACTGTATAAGGAGAAAGAGGATGCTACTGTTTACTGATTATAAAGAGCAGCAGCAAGGCTGTCAAACACAGTTTCACCTGCTGGAACAATACTGCTTTAAAACCCTCCTGTCGTGTTCGGGTCAAATCTGAACGATTTACAACTTTAATCAATCATAAATATTGTGTTTTACATCTGATTGCATCAAGGCCTCATGATATCCTCCACACTAGGCATTTGAACATATAAAATTGCTGATCACCACTTTCATTGAATTTTTAGTGGTTTAGTCAACTTTGTAACACCCATGGTGTTTCCGGTCAAAATTGACCACCATAAGAAATTAATGGGAAACACTAGATTATGTCCATTCATCAGATGGAAAACAGCCCCATACACACCCACAACCACCCCCCATACATATTTCAAACTTCAAACAAAAAATCAGGTGTTTCTTATGGGAACCCATCTCTATACCGCTCTTATGTACCCATCCCCCCACGTGAACTACACCTTCCAGACTAAACAATGTTTCATATCTTCTCACTTGCCCCCTATATAAACCTTTATTTGTGCCTTGCTCTCATTTTACTCTGTGAGCACAATGGGTAGGCCACTGATGAGGCGATTTTCTGTCAGAGAGGCTCTGGACCTAATTGTTGAACCAGATGAAGAGGAGATTGAACCGGAGATAGAGGAAGATGTCTCAGAAATTGAAGACAACATTGATCCTGATTTCGATCCGGACTATTATGAGACTGACCAGTCAACAGATGGCGAGGAAGTGGCACCAGAGGAACAGGCACCTGAGGTGACATTCCAGTCCAAGGGTTGCAACTTGCTCTGGTATTCATCCTCCCAGGACAGAGGAGGCAGAGCGAGAGTTGAAAACTGGATGACATCAAATCCAGTTTCCAACTCTTTTCACCAGAGTCCATTGAGGGTATTATACTGGACATGACAACCCTGGAGGGGAGGCGTGTGTTTGGGGACAAGTGAAAAGCATTGGACCAGGTAGACCTCCAAGCCTACATGGCTCTGTTGATTCTGCATCAGCAGAGCCATCAATTGTTCAATTGTTTATATCGGTCAAACAATGAGGCTAGAAAAAGTCTGTGGGATGCGGAGTCCAGGAGGCCTATATTCCTGTCAACAATGTACTTACAACAGTTTCAATTAATTTAGCGATACATTTCCAGTGTCTATTCTTTGTATATTCACAGCAGTTGTTCATATAAACCATTAGTCTGAGACATTGTTTACAGCTTAAAAGGGTGCTAAATAAAATTTGGTGATGATTAATGGTTTTGTGTTAATGTAAGAGCAGTTAAAACAGACCGGTCACATTTGACCGGGAACACTAAAGTAAGGGGGGAGAAACGAACACGACAGGAGGGTTAATAATTCCAGGGATCAACTGTTTCTTTTTTCAGATGGCCAATGTGTCATCGCTACAGCGGCCGGGTAAAATTATTCTTTAACATTTCTACACACTTGTGTGAACGTATCAGAAGTGGGTTTAAAAGGTGAAATCAGTGAGGGGGGCATTCATCTGCTGACTGATGTCCTTCTGAGAAAACTATCATAATATTTTCATCCAACAAATTACAGTTTATATCGTACTGAGGAGTATGAGTGGATACGTCACCCTAGAGGCCCTGCAGAAGTAACAATACCTATGAAAAAGAATAGAAAACATGAGCTCTAATAAGTGTTATGCCATGCAAAATTCATCACGTTTCCTGCAAATGAGGCTACATGTAGCCTCATTTGAAGGTTCAGATGGGCACAGGTATTTACTTTAACAAGAATAATTCTGATTTAGATGTTGTTATTGCACATCTTTTTGTAACCTTGTCAGCCCACTCTTGTCTCCTTCTGCTTCAGCATTTGCCCATCTAAAGTGCTTGAACCTGCTCCATTCTGCTGTGTTTTCGACAGCAGGTAACAGCTTCAATCTGCCTTTTTCACAGACGACGTGTTAACTTGTCACAGTAAGAAAAGCACAGGTAGTGAAATGAATGACAGCTGAATTCCAGTTAGCTGCTTCAGTTTCAGGTTCCTGCTATATTGTTCATGCTTGCTCACAGTCACTCTCACTGAAACACTTGAAGAGAAAACAGCCATTGTTAGTGTTATTAGAAACATCTGTGCTTTTCCTACTAGCAAGTCTGTGAGAAAAGCTGATTTCAATGGCCATGGCAGAGAACAGTTGGTGCAATGGTGAGTTGAGATAAGCCCCTGTGATTCTGAAGCTCTTACACAACTGTCTGACGCTTACCCCTTACTCCTTTGAACTATTTGTGACATATAGGACACCACTATGAAACGCCAGTAGTTTGGCATTGTACTTGTGCCCGATCAAAATATCTTTACTACTCATACGCCAATCTATTTTGACTTTGAGACTCATGCATCCTAAAAACATGGTGAGTCTGATTTATAGCGGGTGTTTGCCTGAGTGCTTGATGATTTGAAGGCCATGTTAGGTGATGTGAGGAGCCGACTCAAATGTGTTTGAATTTTACATTTGTGATACTAAATCACTTTTAAAATAATTATTAATTAATGAATGAGGAAAATGACGAACTTAACATTATGCTATGGTATGTCGAAAAATATGTCATTTTTTTTATTATTCAAAAAATAAAAAAGTCTCAGTAGAGTATGTCATAAACAATGTTTGCCTTGTGGCTGTATGCCGCCACCATCCATGTCTGTCCAGAATGTAATTGTTTCATACTTTTTGATGTTTCTGGGAAACTGTCACAGTGGCCTTGAACTTGAATCACCAAATTCGAGTCAGTTCATACTTGAGTCAAAGTAGATATTTGTGCCAAATTTGAAGACATTTCTTCAAGGCGTTCCTGAGATATCACGTTCATTAGATTGGGACAAATGAATGGACAGACAACCCGAGGAAATAATTCTTGCGGTCAAGACTGTTTTTTTTTTCATGTGCTTAGAGTTTAGGGGGAGTTTTTACTTTTCTTCTTAGAGAACTATTGCTGGGTTGAGAACAATGACTGTTGTAGGGTTATGGTTAGTAAGGGTGTAAGCTCCCCCCAGTTGTTGTGTGTGATATTAGGCAATACAAATAAACTTGACTTGCTTGACCAGTTGGGATCATGGGGATAAGACAAACAAATCAAATCAATGTGCTTAAATCTTTTTATCATAAATCATAATGAGCAAACTCTATGCCTTAAAAGAAAATCAAACAGATGTTTAAATTCTATTCACTTTTTTATTTCAGAGTAATTTATCAGCAAAATGATACATTACAAACCTCTCATGGAAATAATTAAAGACACTTGGTATTTACAGGCCCAGTAGTACCATAAATGATACACTATTGATATATGTTTCTATTTCACCAAACATGCAAGTCCTGAACGAAACAGAAAAGGGTAAGAATTCCAAGCAGACCATAGAAGGTTGAGGGTTGTACACCAGAAGTTTATAAACCACAGTTATGGAAAAAATTACTAAAAAGGCACAGTGTGTAGGATTTGGTGGCATCGAGTGGTGTGGTCGCAAATTGCAACCGACTAAATACCCCTCCGTTTACTCCTCCCTTTCAAAGACTGCAAAAGCATGGTCTCGCTGTTGGCCTCACTCAAAGGCCTTCCTTACCATAATAACACTACTTTATTGTGGCATTAGTTGGCTAGTGTTTGCTATGTCCTTTCTGTGCTCCTCCAGAAACATGACGGTGCAACACGGCCGACTCCTTGAAGAGGACCCGCTCCCTATCTGGATATAAAGAGCTCAACAAAAACACAACAATTCCATTTTAGGTGATCATACACAAATGAAAACATATGAATATGATATTCTATTTCCGCGAGTAGAATTCCTGAAATGCTACACACTGTACCTTTAAAATGAAAAAAAGGTTTCACATGGCCCCAGTTCTTTAGTGTACCAATTTAATACGTATATTGAAATCTCTTACTCATGTAGTTGTCTTGATTTTATACACTCTTTCTTTTTGGAGGTTATTTATTAAATAATTGAATCATAACAAAAACTTTAATGCACGCAAGTGGTGAAGTATCATTTAATTTAGTTTGAGTTTAAGGGAGGAAGAAACGGGCTCCATATATCAGCTGAAGGGTTAGGTGAAGGGTTATACCCTCCTTCGTTAGAGCATGTTTAAAGGGTAATTAGGTTATAGTCACAGGTTTACAGTGAGAGATGTTTGCTTGTTTTCAGATAAGCTGCAGAAAATCTAGTGTCAATTGATGGCTCCCTTTTATACAAAATGTATTCCCAATTTGATTACAAATCATTGAAACACTTACACCTGCCAATCATATTTTTAATATCGTTCAAAAATGAGCCTTTGTCATCCCTTCATGTGTTACAAGAGATGTACGATCTGCAACTACATCCGAAATATCTTGAAGTAGCTTTTTATCACTAAAATTATAGCTGTTAAAGTACTTTTTAAAATAAATCTTTGTTATGGCATCAGGTGTATCAGGTTGAGTATAAAGATACCTGAAGTGTGAAACACTGCTGAACCATTTGTCACGTCAACAAATCAAGGTGCAAAGACAGTACCTGAGTATACTGAGTATAGTAGAGTTTAAAAGCATTATTTTATCTTTTCTGCACAGCAAGGGTACCGACAAGCATGTTGACTAGTCCTGTGACTGCATGGAGTTTTGACCCCGCCATTTTCCTCTTAATTACCGGAGGGGAAGATTCACTGGCGCGCGACATGAGGGAGTGGGGGTGCAGCTTTTTTGTGAATGAAAATATCAGTGAGGGTTAGCGGCATTGAAATTCAGAGGGCTTAACAGTCTGGGTGTTGGACAGAGGAGAGGGGTGAAAAGACTCTTGAATTCAGGGCTGGAATGGAAAACAAGGTCATCAGACCAGTTTGGTATAACATAGATAGGCTACATCACACAAACGCAGAATGAAAAGAAGTCTATTCTAATTCAAGGCTTCCCCTTCTCTACATCGGTGACTTGAATGACAACTACAGCTGACAGAGCAGAGACTCTCTGCAGAGACTCCACGCCCTCACATGGCACTGTTTTAATCCAGTCAAGCGTGTACTAAAGAAAGAGTAAATTCAACTCGTACTAACCCTTCACACACATACAATGCTCACTTTGCTCCATCTCTTGTTTCAAGAAAAATGCTTTTTGAAGTCTGGATGAGCATTTGGGAGCCTGTTAGTTCAATCAAGCATTAAGTTACCTGATGTAGATTTATTTTAACCCCCTGTGGTTGCCCGGCTGTCTGACACACAATTTCATAGCAGAGCATAGGAGACCCATCAGCTTCGTCTCATAAGCACAATACTTCCTCTAAGAATAGCAAATGCAGTGAATCAATTCTCTGTTCATATTTGCCATTAAACCACAAGCAGGTCTAAAGGTGAAGTTAACTGTAATTGCTAAGTTGAGTGTCCCCATTAACTATTTAGAATTGCTGTTCTTTAATTGTGATGCAAAACATCAGGGTTAAGGTTTTTGTCTTCCCAGCATGGAAGGAGAGGGGAGGAGTCACCCTGGGTGGGGCACCATTTCAGCAGTGGATTGTTCACAACCTTTGGCTGAAATAAGCAAAGGAGAAAATAAACCAATCATTTCCATAATGATACATCCTCTCCACATGGAAATCAGATCATAACATAAAAAAATCCAAAAACTGACAAACAACACAACACATTTTCCAAAGACTTGCAATTCTAAAACCCAATGAATACAATAAAAGTCCTTAATAGAGCTCTTACAACAACTCACACATTTATATGGGATGATAAAATGCCCCCACTGTCCACATGCAACAGGTGATTATTCTCATGCCTTCTGTTGCTGCCCACCGCTTTAATCCTTCTGGTCAGAGGTCACCGGGAAGCTATCCCAGATACTCAGACTCAGCATACCCACGTGTCCAGGCATGTCAATCTACGTTGACCTCTCTGCATGTCATACAACATTCTAAACTATCTATTTTAATAGAATTATCTGTGGCTAAGAAGATCATGTTGCTTAGTTGGTTAGATATAATAGTTTTCCATCAAACACTGGCTCAATTTGTGACCCGTTAACACTCACAGATTCACAGAAACCTTACAGGACAAAATTAAACCATGTGACACAATGTGCTTGTTGCTTGTAAAATGGATGTAATTTTCTGGTTGATAGACCAACAAATAACTGGATTTGCATACAAATGTAGCTGTCCATTGCCATAATAGTGCAATCTTTCAATATCTGTCATGCATTAATAATTGCAATGAATGTTGTCAAAATACAGGGCAGTAAGAGTACAGAAATACTTTAAATAGAACTTATGCATTGGCTACAAACATATCAAAAACCCTCTGAACGTAAAAGGCAGTAGTTACAGAAACAAGAGTTAACATCAACACACACAGCGTGATCTCTCCTCTGTATTTACACGTGCCAACTAATAAACTGTGAGGCTTCGGTAAGGAAAACCAAAATACCGTAAACATATTTGTTCTCTTTCATGATTAGCTCTACATCTCTAAAAGTAATAATCATTTGTTCTACACATCATCCCTGAGCAAATGGAGAGCGAAGTACACAGTCTGTACAAATAATGTTTACGCTGATACGTCACACTGCAGACTGAAATGTACTGACATTATGTGCGCCTATAGTCATTTTTGTTGATGTATATCTACAGATATCTGTATGCAGCCCAATATCATGGCAGGTCGGGCAATAGTCACAGAATGCATTCTATTGGTTTTGTGTGCATAAGACGGAATTGTCTGTCGTTCAAAACAAAAATAATTCCAATCGAAAGTCAATTAGGACCCTTTTGCATGGTGGACACATACATTAAATGCATCCATGACTACGCAACAATCAGAGCAAGTGATGTAGTATTTAATATACAAAAAGACTGTTTATGGTGGGCGGGGCAGGCGGGGCGGGGCAGAGCGGGGCGGGGCGGGGCAGGGCGGGGCAGGGCGGTGCAGGGCAGGGAAGGAGGTGGATGGGTCCAACAAACACTTTCATCCACGAGACCGGTGTTCGACACCATGTTGTGGTAACTGTAAATAGTTATTTAAAGCCCAACCATGATGTCTTTCCAGAACCTAACTAAGTGGTTTTGTTGCCTGAACCTAACTTTTTTTTAAATGTAATGTCGTCCAGAAAAAAAGTTTAGAGCGACACGAAAATACGGACAATGCATGTCCCAGTACACAAAACCAATAGATTGCATTTCATTACGATTTCACAAACTTCCATGAGACTGTGTTGCTATACATGTGTCATAGTATGGCAGTGTCACACACATTTCACATACTGTAGCAAGCATATTTACTACCTGACTCACATACAAGCTTGTGAGAGGTTTTTGAGATAGAGTAGAAGTATTTAAATGGCAGTTGAAAAGGCTTAAGACTATCAAAGGTGTACAAATTAAGTTAGCACCAGTTGTGTTAAGTTGCAAATACAATACATTAATACTCAAACAATCACATGAATCACTTCATTTTCACAAATTTTTTTTTGTCTCACAATAAAAGAAATAATTTGATTTCTAAAAGACTATCCAGGTATTTTTAGCAGAAAAACATTACCTGATTTCAATATTCAGCATTTAAAAGCTTAATTAATTTATCAGGCAATTGTCAAAAGAATGCCAGAACAAGGACGATTTTTCAGCATTTATTATTTAACTCTTGCTACAAAATATCTGCATCCACTTTTCAGATACAGTCTTATCATAAAAGGTTATTCTTAATATCACCTTTCGTCTTCCACCAAATGAAACGTAGATCGGCACTTTTCTGTCACAGAGGGACGCAACGAAAACCTATTTTAAGCGCTGACCTTTCAACACCGTTGCTGCCTGAACAGCCCCGGAGAGGAATTGCCCTTTCTCATCAACTGTACAATATCTAATGCCTTCCATCAAGCATATGGTTTTACACAGCAATACACTCCTGACCTCATACTGGTGTGGTCCTCCTGTTCACTCCATCTTTCAGATCTTTCTGGAAGCAGTTGTGAACTTGTAAAAACCCAGAGTCCCTCTCTGGACTGTAGGGCCCTGCAGTTGCACTTCCGCCCTTCAGGGGGTCCCTGCTAAGGGCGTACAGAGATATATCCCCCATTGGCAAACCCATCCCCAAACCTCCTCCCCCACTTCCTCTCCCGATCTTCCTCCCCACCGGGGAGGGCTCGCGGGATGGGTCGCTTGACCTCGAACTGGAGCGCGAACGCCTTCGCCGGTAGCGGTAACTTGGGATGCGAGAGTATGGTGAAGAAGATGAGGTGGTTTTGATGAAGTCACGACGGGCTCGGAAACGCGTCTCTTGGTTTTTCTCGATGTAAATGTTGACTGCAAGAACACCCACGGATTCAGCCACGATGAAGGAGAGGGCGCCGAAGTAAAAGGACCAGCCGTAGTTGTAGTGGTTCTTCTTGTCCTCGTCTTTCTTGTCACTGGGATCCCCGGCGTTGCTGGAGATGTAGACGATGATGCCAATGATGTTGCTCAGGCCTGAATAGAAGAGAGATGAGCGGAGAAGAGATTTTGGGTTGACAAACTCCACCTCTCTACATCTATACTTTAATCACATTCAACACCTGAGTAAATCAACTTTAAAAGTTAGGTCTATTCCTTATTGAGTGTTAACAAGTAAGCTACTTGACAGTTCACACCTTCTCTGCAGATTTTCTTTGAATAATCAGAAATAATTATATTTCACTGCCAATTAGAGAGATAATGGATTCAAGGAAAAAGAGAAGATGCAAAGTGTGTTAAAGGTATGGGCACTTGTTGTTTTTGTTGAATTACAGGAATAGTTAAGGTAACTTTAAAAGAAAGACGACAAGACAAAGGGAGACCCTCATGTGTCTTGTCTTCTATTTCTGACTGCTTATGTCCTCCTCCCTCTTTCTGTTTGTGCACAGAATCTATTCGTTGTTTGTGTGTTCATCTGAAGTGTGCTGCCAGTCTCATGCTACCTGCAGCCACAAACAGGATGCCAGCAGTGAGCAGGATGTTGTTCTTGTTGTTGTAGATGCGTCCGACTCCCACACACAGGCCGCCCAACATCAGCAGAGCGGTGCTGAGAAGAGGGAATAGGCTCGATGCACGCACTACACCTGTTCATACGAGACAGGGAGAAACAGTGGAACCTTCTTGTCAGTACGTCAAACGAAGAAACACATAGCTTTAAAGATATGAATACAAAGGCTGACCAGCTTGCGATTCATTTACGATGACAATGGTGCCAATAAAGTAAGGCTAAAAGTAGAACCAGTTGAAGTAGTAGTAGTAGTAATATAATATCTCTGTCCCCCTGGCAAATCCAACATTAACTAGTGGGAGGGTAGTGTCCAATAGATTTATCAGAGCTTTTTTTTTTGCTTTTCCAGCAGCTGCTGAACCAACAGTAAAGTTGCAGGCTGTAAAACCAAAACAATGAGCTTAGAGACACTAAAATGCTCGGCAGAGCTGAGGGGAACTGCAGGTGATGATTCTCTGTGTGTAGGATAAACACCTTTCACATTTTACATAGTCATTGAATCCATTGTTAATACAAAACTATTGATCAGACTAGTTTAAATTATATGGTACTAAAGGTTCCCTGAGGGGTTTCGGAGCTGTAATAGCGCTAGGTAGCAGCTATGATTTTGAGCCGACCCCCATTTCGGCGACAGCTGTGACCAAAGGCATTATGTTTTCTGCATCAAGTTATTTTACATAACAGGTATCCCATTATACGGTCATTCATGGCAATATTCACATGCCAATTGATGGCATTTGGGACAGCTTAAGCTTTCCTAAAAATAACAATACAAGGCACTCCTGGCTGACACATGTCGTAACGCTGCCATAAGTGTACATAGAAATAAAGGGAGTGACAGAAGAGCAGCAAAGGCCTCAGGTTCAACAGATGACACTAACCAAGTGAGTCCATGAGCATCTTGAAATGAATCATTTTAGATATCTGCAACTATGGAAACAGTTGCTTTGGGCACAGGGCATCAAACTAGAAGCCACATGTGATATGCAGAGTGAAGCTAATCTGAAACCTCAAGCAAAATGGAGAGATGGTTTGAACTGCAATAAGACCATTCATAGTGTTTAGACAATTTTCAGTTAAACATTTTACTCATCAGCACACAACACACTCCATCATCTCTATAGCTCCAATTGCTGTCATGGCATCAAGCCTTTAAGTGGGAGGGACAGAGATGTCATGACACATTAAGTACCCTTGTGATAACGGTTTAAGTGTTTGGAGATGAAGAGGTTGCAGTGACTTACGTAAGATGTACTCTGAGCTGTCTGTATCGTAGTCGTTATCGTCTGGAAAATGATTGATTCGATAACAGCTTCCTTTGTTGATACCTGTTGAGAAACAAAAAGCACATTCAGCGTGAATGAGACTGATGGCAGTAACAGATTGTGCATGGATGAAATCATAACAGTTTAAGGAAAATACTGGGCCTTGTAATGAAGCCGAACATGAGATTCTCCAATTAAGATAGATGGTATAAAAGGAACTACATGTTGACCATCCACTGATCAACGTGCAGCTTTTAGGATCAGGAGACAAATAAGTTAAAGAAAACTGGAGCCAATTCTGGGTAAAGAGTCTCTGAACTAATGCTGAACTGTCTTGTTTTCACCTCTAACCGTGTCAGAAAGCATTTGAGGACAGGCTGCTGTGGATCTGGGGTTCTCAAGTTCTCAAGCCCTCAGGCACCTTCTATTCAAAGACCCAGTCTCTTCATCGAGAAAATCTTCCCTGCACTTTTAAGAGAATAAAACATTGGAGCATTATGAATATTGAAAGGTTAAACTTTGAATTAAAAGGCAGACGTCTGATTCTTCTGCCACATCCTATCATTTCTGCCTTTGCTACTGTGTATGCTCCTTCAATAAACACAATTTCCTCAAAAGGTTTATCTTCTCACCTGAAAAAAGAAAACCCAACTGGACCAACTGATTCACATCTGCTCAGCAGATTTGCCTGATTTAAATGCACCCCTTCAGTATGTAAACTATGCAACATTTTAACATCATACTTGTGTGCTAGATCTTCATGGATAATGTCCAACACTACTGGGAAAGAGAACGAAAGAATACAATTATAAAACATCCTTAACAGCCCAGACCCGGTCTATCTTCACCTACTCCACTCTCTTTATCCTCTCAGTCTCTTTAAACTCTCATCTTCTGTCTCTTTTGACAACACTCTTGCCACCATCATGTCTCAATTACCCACTTCTCTCCCTCCCGTGTTCTAAAATGTTTTCCTCTTCAACTCCCTCTCGGCTTCCTTTTGATCTTTTATATACAGCGGTTTCTTTGGATCGACACATAAGCATAATCACTCAGTAATATAATCACTATACCGGGTGTGTACCTTGCATGTATTTTATATCTATAAGATCAATGTTTCAGTGTAATTGGATGTTTTCTCCTGATTGTGGCAGCCAACGGTCTAAGAAAACGCAGTGACAGGTGCAGGGTAAAAGATAATAAAGAATCAAGGGTTCTTTTGTACAAACAAACATGAAGTGAAGATGTCAAAGTTAAATAACTTTATTAATAAAAAATACACAGAAGGCAGCAGTAATGACAATGAGAAAAATGGAGAGAGAGAGAGGAGAGGGAAAGCGAGTGAGCTCAGTTGGGGAGGTATTTCCTTAGAGCCCATCTGTCTGAGAGAACGGGGCCCATCTTTTATTACTCAGCATAGCTTCACCATAGCAACCCCCCCACCCCTCCCATTTCTAGTTAGCTCAGAGGACGCCTTTGACATCTTACTGATGCATTCACCAGACTAACACACACCCACGCACACACACACACAAATACTCCCACAGAAACACACATACACACTAACAAAGCCAGGAAAACCAGAAAGCAGCCTTTATGACACAGATAATCCCAAATAATCACATTAAGAACAAAAACTTGGTGAGATGGTGGCTCAACGCAAATCAGTAGGATTTGTCTATTTGAAGTCAGACCCAATGTCTGTCTCAAACACATCAAAGTATTTTAGCGCCACTCCAGCATGTTCAGTGATCAGGGGTGGTTGGCTTAAGTGAGAGTTCTTGTCATATTCCAGCATCGCTGGCTGCAGAACAAGACTTGTTTCCTTTAAAAGCTAATTTGCCATCATTGCTCGCCTTCAGTGAACCACCTCCTTGTTCTACAAGGCACGTAAGAGAGACACGCATGTAATTTCTTCTACAAGGTTAGCCAAGTGTGCCGGGGCTTACCCATTATTTATGCTGCTCATTTGACCTAATGCAAACTGGTTGGATTTCATCTTGTTCTTTGTTCTATCTGAAAAATGGATAGCGAAATGAGTGGACAATTAAACCTCTGACCCGTATTTAGTCTTGTAAAAAGTATAAATGAGAAAAAAAAATCAACCGCAAAGGAGAAATGTACATAAGGTAGGCAGGAACTCACAGAATTTCTACAAATGTTGACATTTATAGAATATATAGAACCCAGACTTTAAAGTTAATTATCTGATTGGATATCATTCCTATTTAGACTTAGCCAATGTCTTGGAAAGTCATTTGGGCTCATCCAGCATCAGTTGTAGCTACACTTGTGTCACCACCAAAGGCCAGTTAAATTGAATTTCACTAGTGCAAGCGCCCTTCTTCAATAAGCACTAGAGAAATGAATAGGTCAAATGTCATAAAAAACGGTAGGCTGTACTGTACTATTCAGTGATGTGCTCATTGTTAATGCTGTGATGTGATTGGAACAATTCAAATGCAATCATAGTACACAACAAATTGCTTGTGTGTACTTTTTCCTCTGGGATTACTGCAACTTCTGTTAGGCTGCAAAACACAAATGAACAGTGATAAACACGCCAAAGTACCACCTGTAGGCAAGTGTGGAAACGCTGATCAACCAAATTCTGCCTTGAGTTGGGGTGTTTACAAAAAGAATACTTAACAAGTCAGCAAATTACTATTTCTACAGTGTGCCATGATTGGCCTCATGCATCTGAGGTTGTCTGGCATTCTTTTTATTTAGCTGGGTTGTCAGAAGAAAAAACAATCATTCAGAGTGGAGGTTTCAGCACCAGCAGCAGTGGACAGCGAAACATCAGGCTGGGCTGATGAAAGGAGTCACTGGTGAATAGGTTTTTAAGGATCAACTGATTGATCTCATCGATCTGGCTTCTCTCCAATGCAGCAGTCGCGCGCAATGGTGCGCACACGTGCCCAAACAACAACTAGCCGCTCAACCAGCGCAGGAAGCCCAACCCAACACTCCCCAGGCGTGTGATACTGGATCATTGATACACAGCTGAGAAAATGTTGGCAGGATTTCATGAAGCAAGTCCGTTTCATGCTAATCACTTCTGTAGCTGAAATGTTTTGCATCAGTCTAAGCGATGTTATGGAAGTAGTTGCCAAGCAACCATATCAAGTTGCTGAGACAATTAGGACGAATCCTTAAATTATAACTAGTAAGAGACATTACTTGCTGAAATGTAAGACATAAAAAACATTAGACTTGGGCTCTATGTCATAATCTGTGATTTACTAAATCATTTACAGTGAAAGGTGACGCAAACGTAGAATAACGCACGCACAACTACGCCTTTGCGCGCAACAAGTAGCACTTTCTCTCCCTATTCAATATAATGTTCACGTAACTTAAAAAAAAACGATATTCAACGCATTGAACAATACTTCAAAATACTGACAATGATGATGATGATGATGATGATGATGATGATGATGATGATGATGATGATGATGATGATGCACCCCTTGGCAGGTTTTAATTTTTAGTGAGTCGTCACACCAAACAGCGTTATTTTCATTGAGGGTTCCCAATTCTAACATCCGTTTAAATTCAGTTTATTTCACTGGCAGACCATGTAATGACTATTTGATCAATCAAACTGCGTACATTGTCACCTCACCACCGTAAAACAAACAATCAGAAGGAGATCAGACAAAATGCTGTGCCAATCAGCACAACAAAAAAGTAAGACAATGTTCATGGAATAACAGTTGCTAACTTATTACACTTGGGTTTACCTTCGATACAGCAGATCCTCCACAGCCCGGAGTGAGTCAGGTCGCCTCTGACTTTTCTGGTTTGCACCTGGGAGTCGTCCGTGGTGGCATTAGTGGCGTTGCAGATGTACGCCCGGGAGTAAAGCCAGTAGTCGGTGCCAATGGCAATAGTCATGAGACTGAAGGCGGCGAAGGCGCCCACGATGGCCAGCAAAGTCTGAATCCCACGGTCACACCATGCCATGTCGTCTCATAATGTGTGGATCCTCCACAGCAGCTTACGCACTCGGCGAGGAGCGCACGGTGCCCATGATCATGGTGAGAGGAAGCGCTCGCGTCTCGCGGTTTCTCCTCTCATCAAGCAGAATCTCAACCATTAACTGCTCGATTTTTTTGCGCTCCTCTTCCTCCTAAACGTCAGTCGGAGTTTAATCCAAGTTTCCGAGTTTGACGCGATCGCATAATTCGTTGAATTCTTTCAAGTTGACTGGACTCCTTCAATACCTCCTACAGGTGTGAATAAAAAAAAAGGAAACGCATCCTTTGTAGAAGTGCACTTTAACGATCAATTTAAAGGAAATTCATAAGACCTATGCAACCACACACGACTATGCCTCTTTACTATTCAATATTAAACTGCACGGTTTAACAAAGGATGCAGCATCGTTCATCCAGACCACACCTTCCACGGCTGTAGCCCAGCCAATGGGAAACGGAGGCTTAAACAGCTGCTGGAAAAAGAAAATATCAGACTTACACTTAACATTTACAACGCAGTTTGTCTTTCACACTATTAAAAAATAATCAAGCAGTTCTACTAACCCACACACCAAAACACAAGCGCATACACACATAAACATGCAGCTCTGAAACTGGGTACCAAATGTTTTCCAAAACAACCAAAGGATGAAAACACCAACACTGACAGCAGAGCGAAGATTAGAGAGATGTGTGGCTGAACTACTGTAGCAGCAACTTAAAAGAAGTTGAAAGCATCACCACTGATGAAATATTTCTTAAAACATCGATCAAAACCACTGTGAAGTTAGAGCAGTCGGCTTGCAAGATCACCCAGATATTAAAAGTAGAAAAGTAAGACATAAATATGTACCACAACCGGAAAGTCATGCTCCTAAATGAATGTCTAAAGGGCCAGGCCTGTCACTTTAAACCCTGGCGTTTGGGGTCTCTTTCTGTTGAGTGATCATCTGTTTTACACTGACACACAGTGAGAGAGGCAACCCGGGAGCCTGCAGGGTTTGGCCGGGGCTGTAAATGTTTGTACTGTCCCATCTCTGTGAAAAGCAAGTGACAATATTGTATTTGGGCCACATTTTTTGGCTGTGATGCAGCAGAGGATTTAGCTCAAATTTTTTTTCAATTAATCTACCGATTATTATTCGTTTGGTCCATAGATATCAGCAAATAGTGACCATTTTACATCACAAGTTCCCAGAGCACTATTATTTTATGCAACCACCAGTCCAAAACCCCAACATTTATTACAATTAGACCAAGAAAGCGCTTATGCCACTTTTGATTAAAAAAAATCTTAAGTGATAAATTATCCAACCTAACCACAAAACAAATATCAGCATCAGGACCGAGACATTTCCCATCATCATCTAGTCGAGTTGAGTTTTGTGTAACCCATCTGCCCCACTTCATCTCAGCTGTGTCTGCGATTCTTCACTTCATGTATCATGGAGTTTGGCTTTCAAGTTAACTGTTCTTGGGCTAGTTTTGCATCCTGACAAGATGTGCCCGAGTGCTGCCATTTCTTTTAACACGTTGGCTTCTCAGCTAGCCTGTGAAAAGTGGCTTTAGTAATGAGAGCGCACAGGGGCCCCTGATAATGAGTTTTATTCTCATATTCTTTTCAACATCACTACTCCCTTCTACCATTCTCCCTGCTTAACTCGAGAGAGTGCTTTTGGCACAGCTTGCCATTCCACTCTGGTAATTGAAGTCTCCTCTGCCAGCTTCCTCTTTTCTCATAGTGTTTTCTTCTTCCATGCAGGTTTTGGCCAGTGCCAAGAGCGCCTCCTCTATGACCTCGCTGAACTGGTTTTACAATTATGTCAGTTTAAGTGTTGCTTAGTGTTTCTTAACTGCTTTTTTGTGCTTGTTTTTCTCCCAGTTTGAGTAGCTGCCACAGTCTGGCCTATCCAGTGAAAGAGATTAATGCTGCATGGCTGCCTGGTCTACAGCATAGAGTGAATGTGCCAATGTGCCAGGGCTATTTAGATAGGAAATCTGAGGACCTATTATGGAAGTAATTGGTTATTTTTTTTGAAATTATTTTGTCAAAATTCAGGCTGGTTTTGGCAAAAATTGTAGGCTGAAGGAAGGAGGAAGCCTTTGAATGTTTGTAAGGCAAATGAGTAAAAGAGGGACCAAGTAAGATGGGGATGGAAAAAAAGGAAATGAGAGAGGAAACATTAAAACTTTGGATATGCAAAGCAGATACAAACCAGCTGAATATGATGACAACTGTTCATTTTCATAAATATGACATTATGGTATATAATTTTAAGACTGCCATAAAAGGACAGAATTACAAAACAACTTATAGGTTTCTCTTGTGGAAAAAAGATGTGCAGGGTGGTGTCTGTTCAGTTAGCGACTGTAGTCAGTAACAAAGAATCCAGAGAATCTTCGATCAAAATATCAACATGCTTTGGAGAGAATTTTGAAAACACTTATGCGCCACAATTTTCTCAGTTTGCAGTGAATTTAGTAAAGGATCATAGCACAGTAATTACTAATAAAAGAAGTAATGTGCAGCTCCCTCACCAGAAAACATTCAGAATCAGAATCAGAATCAGAATCAGCTTTATTGTCCATGTATGCGTGCGCATACATGGAATTTGACTCCGGTTACACATTGCTCTCATCGTACATACATAGAATATACAAGAAGAGAAATATAAAAAACAAGGACATCAAAGACAACAAAGTAGAACAGAGAAACTAAGCATAAACATTTAACATTTAACTACTATGCACTTAAAATCATGCTTATGATTGTGGGTTTAAGACAATGACCGTGTTAAGATAATGACCGTGTTGTCTTGCTTGTCTTTTAGTATTGTTAGAGGTGAAGCAAAGACACATGGATGCTGGCTGCTGAAGTCAGCAGTGAGATGTTGTGTGTGGAGACAGCGCCTGGAGCAGAAGAGAGAGAGAGATAAAGAGCATATGAGATTGGGCTAAAAGAAAGCAAACGCAGACTGAGCCCTTAGGCTGCCAGAGGCTTGCTATGCTATTACAAGCAGTAGTTCACACCAGCAAATTTTGCTCCCCCCCTCCCCCATTTCTAACCGTGTCCGTGTCTAAGGTGTCCGTAGATAACGATGCTATTTGCACCCAATCGGGCACCCCTTGTAGCCTACTGTAATAATAATAATTACATTTTCTTTTTTAAATAATCAGTTAATAATAAGGGTAAAAAATAGGCTCCTCATAGGACTTAAATCCCAGTCACTTGGGTGGAAGTTTAGGATTTGACCCATTAATCGACCACAACCTCTCTACACATATGTTAAGCATATAAGCATATGTGCTTGCACAAATGTTTGTTGCATATTACCTGCTGGTCATGTGGTCATGGGTCCAAACTGCCAAACAGGAAATGAGAGCTTCCAATGGTACAGAGGGGGGTTGCATTGTTTTGAGGAATCGTCTTTTGTAAGTACTCTTGTTGTTACCATTGCATTGTCTTGCTTGATTATTGACTAACGTTGGTTCTTCTGTAGGAGGAGCTTCGTGTTGAAATGAAAGGGGTGGAAGCTCCTCAGGGGTAATGCATTAACGAAGTTGATGTTGTTTCATTTCAGCTGCAGACCTTTAGGCCCAATAGGCATGTGCCTAGACAAACTTTTCTTTTGTTGACTTGAAAAGTATATTTGTGTTTATTTTTTTCCAGCCTGTACTGCTTGGTGGTGTTATGTAAACTTCAAATAAAACAAATACTGGGCGAAGATTACTCCGTGTGTTGCCCTTCCACAACTCGGGCCAATCCTTGCTTCTGACAACAAACAAAAAAAGACAACATCCCCCGCTCATCTCCGACTCAGACCTTTATCACTAAAGCACATGCATAATGTCTGTGATCTTCCACATGCATTCTGAGCTACAGTGACATGCATGTCATATAGATATAAAACTACTAGATATAAAACCTCTGAAGAGAAGCTGTTAGTTTTCACTTCTCTTTATTCTTTCTCTGTCCCTTGAGCTTTAATGAATAAACACAGTGATTTATTCCAGTGTACAGCACAAAAAAACTATCTCAGTACTAGTGTTCTTTTGTTTTTTTTACCACCAATCAGTTAAAAGTGGAAGATGCACACAGACCCAATCATGGCCCAAATGAAAAAGACGAGTGTGTTTGCTGCTTGTTATCAACATCCATCATGGAATTGAGTCCTTGCTTGTTTTTCCTTAATTTTGTTCAAGTAACAGTAAAGCTACCTCCGTCTGTCTGATGGGTCTCTACTTTTTAAAAGATTTTAAAACACGATCTTTGGATTTGGGATTTTGGTGTAGTATTGGAGATGGACAAAAGAAAATGCACAACTCAGCTCACGAACAACACTATCAAAAAATATGGGCTAAAAAATGAGTGTGACATCAAAACCACTCAGACACAGCATTAAAACAGAGACTATCATATATATAATATAAATCCTTACAAGCTTGTTCGGGCTTTCAGAGATTGCCCGTATGTTTTTATTATTTGTCCATCTTAGCAGGAGAAGCAGCGGTCTTTCTGACTTCTTTGTGTCTCAAAGGAACTTTGGTTTGTTCTGGCCTCAGATTTAAAGCGCAGGGGGTTCGCAGTTGGAGTGAAACAGAACGCTCAATCACTAAAAGAAACAGAGCTAATCAGTCGCTTCGATGCAGTGTGAAATACACATGCATACAGTGCTATCGGAACATTTGAAGTCAAATCATTAATGAATCACCTTAACAAGGTAAGCACAGAACAGAGAGGCCATGACATAGTGGAAGTCCTGCGGGATGCAGTAAAAAGCCTCAACTGCCAGCATTAATGAGACGGCCTGACAAACAGACGAAGATTTGCCTTTTCCACAATCCGTCGGGGAAAAAACAGAAAACAGAGAGATGGAGAAAAGAGGATGAAAGACATACGAATACTGAGGGAAAAGGCGAGTGTGTGTGTGTGTGAGGGGGGGGGGGGGGGTCATGCATTATTCATGACCTTCCTTCCTTGGTTGAGTAGGGCTGCACTCATGGGAGTTACTGTATGTTTATATGATTTTGCCATTATAAAGGTCCTGTAGCTATAGCTCCTTGGCTTTCTCAAATTGATAGTTTTATAGAGTATCGGTGCATTAGTTGCATATTACAATGTTATCTATTTAGAATTTCTTTCAGCCCTGACCTTCCAGTCGGTAGATTCAACTAAATAATATGCCCTTAAGAATAAATCTGAAACTACGTGTATGGAGATTTTGCCTCACCAGACTGCCTTTAAACAATGGCCTTGAGCTAGTGGGTCCATCTGCACTTGATGATACAGACGCCGCACATCAAGTGGCGTCTGGCAGAGTGAGGGGGCAGGGCGAGAGAAGAGCAGAGGACTGACAAGGGTGCAAACTTGCCCTGAAGCGTGTTTACTAATTGAGCATAATGAATGTGATAGATATCTAAATATTGTTTGTTTACATACATAATTTATAACCACATGGCCAGTTTTCACAGATCCTTGCTTCCCTACACTCGCTACCTGTTGCTCTTAGAATTTATTTAAAGATATTATTGATTACGAACAGAGCCCTGAGAGCTCATCTATCAGGTCTCTTATTGCCTTATGTCCCTTCCTGCACCTTTAGATATTTCATTGTTCGTTGTTCCATGGTCCAGATTCTTACATGCTGTCAGGGCTACTAGACCATGGGATGACCTACCTGAGGAGATCCAGGCTGCAAACTCTGTCTCATCTTATGACTCTTTTAAAACCAACTTTTTAAAAGTGCTTTTCTTTTTTGGTTGTATTTGTGTTTTATGACAATTTAGTTAATTTTACTCTCTGTGTTTTTTCCTCCGTTTATATTGGAAAGCACTGCATGAGAGAGTTTTGAAAGGTGCTGTATAAATTAAGTTTTTATTTCTACTATTATTACTATATTTTTGTATGATTTTCTTTCAATGAACGGTGTGTAGAGGAACATCTTACCCACAGTGCACTCTGGGTGAGCCCTCTGGGTGAGATGCAGCAGTGAAGTGCTTACTCATTCAACCCTTTAAGGGTCAATCTCACCAAAGTCCCTTGAGGGTCCCTTGAGTGTACTGAAACAACACTTAAGACGGATAACACGTCTTTGTGTCTCCACAGACTTGACACTAGATGGAGCTGTTGTCAAAAAGTACTCGGCTACCTCTCATCACCAACAGAAGAGGGACAGAGGAATTTGTCCGATAATAAAACAAATTACTTTATTCCTTAAAACTAGAGCAGAACAGGGACAGATAACAGTTTAGATTAAAGAGTGCACCACTAAATGGGTATTAATTATCACCAACAGAGCACTTTGCAACACACGGTTTCAATGTTGGGGGGGTAATCAATTCGGGAAAGTGCCAGCTCATCGGGTCAATACATGAAACTGCTCACTCAGTTTGTGGGCACATCGGTACACGATGCAGATTAGCTCTTTCCATCCTGCGGACAGCCCCCGTTACAGCTCATTCACCCACTGCTGGGTTCACTGGCACTGTGTTAACTCTGCTGTCCATTTTACAGACAAGAGTAGTCGAAAAAACAAGCTCATTGTTTATCAAATCCCATTAACCTTTATTTCATTGAGTATACATATTCCATTGCACATTTAACATCATGAAAATGACTGATTGTAAAAATAAGAAATTTACATTTCATGTTTGACAATATTTTAAATTGAAGGAAGTATAACATTATGTAAAAGCTCACCTTCTCAATGTGATACAGGAGGCAAAGCAGCAGTTGCAGATTAATCTACCAAACAAAAAATACATATATTTTACATGTACATCCGCCTGTAAAACAATGAATCTATATACACACACTGGTGATTTCATATTTACAATAAACTAAATGAAAGTGGTCTATATACCATAAACAGAGTGAGCGTAGCTTGGCAGAGTTAGTGCTTATTAGTTCAGCTGTACGTCTGTCTGTTTATTTGAATTACTGCAGGTGGAATACCATGATCCAGTGTTGAAATGTTGCAATCCATTAAAAATATGTGGAGTTCACACCATGCAACATTAAATACTGACAATTATACTTTTAGTAATATATCAAACTAACATAAAAATATTGCGCAAGACAAAATGCTTTGTATTATATTTACTCACTCAGGTAATGCTGCATGAAATGTATATATTCAAAACGTAACGTGAAGCCACTTAACCTGGATACAACTTCTTTCTTGGCACACTAGGGATTGCAGTATATTCGTAAAAAAAGCATCCTAGAATATTCTGTTATAAGGGGGTAAATTAGAAAAATATTCAGCTATAATACGGGTTAATATATCTCTGTAGGAGAGGTATTTTACTATCAGCAGTGTTTCCTACAGCACATCTTGTATTCACGATGGCTCCACATTAAAATAACAACCCGACTCTTTTACATTTTCCATCAAAACCATCACCACACAATTCCATATTCTCCCCTTTGTCCTTATGTTATTTAAATGTATAATATATGTTTTTTTTAACTCCAATCTAATCAACACATACTGTGCTGCCCCGGTTTGGTTGAATATATTTTTTATCTTGAATTTATTAACTACGACTGTAAACAGGAATCATAGGTTCTCTGAGGATACATAAGGTTTACTTACATCTGTATTGTTTGAATTACAGATGTGAAGCAGTCCTGCATTGTCTTTAATAATCGGTTGTGAGAGCAAAAAATGCATTTTTGTGATGTGTTTTGTCTGTTTCCATTACTTTACAAGAATATACAATAATACACTCAAAGTTTATATATAACCATTAATATATTCAGATTTAGGCCTTTAAAATTAACGTTTCTCATTTGCTTGGACTAGCAGCCTATGACAAACCTTTCCTTTGGTGTCACTATTTACTGTAAACTGCTAAAAAGGACAAATGAAACAGCTGTGATGTGTCTGAGGACACAGTATAATGTGACAAAAAGCCGTTTTCTGCACCAACTCAGGAGTGAAAACAGACGTGAGTGTAACATGTGCACACACAAACAGCAGGTGCACGTGTACAATTTGTAGTAGAAAGGAGCCTTAACAATTTAAATTTGAACCAAATCAAAAACAAAAGTCTGCACCATTTGTGCAGTGATCATATGGTCAAATTGAGGAAATGTTTTGTGAACATCTAAGATTTATCATTCTAAGCATGTTGTCCCATCACCTCGTGATCAGTTTCCGCTCTGTGGCTGGAAGCACATGCTGTAGTGTTTGGTTTTGAAACGTGCAGACTCTGCATCCATTGCTCAAAGTTGCTTTCTAGTTCTAAATGCTCGTTTTCTGCAGTTGTGTGATGTGTACGCCCGTCAAAAAGCTATCGGGACTGTGGTAATACTACAAGCAAATATTGGGCGTGCTCACTCCAGGTTGAGGCTGGTTAAGTTACTCCTTTCAAATAACTTTGTGCTACCCTTGCTATTTCAGCAGGTTGATAGTCGCCCACCACTTAAAACTAGTGAAGAAGTACAACAGGGTTAAACCCTTTTCTCTTTCTCACAAAACGAGACTGAGCAGAGAATAAAGTGAAGTGGCCAACCCTCAACTTAAGTTTGGCTCCAAACAAAAGCAGAAAGTGTGAATAAACAAATCTGCAGTAGGGAGGGTAAAGATAATCAGCTCATAGTCAAGACACTTGAAGGGAGCGATTCAAACTGGATAATATTAAATTATCTGACAATTTGACTCCAAAATCCAGATAGATAAGTATGACCCTTACGGTGCTAACACAACCACTCAAACACCTCTTCTTCAGCACGGTGAGGAGGACATTTGTTCATACTCTGGACACTTGAGGAGAGCAGGGTAGTGGGAGGAGTTCATCTGGAGGGAGGCCTCAGAGGAGATGGCGGATGCACTGCGACCACGTCCGGCCCAGGCGTCTGGATGGAGGAACTGGCCGGAGTAATCTGAGCAGTTGCTGAGGCGAGGCTGGTAGAAGCCCTGACGGGGCCGGTACATTTCCTCTGCTGTGTAGCGCTTCATGAACAAGTACACCGACATGACACCTGCAGTCTGGGGGGAAAGAGACAATTTATTCTCTAAAAAAAACCTTCTTTTCACAAACCTGTCACTTTAAACCAAACACATAACAGCATTTTCAACCATTAAAATGAATCATTGAATCAAATGGCTTGCATAAACAAATTGCAGATTAGAGAATTGTACACTTATTTGATGATAAATAATTTCCCCCTTAAACCATCAAACAAAATCAACCCCCTAAAGTGAACACCTGAATCATGGCTTAGGGTTAGGGTGGATGTTAGAATTTGCTGCATCTGTGTGGATTTTTCTTGCTTCCTTCTTTTTCCTCCTGTTTTTTAAATGAGATCAATTTCATAATTTCACAAAAAAATAATAATGCACATTCAGTATTTTCAGTGTGATGTTGTATTAGGACTATTTCTCTCAACACAATACATTACAGTTGCTCACATCAGAAGGGATTTGGCCAAATTCAGATGCTTAAAGATGCATTTCTCACTCAGAGAAGACTGGTTTTATGTTTCTTAAGCTACTAATCGAAGGATAACTCAGAACATCTGTTCAATGCCTAAAGTGTTCCGTAAATGATGAACACAATGAGAGCTGTAAACTAGCAAAAGCAAAACATTAACATAATTATGTAAACATGAACTTTCACAAGCAACATCACAACATACAAAAAAAATTGACAGACAGATTAACAAAATCCTTCTACCCTGGGACCCTTATTAGAGAAAATCCATCTCAATGCATGCGTCCAGGCATCAAGCAGAAACAGGCACATGGCCTATTCAAAATGGTTTTTTTCATCCACACTTTTTTTCGTGAAGTTACCTCAGTGAGCAGGAAGGAGATGGCAGCAAAGGCAAATGACCAGCCGTACTGGTAGCTGAAGTAGGCCTCATTAGTTTTGGTTCTGTTCAACATTTCGTCATTAATGTTGGAGATGTACAACACCAGACCGACCACCAGAGAGAGACCTGAAGGAGGCAGAGACTATGTTTATTTAAAATACTTTTGCACTTCATTTATTTCAGTTCACCTTCTCACATGTAAATGTCTGTTGGTTTACTGATTTGGAGAGGTTGTGGGTAAAAGCCAAACCAAGTACCTGACAGGATGAAGAAAATTCCAGAAACAAAGGCCAGGATGGTGCGATGGGGTCGGATGTGTCCGATGTTACTGAGCACAAAGCCAATGAACATGAAGAAGAGGCTGACCAGAGGGAAGGGTGTGGAAGAACGGATCATCTCTGGAAGAACACAAGAAAAATGAATCAGTTTGTTTGGGAGTGAAGCAGTCGTTCGTCGTTGTTCATTTTTTTTGTGCAATGTCTTCGGTGACTTTGTGAAACTTTTAATGAAAGTTTTCGCTTCTGATGTTTTCCACTGAGGCTAGTCAAACTCGTAGAGGCAGCGTCTCATGGGTTTAGGACACGCTTCCTTATTCATATCAAGATGAAGCTGGACCTCCCTACTGTGAGCAAATGGTACAGTACCTCCCAGAGGAGAAGATTCTCTCCAGACCCCCATTGTGTTCTACATTACACCAAATGTTACCCTTCCAGCTAAGTGGACCAGATGTTTAAGGCCATAACCTTAACGGAACCGTTTATTCAATTAGTTTGGTAAAGTTCTTGCCTATTACAATGTACCTTAGATAACCAACATCACAAAAACTCTTTGAGGGAGTCTTTTTGGATTTGGAGTCTGAAACATGGGCAAATTCAGAAAAAAGCTTCAGTGTTTAGAGTTATAAATAATGCATAGAGTATGTACACTTCATTTTACCAGATCGCCTGGAAGAAAAAAAGACTTTACAGCAGTATTAACTTAAACCTTGTTTTTAGAAAGAAGCCAATTAACTCCTGTTATCACCGTCTGCCTAGATCCTAACTGCCTATATTTACTCCACTTCAGGGTGTTTGTTCTCACATGTACACATCCTCGCTCACGTCACTGCTTTCACATTCAAGTTCTTGTCACTTCTTTCTGCCTTCTTCACAAAAAATTCTCCTGTCTCCCACTTCTCTCTTTCTTATCTAAAACAGTACTTAACAAAAAGAAATCACCCCTTTGATAGATTTACATATTTCATTATTATCAAAAGTGTGTTATGCTAGTTTATCTTTGTCTTAATGTCTTACTTCTTTGACTTTAAAGACTATCGGCTGCAGTTTGAAGTCAAGAGTGATATGAGCAAGGACGTAGGTTTGCATATGACCGGTATGGACATGTCCCTACCAATATTTTGGGAGGACTGTATTGACCCTACAGGAGATTTTATTGGTGTCGGCAGATAATTTTGCGGAATTTCTTTCATAGTGTTATTTTTAACACTTTTGCCTGCAGTACACCTTTGAGCCACGTGAGGGAGCCTGAATGTTCATCTTGTTCTGATAATTGTAATCTATTTATAATTTTGAATCTTGTCTGAAAGGCGGGATTCCATTCTGTTAGCTTTACAGATGAGAGGAAAATTAAAGAATGATATTGCCTGTTAACTCTACCTAAACACATTTATTTGGTCTCATTTATATATATATATATATATATATAAATATATAGTATTGAATATGTATTTGTTTTCAATCAAAAATGCTTAAAACTAATTTGTGATTTATCAAAATAGCTGGTTTAGCCTTTCAAGATAATATATGATGTGGAAATGGCAGTCAAACTGGTCAGGAACGTTCAATTCCGTACAAATGTGCTCTTCTCATGGCTTATAGATAAGGCCTATTGTGAATCGGGACACGATGGCTGCTTAGAAAGAGTATGGGAAACACTGCACTAGTGTGACACAGGACTTAAAACAATTCCACTGTTGTTCTGAGTCTAGCAGGCAGAATGGAGTCACTTTCATGTATCAGAGTTTAGTGAATGGAAATATGATATAACACAAAACATACTGCATCAACTAAACAGAAGAGGTAAATAGTTAGTAATGAGCAGCTAAATGAAGCGAACACCTTAACAGCTTGTCCCTGCTTTACTTCATAGCTTGATAGTGCAAGTTGGCTTGAAGTGCCCCATCGGGCCTGCGATCGAGCAGCAGAGGTAACAACATGTTGAATTCAACCCTTCACGCTCCAACCACTGTGTCCCTAGTTGCCGCTCTAGTTCATAGCGAAACTTTTCGAACTATACACTGAGGGCCTGAACAGTTTGGTAGCATTGGCCGTATAACAGTGGAGTGTGAGCAGTTACTTACTCAGGACACTGACAGTGGAATCAGATGTCAGCTGGAGGTTAGTGGGCATCACATACTGTATGGTAAAACACCGGCCTTTCTCCTCCCCTGGAACAAAGGACAGGAAAACAAATATTAATCTTGAGCACTCAACACAACTGAATAAACGGTTGATTCACCCACTGTGACACAGAAGAGTCAAACACAGAAACACAGTACAGTATGCCAGCAGAATACAGATACGTCTTTTTTGTATGATGATAATGCCTATCTTGGTGAAAAGCTATGACTGTAAATCATAGAAGTTTCAGTCAGATTTATTTTCCTGGACAGACTTTGTGCGATGTCTGTGTTATAATTCCAGCTCGTTTCCTCTGTGAAACTGTTGATTGCCACTTACATTTTTTTTCTTTTAAACTCACAGCAATTTGCAAACGAACATGGAATCAAGAGCTGGTTTACATACAATTTCTGTGTCTGTATTTTCTCGAGGAACACCCAGCATTAGATTTTAGCACCTTTCCCTTCATCACTTTGACAAATATAGTACAAAGTCTAGCACCAAAAAACACTGACACAGTGTTTTGTGCATATGTGTGTCAGACACACATATGCACACTCTTGCAACTGATGTCTTTCTCACCACTTTTTTAACCCCACACACTATGAGGTGTTGGATTAAGTGAGATTTTGTGGTTTAGCATATAATTTACCTTTCATAATACATGCTATGTGTTTATCATGCATACTAGAACAATGCATGATAAGTGTTTGGGTCAGGCAAGGACAAAATATAAGTATATACGTTACATTCATCTTACTTAAACTATTAAGCATTATGGTGTTGCATTGATTACAGTGCATACTAATAATGAACACTGGTACATAGGTATTGATGGAGAATATAAAGAGTAAAACATGTAACTCTTGCCAGTTAGTCAAGTTCTAGAGGATCTGTCATTCGTGGAGTTGTTGTAGACAAGAGACTTGGAGAGTTTGTGAACATGCTTATTCATCATTAGGTAAAGCTTTATCAACTGTTTTTCTGTGTGTGTGTGTGTGTGTGTGTGTGTGTGTGTGTGTGTGTGTGTATGTATGTGTGCCAACATTTAGTAACAATACATCAATCATCAGATGAGATGAGTCACAATATGGGTGGTTTACCACCTCAGCTACACAGCTCCCTGTCAGAAACCTGGAATTTAAATCAATAGATGCTCCTAATGCAACATGACCAACATAGAGGAACGGTGACTGAGAGTGAAAATGAAACAGGAAGGGCAAGAACTGCCAGGGAGTGTGTAACAGATGTGTAAAGGGTATACAGGCAATCATGAGCCTGTCAACTCCTATCTCCTATCCATGAGCCTATCTCTCCCCATCTCTTGCTTTTTATTTCGTTTTTTTGCATTTAGTCAGCATTTAATGTGAATAAATGGAAAATATCCTCACAATACAAACCAGCCTATAATAAGCGTAATGGAAGGTGTCTATGGTTACCCTCCCCTGGGTTATTGAAACATCACTTAAAGGTGTGGATGGCATATTAACAGTCACGCTTGTCGAGCTTTCTGTTGTAGCGTGACGGTAAAGCTGCGTTGTTGTTTTTTTATTGTTATTATTTATTTAGCTCTAAAGAATGGCAACTGTAGTTCTCGGGACTCCAGTAACACTGCTATTCCAAACTTGCAATGAAAAACATTTTACAGTGAAATAGTTGTAAATACATTAAGATTTATGCAAATGCAATTTCAATATAGCTGTCAGGCAGCTACGGCAAAGCTAGACTTACTGTGTAGTTGTTTGAGGAGGAAACTATGCTTACAAAACTTACAAAGAAGAACTACTTTCAAGGGTGATATGCTAAAAATGAAATAAACAAGCTGAACTCAACTTATTTACTCAATACCATGGTTACTCTTCCTGCTACAAGTCTACAATACATAAGCAGTCCAGTGCCCTATATTGAAGAGGATTTACATCGCTGGCTGTAGAGATCCTCTACATGAACCGCTAACAGCCAACAAACACCCAATGAACTCAAACCAACATCAATATCAACCACAACACCATGCAACCTCATTCAAATTCTCCTGCATAGCGGCATACAATGATAGTGTGCAGTAACTGATTCTGGGTCTGATCAAAACAGTTACGCGGGCAATAAGGTCACTCAATTGCCCCTAAAACACACACACTGGACCATTAGTCCATTTATACTGCAGCAATGGCCTACTACGTGGCACAAAAATACCTAATTACAACTGGACTGCATACATTTTTTGCCTGAATGATTAATCCTAAAACAGGACAGAGTAGGGACAAGTTGTGGAACAGGACATAGTGGAAAAATTCAAGAGTAAATGGAATAATATTACAGGGTAACACATCAAATAGGGATATTTGCAAAACAAAAGCTTTCTCCATTTTCTAGGTCCAGCTTTCTAAAAGGCCCGAACAGAAATATAATTGAGTGTAATAAATGAGAGCAGACAACATCTACAGTACACATCCAACAAGAGTAAGACAGCATATTGATTTAGTTAACTGTTGCTATAACCAGAGGGAGCAAAGCTTAAGAGCAAAAGGTGATACCTGGTTTACTCTGGGGCAACATTAAGAAAATAATCAAATCTGACAGATAGTGTTTCTTTTCCAATCAAGAGCTCCAAGCATGCCTTTGTGATGTAGCGAGCTGGGGAGGAACAACGTTCTAAAAGGCCAAAAAGGCCAAAAGACGTTGAAGCATGCACTGTGGCAATACATTAGCTTCTCTAACTCTATGCGTCTTTCATGCTAAGTGCTATGGTGGAATAGAGATGCAGGTCAAAAAGAAGGAAAAATAAAATCCAGTCAATCCAAGGTGCCTTTGGTACTACGGAATAGAAGTCAGCCCCCGGGTTAATCACGAGGAAAGACATCTCTCAAAATCTTCTCAGCCCGAATAAAAATACCTTCAAAGATGCTCCCAGAATGCAGAATGAGAATATGAAAGGAAATGCACCGGTCCTATTTCTGCACAGAGGTTAAGCCAAAGTTAAACGATAAAAGCAAATTATATTGAAAACTTGACGTTGAGTCCCAGATTCACCAAAGCTTTGTGTAGGACAGAACTGACATGGTTAATGAGTTGTTAATCTAAACTACATGTACACTTTAATATCTTTCCGTATTTTCTTTATAAAAAGGTGGTGCTGCGGCATTACCATAAATATTGCATGCAATGTTTTCATGCGGAATGCCAGGCTAATCTTGCAGCAATCATGTCATCCAGAAGTTTGTTTGTTTGTGCCAGATGTTCCTTTGCACACATTTCTCTGTGGGAATCTTTAACTTAATTCTATACTTTGTACTTCGATGAAATTCTCTGTTTGGAACTAAATAGTCAGGTTGATTGTGGTGCTTACTTCATGGATAACTAAACAGAAATATGCTAAAGATCAGTATTTACCACTGATTACAATCAAATGACTCACTATCCAAATGGTCGTAAATCTCTGTCTCAGAGCAGAATCTGACTGAAATGAGATACACCTGGTTTACTTTGACTTGAAAAGTGAGGGACAGCAACATTTAATCATGTTTCAGACTTAATACCAACTCACCAGCCAAGAAGCAAACCCTCCAAAGGCCAGAGTGGAGGGACATGCGTACCTCGGTGCTCTGGTTGAGAGGAAGGATGACGCCCTCCTCCAGGTAGAGCCAGTAGTCGGTGCTGACAGCGATCCCCAACAGGCCCAGGGCGCAAACAGCGAACACGCTGCTCAGCAAAGTCAGCGCCTTCCTGCCACATAGGCTCATACCACGGCCTCAACAGCAGGGGGGTGCCGCCGGCAGAAAGGGGAGCTGGGTGACGGGGGAAGAAAGAAAAGATAGAGGGGAGCAAGTTATCATAAAACAGAACATTGAAAAAGTGGAGGAAACAAATGAGAAAAACATTTCAGAAAAATAAAACTTGTTTTTGAGTGCATGGCTTGTACTTGCTGTCCCCTAAAAGAAAGGCAAAAAGAAAAAAATAGACTAGAGTCACACTTTTCTTTAAAACAGAAGAAAAACCTTTACAATATGATCAATGCATGACCGTGTGATAATAGTTTCGGGGTGGTATGTGGGTTGCTGGATGGAGGGTTAATGTTTGATCTTAATTCAAGTTACAATGGAGATCTGCCACAGCTGACTCTAGTCAGAGATGAGTTGGAAATGAATGGAAAGTAATAATTGGGAATGTGATAATAAATAACCTTAACAAAAGGACTTTATTCCTCTTCGCTGAGAAAGAAATCTGGGAACGATCCCTCTCCTCCAAGTCTCTCATTAGAATTTGAATAACCACATTGTGCTGGGCCAAAGACTTAGTGGGGAAAAATATTATGTAAAGTTTTTCATTTAAATATGCACCAATAATGTTCAAAAGAGAATTGTAAGACTGCTTTTTCTACACTTTCTGCTATAATCACACAACTCATATCTCATATGAATCCACTTCTGCTCTGGTACATCTAGTGATGCAGAAGCAGCAGTGCAGATGGTGTACAGTATGTGTCAGCATATGAATGTGTGCGCTCGACACACAAAGCGATGGATCTGTTTCGTATGCTAGCTGATGCCAACGTTTGCCGGAAGCTGGAGTGCTGGGGAGTTTGGCATAGGATATGTGTCGAAAAGGAATTGATTTTACATAATGAGTTCTCAGTGGGCTGCCATATTGAGCACCCACTGGGAGACTGGAAAGATGGAGTGAATGTGTCAAGTTGTCATAAGATTCATGGCTTCTTTTTTTTTCTCTCCAAAGATCGACGACTGGATGTAAAGCCTCAGTAGAAAGAAGAAGTCGGGAGAGCTCCACACATCTGCCAGCTTGCAATGCAGAACCAGTGTATGATGGTTTCATTCTGGGCCACACCATGCAAATATATGGAATCATAAAATCTATGGGATGCCATAGAAAAAAAGACAAACGAGTCATCAAATTGTATCTGTATGGCTAAATTGTGTTCAATGTTTATATTCTGTGCAGGCTCCAGACCTCATTCCTCTAAGGAATGTAAAGCCAGTTGCCCTACTTCTTACATACAAAGGGAAATAAATCCAAGACGACTATTGTTGCAAGTCCAACACACACCATTAATAAGATGTGTATGTTCTTCACATGCACACAGTGCACAGTTATTTCTTTTTTATCTTGAATCCATTTCTCTTCTTCCTATGTTAGTGTTTATCCGTTTTGTCCCCGTTTGGTGAAACCCTTGTTTCAGAAGTTGAAATTAAAATGTATCTCTTTTAAAATTGGAAAACTTTTTAACCTGTGGAGATATGACTTAGTTTATCCTGGATGTGCATATGTATATAGGCGCCATCACACATGTTTTAAGATGTTATTACTCAGATAAGTAATATAAGTAATATAAGTATTATTAAGATAACCTGTGGCTAACAGGCCGAGGCATATTTGACCCCTTTAAATTACGATATGAGAGTTTGAGAGTTTGACAATAGCCTTGATCCAGAACATGCATGATTCATGACTACGGTCATACAGCCGGCAGAAAACAAAAGAAAAAAAAAGAACACAAACTCTAATCTATTTTTAGCTATAAATAAGTGTATTTTTTCCTGTCTCTTGAGACTGGACTGATGGTGATTGGAAGCAGTTGGGATGCATGTATAAGCAATCAGAGTTCACTTAAGCACAAAGGACCAGCATTAATGGCAAAGCACCATCGTTTACCCTCAGCAATTTTTGACAGTGGTGCAATCACTGCCCATTCATTTGCAATGTGCATGCTTCTATTTTCAGTCATTTAGCATCAAGCTACATCTTGAGGACAAGAGGCACGACTCTGGTCATCATTGATATTTATGTAACATTACCATTTTAATCTGAATTTAAATTTAAACTTGTGAATTGTTGTGTGTTATAAATCTAGTCATTGGAATAATGTTGCTGCAACATACAGCTGCTGTTCTGTGACCCATAGATCAAACAAATGCTGATTATTGTTGCAACAGTTGTTGCTAAAGGGTTTCAACAACAACTTTATTACATGGTTGAAGCCAGAATGGGTCAAGACAGCCTGACACCTAATAAATAAATACATATATTTATTGTCCAAAGCTAGAAATTAATCAAAACCAGATTCCCCCTTTATATCGACATCTAACGGTGCTTTCACATCTGCAGTTTGGTTCTTTTGGTCTGGACCAACATTGTACATGGTTGTATTTTAGTTATTTTCCAATTGTTTACACAGACTTTTTACAAACCAACCAAGTTAAGTAACCAGGAAGTCAAATAGACTGACAGGGAACTTGTTGATTGAACGATTTTGGTGGTTGTCATCTTTGTCATTGTCATGTTACTGACCACCTCCCTATCGTGGAAAGATGTGATCACTTTTGGACATTTCTTCAGTGCAGATCTCTGCCAGGTGTGTCTGGGGCAGGGCTTCAGAATAACTGTTTTCACCGTCCAGAAGTGTATCAAAAAATCTATTTTGCTAGCCCTGTAGAAAAAAGTCAAACAAGGATTAACATGCTTTATTAAAAAATAATTGCTGTTTCTTATTGTTTTACATGTAGTTTATGTAAAACACTATGTAATCAATAACAGCTATACACTTTTTGTTATCAAAGCACCTCACCAGTGTACTTCAGAACAGGAGTTCTTTCATCTCTAACAGAAGATGGGTAAAATCAAATGTAAAAACTGCATTTGTGTCTCCTAAATCGAAATACTTTTATCACCAAACTCTAGTCAATTGGAGTACTTCAGTACTTTTATTTACTTTAAATTTGTATTGTCACAACTGTCACAATGTCTTGTCACATTCAATTTCACTTTAATTACGCCTGGCCAACAGACCTTCATCCTTACTCGTCATTAGTTGCTGCTTGGGGACAGAAGCCGCAACCGCCATTATAACAATGCCAGTCTTTTGCCGAGTATTTTGATGCAGACGTTTTGTGCTTATTGTTGTGTAATGGTGGTTGTTAGGTTTAGGCAAAAGAAAAAAACACTTGGAAAAGACATCATGGTTTGGCTTAAAATAGCTTAAGTTATGTGAGTCAGTGGCGTAGCGGCACATGACACAAGACGTTCAATAAGTCACTCAACTTTTGGTTTCACACAGTGGACTTCTTGCTCTTTATACTATGTCCATTGCTCTGAGCTTCTAGAATGGCACTGACGGGTTGACAGTGGAGTTAGTTGAAAGCCTTGTGCGTCGGTATCAAGACGCTGAGGGGCAGAGTGCCCAAGCGCCGGTATTTGGCATCCTGGGAGTGAGACCAGGCAGGCCTAAAAATAAAACTAATTCTTACTTTTGACAAAGTTAAACACAAAAGGGTCACGTGTGTATTGCAGTTTCGTGATGAGAACCACACACACACACACACACACACACACACACACGCACACACACACACGCACACACGCATGAATACTAATAATTCTGCTCATTCTTCTGAGTAGGATGACTAAAGGATTATATAGAGTGACTGATCTCGGTTGAGAAAAAGGTTTTTATTATTATTGAGAAATGTTTCTCATTAAATGTTCAAAGACACCGTGACCAACAAAAGAGCCTTGTAGTCCCTCTCTGCCTGCAAAGGGATAGACAAAACACCCTCTCGCCTGCATAGACATCAGCATTTCCTTTTAACCTGTTTGGATCTGCAACCAGACTAGAGGCCCCTCCTCCCTAAACATGGTGATTCATTAAGCAGAAGCTTTGTTACGGTCATCCTCAGATGTGTTTCTCGTGTGCAAAAACAAAAACTACCTTAACCAAAAACTCAAAACTACAAAACTATCATCTCACATTTTTTTTACAGAATATTTAGAATATTCAATGTGTAAAAACATCTATCAAAAATGATTTGCCTTAAAAAGGATATAGTTTACATTTTCATCCATTATGATGTGATGCTGGACAAAGCCACTAGGGGTCTGGAGGCCACGCTGGAGCACACCACTGCTAGAGTAAAGTAGAGCGTTCCTCTTCCATCTACTTTGTTTACGTAGACCTAACCCCCTGTCATCCTTGATTTAATAAACAGCTCACTTCCAAAAATACCACAGGTTCTGAGTACAATAGAAAAAGAGTAACACAGATGTCTCCAGCCCTTTTCAACTGTTGTAGAGCAGCTGATGAAACACAGATGTCCAGGGCGCTTCACATCTGTAATCGGTCAAAAGAAGGCAGGAACATAGCTGACCCGTAATGTTACATTAAGTTTTAGATCGTATTTTTTGGGCAAAATGAATATAGAATATAAAGGCTTGTAGAATGCAATCAATGGCCTAAGAAAACACGTAAATTAGGCAACAAGCTAGAATGATTTCTCAGTGGTCTAATTTTGGAGATGCAGCAGCCCTCCCTTGAAGGCATGCCTACCAAAAATGAGAAAACGCAAATCTCTGCTGTAGGCCAGACGATTTACAACACATCATCTGGCAAACAGTGGAGCGAGGTGTTGGTGGTGGTGTGAGCTGTCGAGACAGAGGATGAAGTGAAAATTTGCGTGTCATATTCTCAGCTCTTCTCCACAGTGAAATCACAAGATCGAGGGCAAAAATCAGTCAACTTGCTGTTAAATGTTGCAACACATTTGCGTATTAACAGTTGAAACATCTGACCCCATGTAGAGAGTGTTCTCTTCCCCCTCGCCTGCAAGACACTAGAGCAGACTGCATTAAAATGCACTACGTCTGTAATGCCAGATGATCTTAATTTGATGGGGCAGCTCTGGTTATAGCCCAAGCCTTTCATGCTGTTCTAAAGGCAGTTTCCTTATGCGTTTCAGCAAATGGTTTCTGCTTTGAGCTGTCATCCCCTGCGTATTCCTTCATACAGTATCGTGATCAGAAAGTGTACAGAGAGCTTGTCACTCAGCTTGTTCTCTGCGTTTTAATATCTTCTGATGATCAGAGATAACCGTGAAGATGGAAGGCTGAACAAAAGGCTGTTTGCTTTACTTAAACTTTGTGTACATAATGGACAATTACTGGTTCCACGTAGGCATATTTGTAACAAAGATGACAGGCGGGTGTATTTAATCTAATAAAACATGAGTGAGTGGCACAGTAGTGATCTCTAAAAGGGTCGACAGACTCTGGCACAAAATAAACTGTGACCCGCAGCACTCACATCTATTTTTCCGTATTTGTTTTGAGAACAAGTCTCCCGTTTATAAGTGCTCGACTTGGCCCTGTCGCCAGGCAACACTATACAGAGGGGCCTCCGGAATTAGTCGAGCATGAATGGACTGATGAGCGAGTCCCAAAACAAGGCGTCCTATTTCTTAGTGCGTTTTTACATGCCGGAGCGGAGACAGAGGAAAACAACAGAAACATTGAGACAGAAAAACATGACAGAAGATTATAGAACAAAATATGTGAAGGACATATTACACGCAGTCATGCAGGCACACAAACGCAGAATAAAGATGTTGAAATGTGACCGGAAGATATACATTTTATATGCGCGTGTATGTTCTAATAGTTACATTCACTATAAATCATTGGTCTACATCCAGAATAAACTGCAATTCCTGTAAGACTCCCAGACTACCAGGGTCTGTGTGCAGTCACAGTGCTTTATATGTCCAATCTAAATTCAAACTAAAAAGCGGATCATTGTCACGCTTTCAAATTGAGCAACTCCCTCAGCTGTGATCACCAGAGAGCACCGTGTTTACTTTTTGAGGATATTCCCATCAGGACGTTCCTGTGAGTCTGAGCGATCACTGGAACCAGCGAGGCACAGTCGAGAGAGTGGGCGGAGGCTACAGGCAATGCTTTGTTTCCTGTGCTTAGTGAAAGATTGGTAAACTGTAAACCGTGGTGTTGCTGTTAACGAGGCAAAGGGTGGCGGGAAAAATTGAGGAAGAAGGCATTATTATAATGACAGGACCAATGGACACACGAAGACTTGTATGAAGTGGTTCAAGTCAGTAGTTGAGCTTTTGACAACACAGATAAGATTCTGCATGGAGATGAAAGCAATGCCTGCAACGGTCAAGTACAACATCTCACAGCAAGGTTTACATGTAGGTCAACAGACTTCCATTTTTATCATGTTTTAACCTTTTGAAGTTTTTGTTTTAAAACTGAAAGGTTTTTACAACAAAACGAAGCCAATTAGTACAAATGTAACTTTTTAAAGATTGAATTGAAACCACATGCAATGTTACAACACAAGTGGCGTTTCTCCATCGTTGAGTCACAGTCTGAACTACTTCAAAATAAAGTCCAGATATCATGCACAACCCATTAGCAACAAGTCAACAACAGCGCTCATCCGGAGAGGGTGAGAGTTGCCAGCATGTATTGAACTGTGAAACCGTTATTGTTCTGCAATTGCTGAACAATAATCCCCTGCAGCCCACACTAACTCTGTCTAAATTCTAGGTAGAACAGGATGTGTTTGGCTGGCTGACACACTGAGGACTGGATGTCAGCCAAGCAGGCCTGTGGGCTACCTATTTGTTGAGCCCTGTTTACCTCCAGATGACACCATAACTACCATAGTGTTGCAGTGGTAAAAAGGAAAGAAAGAACTTCCACTCACTGATATGATTACAGGGCATGCAGCCTCCTAAATAAGAAACATCTCCAGAAAAGCAAATCTATATATACGGATTATGAATAATACATAACATGTCGGTGACTATCTTCCCGCATCGAAGTATTTACGTCAATAGTTTTAATGCATAATTGTAGTTATCAGGCATCTGTGAAGTAGTGAGAGCGAGCCCTTTGTTACGCCTCCCGTTTAATCTTTGGCTCGAGCTCAAATCGCTGTCCGCGGTGCTGAAGCACTCGTCAGCTGAACAGTGAGTCAATAATGAACGTAGTCCATTGAGCGTGTTTTTACACAAGAATGCAGAGGGAGCGAACTCATTGAAAGCCCGTGTAGACACCGCTCTGTTGGCGCTGGAATATCCAAAGTGAATTGAAGCCTGAACGTATTTTCATTCGTTTTAGACATGTGGTAATTTGATTCCCAGCAGCTCTATTTTACTCCTCTTTCCGTTCTCTCTCATCTTAAACATAAGTATTTGTGTCACAAGACTTTTTTCTTTCTTCAAACTAAAGAGCATTATATCTCGAATAGCATATCCCGTGTGTTTATGAGTGAACTCCACTCTTCACATGGAAATGTGGGTAAAGTAAATGAATGCAAGTTAATAAAAGCTTCAACTTCTGATCAAGAGTGCAAAGGAAATGTCTATTTTTTACTAGTATGCAAACCAGCATGAAAAAACCCCAAACAAAGCATTCCGTGGTGTGTGAGAAACTACAACAGCGCGTTTCTCTGCACAAAATGTCGACTAGGACGCAAACGCACTTAAGAAAAAAACAGGGGAAACTATACATTACTTTCACGAAGAAGACTTGTCGAGGAATGCACCGTTCTCCCTCTTCTTTGGTCTTTCTCCTCTTGTTTCTCCCCGGTCAGTCAGTCCGTGTCGTCTCGGGTTTGGCGCGCGATAAGCCTTGTTGTGGCGGACGGGACTCGCGCCTACGTAGCTCACGCACCACTACTAACAGCGTAGCACGTGGCTCCCAACTCCAACTCTCTTGAGGTGTGCGGAGGACAGTGGGGAGATGCTGCGTGCGCGTGATGTGGTAATACTAGTTTGAATGAGGTCATGGCTGCAACCAAATACAACCCTGCCTAAATTCATACCGTTTCTGAAATGCACAACATATATTTTATGCAAAACTGAGCACAGGAAAAGTATAAGGTGTTTTTTACATGTCATTACAATGCAGTCTGACCATGACTTAGAAAATGTCACTGAGTCCTCCTAGTGCATGCTGGCTATAAACAAGGTTTTAAACACAAGCCAGGCTGTTAGAGTGAGCAACTTCCACCCCTGTTGATCAGGATCGGAGCCAGCACTACATACCAGGAACTTGGCTCAGAGCTCTGCTTTTTTTTCTGAATATCAATATACTGTACATAGAACAAATGGCATCAATTGGCCCACAATAACTAGAGAAACTCACTGACATAAAGGAGCCCTTTCTAGCGCACAGACAAAAAAAAGCCAAATGATTAAACAATACTGCATGGGGCCTGCATGTGATGTGCCCCTACATGAGACAACCATTCTCAACCTGGTAAATCAAAGCCATCACAAAACAATAAAACAAATACTTGAATTAACTAAGCAAATGTTTTAATCAACTAAAGTCGATCCTCCGTTTAAATGACAACATGTGACATAATCCCGAAACAAATGTTCAACTTAACTGATAAATAAAGGAGCTTTTCAGCTGACTGGTGCAGGAGTGAGTGGAGCTCCCTCACAGCTCCCAAAAATCCCTTTTCTGTGCAAAATTCTATTTTAATATCACAACATGTAGCCAACCTTCAATTGCTATAGTAACACAGCAAAGATGGCTGTGTTTACTTCAACAACAAAAATTGGGCTGCAGTAGGAAGACACAAAATAATGAGTGTTAACTTTGGTGAGAAGCCTTTTTGGCAGTCTTTGTATTTTATTTCCTCACATTCTTCCCTTATGTTTCTGCCCCCTTGGCTTCCCCATTGAGACACAAACTGTGGTTTCATTTGGATTTTGCATGCTGTGCCTTCAAAAACCGAAGGGAATAGTCTGCCAAAGAAAAGTAGCGTTCAACAGAATTGTTCAGTGGCTTTGGTTCCTTCTTTTGTATTGCCACTTCTTATTAATCGAATGTATATAGCATCTGGTTCACACTTCATGTGGAAACAGATGTGTTTAGTCTCTCACGTGTTTCCACATGCGGTCAGGAACCCTCTGTAACTGCACAAAACATTGCCTGGACAAATAAAAGCTGTAGCCTATCTATTTAATAAACAAAGCAACATTTCTGTTAAATGTGAGAGTTTCATGCTTTGGTCACAGATTGAAAGAGAGCCTGCGCTGCTGGCAGACTAAATTCCGCACAAACCGTCTCTGACCATATGGACATTCATTCAGTCATTTAGGAGCATCTGGTGGATCCAATGCGTGTGAGAACTGTATGATTAACCACCACATTCTGTTCCCGGAAGATCAGGAGCGAATGAAGAGGCAGCATGGCGTCAGCATGGCTCTGACTTGCCTTTCCACATAACCTCATTGACCTCACAGGAAGGCAATCAGGACCTTTCTCGTCCCATTTTGCATCAACTCACCTCTCTGAATAAACTTTTGCCTCAAGCATTTCATCATTTTATACTGCTTCAGCAAACGTATTCTCTCTTCTGCTTTTTTTCTCCAGTGCTTTGACAATCAAATATCAAGGCGAAGCAAGAGGAAGGCTTTAAATATTAAACTCCATAACCTGCCCATGGTATTGTTCTATTCACTGAACTTTCAAATATTCTTAGAGAGAGAGAGAGAGAGAGAGAGAGAGAGAGAGAGAGAGAGAGAGAATTGTGCAATTTAAGAACAAACAAATCCTTTTGTAAATCAGGGTCTCTTGTCTACAAGAATGATGACTCAATTTCGACACAATTCTGATTACAAGTACACTCGGACTATCATTTTTTTGTTTTTGTTTTACATCAAACATGAATCATTCATACAGCTTCTGTAAAACACCATGGCTTATAGTCATTATTCACACAGATGCTCATGTTTATCAGACTAACGGCAATGCATCTGTTTTACTTAAGGCCAGAACATCTCACACAGCAAGACAATTTGGTCGTATATGACTTCGCTCTTGCAATGCTTACAACAGCTGAAGAAACACTGAACATGTGTGTTCATGCATGTGTGTGTATTTGTCTAGTTGTGTAATAAGAGGCCGAATGAGAGAAACCAGTGGCCTGAAACATATAAGGGGTTAAACAAACGCTTGCACACCAGCTGGTTCCACAGCCAACACACTGCAGGACTTCCTTTAATCACATGGCAGCTGTGCATTGCCTGAAACACGTCAAAGAATAAACACGTGCTTGTTTGTTTTTTGCAGTAATTTTGTACAGTATGTGTCTGCATTGCAGTAACATTACAATTAAGGAGAGAGGAAATCCAGGTTTAAATCTAATTTACAAAGTTGTTTCAATTAAATACAATTGGACTGACAGAGACTTTTTCTGATGCATATTTTCTTATTTATTAAAGGGCCAGTGTGTCATATTTGGTGGCATCTAGTGGGGAGGTTGCATATTGCAACCAACTGAAACTTCAGAAAAGCACGGTGGCTGTCGCGAATACGTGAGAACGCAAATGACCCTATCTAGAGCCAGTGTTTAGTTTGTCCGTTCTGGGCTGCTATAGAAACTGCCAGCTCGGTGAAGCCGACATGCTCCTTATGTAAATATAGAGCGCTCACTCTCTGTCTTCTTCTTTGGTCTGTTCCCGTTAGAGGTTGCCACAGCGGATTATTTATTTCCATCTAGTTGGAAACCTGGTATTGAAATGTGATTTCATGATCTGTATATTTCATTTGGCATATGTTTTTTTACGCCGGATGCCTTACCTTGATTTGACAGGTCAATCCCACGTCGTTGTTTGGTCTGGGAGTTGTCTGTGTTATAGTCTTACGACTTCAACCCTCTCAGTGTGTTTTCACTTCATGAAAGGTATTAGTAATTTTTTTTGGTTGCCTAAAATAGTCTTATTCAGTGTACGGTTGTACTTAGCTCCACCGTCACGTCTGGTTGGAGAAATCCAGCATGGCGACGGCCAAAATGTTGAACTCAAGACTTCAAAACAGCAGTCCACAAACCAATATGTGACTAAGACGACTTCTTATATATAGTTTATAGTGCTAAACGTCCAGCAGAGCGGTCTGCCGATAGATTCCCCTAAATGCTACTGTTCCTTTAAGTCAAGTACGTATGGGCTCTCAGGGTTATTTGACTTTTAAGACAAGAAGAGCGAGGAGTACAAACCTCTTCTAATTATTCTAAGCCACCATTTAGTACATTGGCTACCTGGCAGGAAGGAGCAGCAATTATGGGCCCTTGTTTGAGAAAACATCAATAAGATTAAAGCTATCAAGTGAGTTGTGAAGAATCTTAAGTTATGTGTAGTGGCAAAAAAGCAACAGGATGCTGCCTATGAGAAAAATTAACAACAGATGTTACATTATAATCTATTGCTATAGGGAAGCACCGCATCGTCACGTCTGCATCTGTTTGCTTGTTAAGAAATGCTTCATCCCCTGTATGTTGTGGCAGGTATTTAGTGAGGAGACAATTGGGCTAAGCTCCTAAAAACTCAGTTTAGCCATTTGGGCTCCACATAAATCCTCCTCTTGCTTAAAAGGAAAGCCGCAGGTGTGCTCACAGCCTAATTCAGGGGAAATCTAGAAGCAATCTTGTCGTGTCAGTCAGGCAACCGGGCTGCGTTGCTCCTTCTTGTTGTGTAACGACTGCTACACTATTGTCTTCCATCACTAACACCGCTCTACCTTCACCAGGACTCGAGGTCAGCTAATGAAGAAGCCTGGAACATGCACAGAATCGAGCAAGAACCCCCACACAAACTCACACCTCTGCATATGTATAGCAAAACACACTCTCACATGCCCCCATACACATAGATCCAAGATCATAATGATGCAGAGAAACACCCACACATATGAAAGCTGAACTGGATGTACTGGTATGAGTAAAACTCGTGTCTACTACTGAACATAGTGCAACATAATAAAGGGAGGCTCAGCTCTCTTTGTTTTTGTGTTTGTGTGTGACAACATCTATCCATTTAATTAATAGCAATGTTTCTGCTACAGCAATGGTTGATTTACTGTGTAATAAAATCAAACTCCTGCCAGTGTATCTGCCAAGAAACTTTTGAATGAGGAAACCCGACATGTGTCAGTTGTCATCTCTGAAAATAGATCAACATGAACCTCCCCTGGTTGATCTGCACCGAACAGGAAAGCCACAAGATACAGTATGTTTTAACATAACATCATTTGCTGATTCATTTTAAAGTCACAAATGGCAAAAAAAAAGCACTCACTTGCTGAAGAATCTTTCTAATTTTCCTTTTTTTAATTTGCATTATCATACATTAGGTACAAATGACACAATCAATTACAAGGTAAGTAGCTCAGACTCATTTTAAAGGTTTCAGGCCGACAGGGGGAGAAAACAAACATACACCATTTGCAAAATACAATATAATTCTTTCTTTTTCAGTCTATGAAGGTATCTACTGTAAGTCATTTATGTACAAGGACAGGGATGCTGAGATAATAAAGGAACAAGACAGGAGAGCTAGAGACCATGTTGCTGTATGGGTTGAGGGATAAGGCATTCCCGCACATCATTGATCCTGTGCTCTGTACGGCCAAAAAGATGGCAGTTCACCTCAACTCTCTCATTTCACAGCAAACAGGACAAAGCGGAGCATAATGACTATAGCTACAAAGAAGAAAGACGTTATACAAGATTCATCTTAAGTAATCGGGAACCTAAAAGGAGAATTGTAAGAAATGCCAATTGAAAAAAAAACAAAACATCAAATCATACCAGACCTCTCTCTTAAAGCCTTCCATTAAAGATCAAATCTTCCCATTAAAAAGTTACTTCATTATCTGCTGGCCATCCTAATCAATTAAATTAATAACAAAAAGGTGAGGACATTAACAAAGTAAAACACCAAATACATTTGGCCAACTCCTTTCTCATGGTGCATTCGGGGAACGACCAGAGAGGAGGGAATGGTAGAATTCATACCAACTGTGTTGAGGGAGTATAGCAAAAAAAAAAAAAAAATGAACTGCTTTCCTGGCCTGATGGGATTTAAAGGGTGAGAAGAGGAGCACACTGTCGATAAGATGATGGATTGACTTGGCCCAGGCACTGAGGAATAGAGGAACAGGTGAAGTGAACGTGGGCGCACATGAGATGACGAAGGAGGGGCGGTTTAATACGACGAGGCACAGGGGTCGTCCCTCAAACAAGCCATGATCATCTATCCTGTCGTTCAATCAACTCAATCCAACCAATCGCCTGTTCATTCGCTCCCCGGAGACCATCCTTTGATATTGTCGATACATGTATTCAATAGCTCACTACATCAGTCATTAATAGGCACAGGGAGGTAAAGGTAAAAGCACGTAGACGTAGGAGGATCAGTCAAGTTGTAGTTTTATGGCTGTAAGGGTTATTGGCGTCAGTCAAGAAAATGTGCTTAAATTTCAGTTTTTCAGACCATTTGTTTGAACAAAGCATGCAAATACTTTTTTTTCCTTATTTACTTTTATTCACATTCATTCATTTGCAAGATATGCTGAAACACTAACATGGCTTAAGTAGAAACTGAACTAGGCTCATTTGACAGGGGATTAAAAATCCAGTAAGTGGAGTAAAGGTATGGCGTAAACATTGAGTAGAGTTTAGATCAGAGCAAGGAGATGAAGATTACGAAGAAGATGTACAGATATCTGTTCAAGTTGGGAAAGGCACACAAGGGAAGAGGAAGTCATCTTTTTTTTTTTTCATGCTCACACCGACTGTGGCTTTTTGAAAACATTATTTAAGTTTGGAAAGCAAGTACTCAGAGATTCTATTAAAGGGATAGATCTATTCAATCGGCACATACAGAGGTGCAAGAGAGGCTCAGGCAAGGGCAAGACTGTTGATGAGTAAACTCCGAGTCTGTACAAGGAATATTTCCCCCTCACTTCTGTGAAATTCACTGTGGTGTTAAATCAAATGCTCCACAAGTTGCAATGTTTCTCAGACACAATTCTGCCCAAGGCTAGAGAGGCAGGAGAACCTAGTACCGTGTATGATGAGTCGTTTATCAAACTGACCGGAATTGTAAAGCGTACTGACACAATGTGCACTGGTATACTCATGGCAGCATGCTATATGTTTGCAGTTGGTGTGGCTTCAGGCAGGTCTCAGCCCAGGGAGAAGCTGCCACAAAGAAGAAGTCATCCATGTGACTACAGCTAGTGCAACGCTGCTATTGTCGGGTTCTAGCAATCTCCAGGTTTGGCACATGCAAAAGGTTATATATATACACTATAGGAAACACGGTAGGAGACTCTTAGAAACACATGGAGAGAGAAAAAATGTACAAACATTTCAAAAGTTCCTATATCTCTGTCAGTCAGACAGGAGTTTTCTAATGTGATATATCATTTAAAACATTCCTGAATTTCTGAGCAGAAGCTGGAGAAATAAAAAACGACAACACGGACTGCGACAACAAACAGCAACAGCAAACAAACTAAAAGAGAAACTAACATTTTACAACGTGACAAGATGAAGATTATAACATAAACCACATTCATGAGACACTAAAGAGCGAGTGGTCCCACTGGTCTAGCAACGAGCAGTCACAGCTCAACCACTGATCTAGATTCAGTGTTCCACATCACCCTAAAAAAGGAAAAGGCAAAAGGAACCAGGGACCATAATGTACATATATCAAGCTTCTACAGAAAATACCACTAATCAGGACTATGTCTTAGGAAAGTCTTTTGAAAAGTAGCTTTAGTATTAGTATCTATTGAGATTAATAAACTGTAATAAACGTCTACTCCGTGTTCTTTAGCAATCTGTATTCTTTTGGCAAAATCACTGTTGTTCCCCACACACAGAGTACTAATCTGCCTGAGCATTAGGACTTTGGTGTTTCATTACTGTTGCAAGACTGCGTCATTGAAACTTGACTTATAATTTGTAGTTAGACAATCTTGCAATCGCCTCTAGCTGAGTCTAAGATCAGCACTCTTGAGTTACAGGACTGTGCTTTGTGACTGTGCCACATTCAATCTAGCCAATCTAGAGCTATGCTTACAGTGACACTCCACCTTAAATATATCTTCTGAGAATCAAATCAAAGGCTCGACCTTTATACTTTGTAGCATGCAGCCTTCAGCCGATCACGTGCATGAATGGTGCCTACCAACAGCATGCAGATACAGAGGGACGGTCAACAGCCAGACACATCTAATCAACACACAATTTGCAGTCAAAATTATTGAATATGAATAAAGAACATAAATGTGTTGATAAATCTGCCAAAACAAGTAGAACAGATACATTTCACAACTTGCTAAATCTGGACTCTATTAAAGACATCCAGCTGTTACAAACTTGATCTGTACTGGGTTACTTTCTTAGTCGTTTCATTTTTCTTTACGCATACAAATATTGGTTTATATAATTAATGTAACAAAAGCACATTCAGGTGTTGGTATAAAAACTGTAACTTTCTATACTCTTTTTAAATAACTCATGATTATTTACAAAGGAGTTACGTACTGGTAGTAGACACAATCAAATATTTATCTGATCTAATGGAAAAATAAGTACGAGATCGCCAAAAAGGAGGGGAGTTCAAAATGAATCTATTTTTAAAGACATTGAAAGAAATCTAAACAGATGCAAACAAATGATTTGACTACTGATGATTGTGCCGACATACTCCTAATGAAGGATGGGTTTGTTCTCAGGACAACAAAGCATTGTCAGAAGAAATGCTCCTATTGATTTGCAACTTCTGTATCTAAGAAAACAAACGTTTTTCATCTTCACAAGATACTGTATGCAGCATAACATTGGATGGTTAATACACAAGTATATCATGTTATATTAAAAAAAACAAAAAAAAAAACAGTTTATCAAAACGTCTTTACTGCTTCTGTTGAGACATTTATGACCAATTGTATTTATGGGCATAGCATGGGACAGTGACAGTGGTTAAAACATGACAAACTGTAAACATTTTAGCTTTGATTTTCTTTCCTACGGTAGATATTAGAATGTTCTGCCACTGCCCACGTACTAAAATGATTACTGTGTGTTCACATAGTGCCCACAAAATTATTAAGGGAAGAATACAATCTGCAGCTTAAGTAAAGGGCTAGAAAATAGGTGTGTGAAATGTCACTTTTAAAAGCAGGTAGGGTGATAACAGTTATGATAAGAAGCTAAGAATTGGAACCATCCCTGACACACTTTCATACCTACGTGTCTCACATATCAGCATTTTTACAGGCTGCATATCATCTAATTAACTGTTTTTTGAGTTGATTTGCTACTGGCTAGAATCAAATTGTACTAAAATAGAATTTTATACCGTCACCATGAAATCAAAGGGGAAGAAAACTGTAAACATGATGCAGGAAATTTTGATTCACGAGGTGCTGTTTCAACGCCTGCACCACCTGTCCTTCATATTTGGCCATCGTGTCTACACTGCCTTATGCCAGTGTTGTTTAGGTCATTACATAACTTCTGCATTGTGATAATTATGGAAACAAACTGTGACTCACCAACTGGATCTGTAGATCATAATGTTTATCCATTTGTAAGCATGAAACCCTTTCTCAGAATCAGTTAATCCATGCCTAAAATGGTATTGTAGCTGAATGCCCCTTTAATATTATCTTGCTTGTATCATATAAAGGCATAGATTCATTTATTCTCTAAATTTCATCATACGGTGGCGTAGATAAATAAAGCTTGACACCCTTCTGTCTGAGTGCCTTCAGTCGTGGTAACCCTTTGATACAAATGGCAGCGGTAAGGAAGGACATCCTGCTCATCATTACACTAAAGAAAACTATTATAATCTATCTACTCTATATATTGTACAGAGCAAATATGCATGCCCTAGAATGCTGCTTACAAATAAAACCAATACATAAAGGTTCATAGCGGGCCTAGATCAAGTTGTGGTCAGATGTCAGGTTGGCGGTTGCTTTAAGTGGGTGGCAGTGAGCAGGGAGGTTCTTCGGGGAGGTTTCCCCATCCTTCTCATAGGCTGATATTGAGCACCGGGTTTACAAACTGTGGGTTGATGAAAGAGAACCCTGCGAACTCGGCCTGGTCGATGTTGGCGATAACCAGCTCATCTGGCGGTGTGAGCTGCGGCTGAGTGCGTGTGAAGAACTTGTCAAAGTTCTCTGCTCCTTTGCCGCACTGTAGAAAAGAGAGAGAGAGAGACGGAGGAAAAGTTCAGACACAAGGTATGTAAAACAATATGAAGAGTGCAAGCTGGCCGACAAGACAGAACAGGAAGAGTGCTTGTGGCAGTTCTGTGAAGACAAAAGACATTCAGCAGAATTTGTTTTTTAACTTCTTGGAACTTTTCACAAATAAGCCCAGAGCACATCATCAACCATCAGCAATCACTACAATTGTCTTCACCATCCATATTACTCCATTAAATCACACTTGGCTGGGCAACAACACAATGTGCATGGACAATACAACAAGCAACACTTGTCTGAGTTCTCCCACATCAACCTGTTGATTAATTAAATTGCCCTCACCTTCCCCCCTGCCCCACATACAAATGAAGAACCTTTCACACTTGATCCCCCACTTTTCCTCCTGCTATCTGAAGTAGGAGGTTAACAACATCCGATTACGTGCTCTACATCTCATTCACCTGAATCGCGATGCACTCTTCTGAATACCAAAGCAATATCGGCACAGCGGTGGAACAGCAGTGCAGTAGCCAGCAAACAAGGTCCAGATTTGATTCTATGAATCAGGGCCTCCGGATGAAGGAGCACTTTAAAGAATGACTCGGCAAAGGAAGGTCATTAGCATGCTTGGGGACGTGAGAATGCATCTCATTTTGCTGATGTTGTGATATTCCCCCTGACTGCAAAAATATAAAAAATTACACTTAATATGTAGTTTAAAAGTGCATTACAAAAGATTCAGAGCATTACTATAGCAGCAAACAACTATTGTCCTGGTAAAGATAAAGTGGAGTAACGTCAACCTGAGGAGAGAATGAAGTCACTCTCCTTCTGTGCGTTTTGTAATCCGAGATTCTCACTTTTTAAGGCTTTACGCATGAATACTTCTGTCCATCACTTTACACTCTACACATTTTAGAGCCTGTAACACGGTGGCATCAACATAAAAATGCCTAGTTTCATGTCATCTAGATGTGATTTACCACATCACGACTCTCCAACTTAAGAGCTATAACTGGCTGGCTGACCTACAACGAGCATTAGTGTCTCTGTTGTTATCATTGTCATTGTCATTAGGTAACAGCAGAGAAAATAGATGACATAGTCTTTTCTGACATATTCTCCTGTCGTTACTGGAGAAGAAATGAGACAGCGTACAAGAGAAAGAGGGAGCGAGCAAGAAAGAGACAGGCTGTACATAACATCCTAATCTATCCTCATCAGTTAGTCCTCCTACACACCGGGCTTAACTAGAAGGATGCATGCATTCACGCTCACACACACACACACACACACAAACAAATACTTTAGGCTAAGACCCAGTGCACCACCGAATAAGCTTCCACATTCCCCTGGGAGCTACTCTGCAGCTGGCTGTAAGAATAATCGACTCTGTGAAGCCAAATGTCACTGGGCTTGAAAAGAAAGAACGGAAGATGGCAACTATGGCACCTTTGGCACTGTTGACACGGAAATAAACACTGGTGCATTTAACTCAAAGGGCTGTTCTGACTGCAAAGGCAATATTTCACCAAACATTACGTCAGAGTTTCGGGTACTATAAATATACAGTATGAAGCATTGAAAAGTAAGATACTGAAAAGGCAGCTTTTAGTTTTGCTTTTACCCAGTGATAGTTGCATAATGGCCACTCTAGAAATATAAATGAGGACTTGAAGGTTAATTAGTCTCCTGTATGAACTGTGACCGATAGATGTCCTGCTATACGTAAAACCCTCCTGGCATCTACTGACTCCTGCTTCACCCGTCATGTTTGCTTCTCCACAACAACGCGGCAGACAGAAATCTCCAACATCTAAACATCTCTTCCTTTTATGGATGATAAGTGCCATTACTTCTGACTGAACACCAGTGACTGCCCTTGACCACTCTCTTAGAGTGCACAGTAACTGACTGACTCTCACAGGTTTGGATCGAGTACAGGACCAGTATCCCCAGTGGGATTTATCCACACACAGCTGTGCCACCAGAAACCGCCACTAATGCGGCAAAATTCCACCGATCCACAGCTTGAGAGGATTTGCGTATGAAAAGGACATTCTTTATTGATGCCATTAGACATCACTTCTCCTTTATTTTCCAATCTGTTGTTATTGTTGCTATACGACCTGGCTTTGAAACTCTTGACTAACGTGTGACTAATTGGCCTTGTCCACTGCTGACCTACATTTACAGACAAGACATTGTTTTATATAAGCATCTGTGTGTGTGTGTGCATGTGTCAGTCTTTGTGTGTGTAGGAATGTCTGCCTGTGTTTGTCAGGCAAACACATTGTGGTATAAAAAGGAACAGGCATTTCTATTTCTATATTTCTTTTATATTTCATTGGTGAGGCCAGACAACACCAACACGTCAGGTGATTTAATGGAAGTGGACACAACAGACCATAAAAACATGGAGACACAGACATTTGTGTGTGAGTGAGTTTGTTTTTTTTACTATTGTCCCTGACAGGTGACGTCCACTCCAAACCACTACCAGCCCGTCTGAGTGAATAGAAGGCAGGACACACACTTCAAGATGTGCATTGTTTTCTCTCTGTTTCCCACACAGCAGATACCTGATGGATAATCGCCAGCATCCTTCAACTGCTGCGTCTTTCCGTCTTCTTGTCTTCTTCTATCCATCAAGGACCATCCGACGCTCAAGTGAAGCAACACATTTTTCACTCAGACCTCCACAGACGATTGCCAGCACCAGGATGTGCCTTTTTGCATCACAAAACAGATGCTCCTTGAGACAGCGAGTATTCAAGCAATGTTCCTACCAGTGTTTATTACAGCAAAGGATATGCAGGGAGGAGCTTTTCTGTTATTAATCTGACAGTGCTGAGTCTTTGGAAATATTTGACAAACAAGCTTCATTTATTTATATTTATTCATTCTGGTCTTTTTCCTTCTTTTTAACAGAAAGGATGTGAGCTTTAGCATGTTGTGTTTTCAAGTTAAGAATATTTGTTAGTGAAAGAGCTTCACATCACAAACACAGGACCTTGAAGAGAGTGAAACTATTTCATAAGAGCTGCTCTCATAAGATAAATGAAGCTCAAAAAAGATTAGCTCAACAAGAACAAAAGGAGAAAATTAGATTAAGCACCACGGTCCTGAAAATCGGCACCACTGCCTCTGTGATTTCCAGAAGCATGCCCTTTTGGAGAAGCTCAGAGCTGGTGTCACATCTCCTATTTCTTATTGTGTGATTCAGCCAACCCTTATGGGGTGAGACCAAAGCTATTATGCCATTATGATACATCCTCCCGTACACGGTGACATAGGGTCCTACATGGGTTTTTGACCTACTTTCTCTCATCTTTAATCTCTCTCTCTCTCTCTCTCTCTCTCTCTTTCTGTACACATGTAGACATGCACGTCTCTGCACTCAAGCATATAAAAAGAACACTCAGCTACTAAGGATGGTAAATAAGTGCCTGCCTCCAATAAGAGTTGTGCCATGTCTCTCTCTCTCTCTCTCCCTCCTTCCCTCCCTGAAGTCACTGGCATCGGTTCTCCTTATAATCTCCCAAAAATCTTGCTTTGCTTTGGTGAATTGTTAGCGTGTCGTTAGAAGTGAACTGTTTATGGATGGGCATCAGTTATTTGAACTGAACAAATAGTTTATGATCATTTAACAGAAACAAATATTCTTAATCTAAATGCAAGTAACAAATGCAGTAATTTATTAAGAACTTCAGTTCCCAAAAATGTTACTGCCTTATTTCATGATGTGCAGTAATTCACATCTGGGGATTATTTGGTGCAGAAAGCTGTAGATTAAACCGGAGCCGTGCATTAACACTTGTGCTTTGTCTACGGTAAACACACTTTTACGTACGATTTGTTTTAACCCAATTTTACAATTATAAACTCCTGCAGCATCCACAAAGATGAAAACGACGGTTAAATCATATCGAAGGAGACAATGTAAACAAACCTCTAAGCAATTACAAATTAGGCCTTTCACACATCCACACTCTGTGTCTGTTGAGAAAATAACTGCAGATTTGAGTACATTTGTCAGAAAATACAAACTGTCATGAACTCAACTGAGAGAATAAATAACTAAATAGAAAAAATAAATACAGAAACAAAGCCAAAAACTTTAGCCGTAAACTAAAGGAGGAAAGGCAGACGTGCTCAGCTGTGTCTCTTCTTTTCATTTTCTTACGGCTACAGTGAGTCACAATTCATCCATATAGCCATCATTTTCTGTATGTGTGTGTTCATGTAGCCATCAGGCACGCGCATCCGTTGATTGGACACTGTTTCAAGACTTCTTTGCAGAAGTCTTTCCACTCTTTCTTGCCCCAGCTCCTTATCTTCATCGACTGCTCCCATCTCTATCAATCAGCAGCTTGATATTTGAGCTACATTCTCCATCTTTCTCTGCTGCCTTCAGCCATGAAGACCATCGGCCATCCACAAGAGGGCGTGGCCATCGAGTGCGTCGTACTCTAGTAATTGGCTGGCATTTCATTATGTGCTTGTTTTTGTTACCTGCAGTATAGACGGCTGCACAGTGACAACTATGAATATAGATCAACAATAACTGGGCCTGCACTGACACTCATTATACCACACACGCTGTCTTAAGCCCTGGGCCTATAAATACAGTTGGTTTGAATGTCTCAGCTGGGTGCAGTCAGTGGATTGATTGCAATTCCACAGCTGTCACAGGCGGATGAAGTGAGATTGAGCGGGGATGGGAGAAAGGAAAAGAGAAGAAGTGGATTAGAGTAGCTGGGTTAGACCTGGTGAGGGGTGAGAGGGAGGTGTATGAAGACAGCCGAGTGTGGTAATGGACTCAGAAACAGCACTGTATTACACGGCATAGTGAGATGGACATGATGGATCACTATAGAGCCGGTCATGGTGGTAATAGAGAGTGTTCAACAATGATTTTCTTACTCTCTCTCCACCTCTCTCTTCTTTCACTGTTGGCTGCATCGAAAACCAGACCCATGCAAGCATGCACTTCGCAAAAGGACATGCACGTTTGCATGCATCCACCTCCCTGCAACTTCAGCGTGGACACATAGACGAGCACAGAAGCTTTCCTTTCTCCCTCCGATATTGATTACTCCCCCCCCAAACCCCACCCCATACACACACACACACACATATGCATAAAATAGACACAGTGGCGAGGCGTGCATGCAAGGAAATCTTCCTCTTCTGCTTTTCTCAATCTCTGTCAACCTTCACCTTCTTTAACCGTCCCACACACATACTTTTACCCACACATATACACACAAAGCACACTCAGCATTTCCAGGACACCCAGCACGTCCACTCAGCGGCAGACTACACGGACAAAGAGGTCAGGATTCACCTTATTAGAGGAACTGGAGCCCTTGAGGGTTGAAACAGAAGAGAACTACAATATTTAAACTGAATGTGTAAAGGACACACACACACGCACACACACACATAAGACACTCGGTGACCTACTTCATCTCTGTTGCCACCTGTTTCTGTTTTTTAAGAAACACGGTCTACATTTACTTTGCATGATTCTGTGCATGTGTGTGTGTGTATATATATATATATATATATGTGTGTGTGTGTGCTCTACATGATCATGTGTAATATCAAGGGATTTCAAAACTACTCCTTACTGTGCAGCAAAATGTGAGCTATATGAGATATCCTTTCATAATACATGTGTGTTGCATTAATTATGAATTCAGATGAGAGTCTTTGAAATTACGTACGGCCCATATAACACATGCAACTGCAGCTGTGTTTTGACTTATCCAAAGAGTGTCACGTCAAGGCCGTATTATACTCCACATCAGTCTGACTTCAGTTTAAGTTTCATGTAACGTTTCTATTTATTTAGCAAAGCCCCGAATTTATTTATATTTACCGCAGATTATATAATGTTTCCACAAAAGCACATAATGCTGATGCAGTCCCGACTCTGGTTTTGCTGTCAGTGTGGAATCACTTCAGTGTTTGACTCGGAGCAGGCAGTGGACTACACTGATGGTAGAACCTCCTCCTTGTGTCTTATAGTCTTTACATACATCCTCGGAACTGTCAGCGAATTTTAAAGGGAATGTTACAAAGGACTCCAGTCAGATTACATCAGCTATCTCGACACGATATGAATAATATTCTGTATTATACAGTGGCCTTCATATGGTGAGTGCCAACAACTCGTCTATGACATATGTGCTGGGAGATGTGTGATACTTATGCTGTGATTATATTGTACTGTAGCCTCACAGAAGCCCCAGATAGACTACTGTACAGCGAACAGTTCTTGGTGTTTACTGCCTCTTGACCCCATCACCCTGCACAGGGTGATCCATTACAGCAAAGGAATGAATGGATGGTTGTCAGACATCAAAGGCAACGATAAAGCCTGGCTAAATGTTTGTGTATGTAATTACAGTAAATCAAACGTTGATGAACCACCAAAAGCAAAGAAACGTTTCCGTGAAAGAGTTTACAATACCACGTCCTAATGTCCACAATTAAACACTGCTAGCAGTTGTCTTTTTTGTGTCTAACTCAGTGAATACTTTGTTGAGGCTGAGTGAAGCTCTCACTAAATAAAAAAATATATATAATTAATTTATTAAAGGAATCACCTAAATTACAAAAGAGATGTGTCCCCACTTACCTCTATGCAGATAACTAGGCATGGTGACTGATTTAAGCTGTACTTTCACAGCTACAGAATTACAAACTACAACCATGAGACAAACCATCGTTGCTCTTTTGTCTTCTTTTTCACAAGAACTTTCACCCGTTATCACATTTTAGGTAGATCTTCCTAGAAGTATGAATGCAGATGCATTTTTGAATAGACCAGAGGGTATGTTCTAGTTCAGTGGGTTCAAAAGGTCCATGCCTAGTACTGTATATGACATTATGGTCTGAAATACCCTCTCTTAATTAACTTTGTCCTCTCCTGAATTTTCCCACTACGTATGTAAATTGTCAACTCCAACTGGACACAAAAAAATGGTGGAAAATGAAATTCTTTAGCTGCTATTATCTTCAGGAAGATCATGAGATGTGTCCGTGAGGGGGTGTGCACCACCGTGTCCGTCCACGGCTAATCTCGCATTCAACTTTATACACTTTATATTTTGAGTGGCCAGTTACGGCTGCATGCTCAAGGACCTCTCGTGGTTGCGGTGAATCACACTTTCTCAAAACACCTTATATTGCCTATTTTATACTACCATTGACTGCCTATGAACTCCCCACTTACTTACAGCCCCCCGGCTGGTAGGGGCCGTAAGTAATAACACAGCTGAGTGCGCTCCCTTTTAATGTTTTGGACGGGGTGTTTGTCTAACAACTAACAGCTAACGTAACAACCAATACTTACACTGCTGAATACATCGCCGCAACTGAGCCACAGCTACATCGGCAGACAGCTTGGTGAGCTTTATTTTGTCTTTGCCAAGATTGTATGACGCATCTTTTACGAGAACTTCGAGCCGACTACTTGCATTCATCGCTACTAGTTTTTGAGTTTGAATAAAGTGTGGTTTACGATGGTTTACAGCCCATTAGTGTCTGGACAGGGGGTTAGCCAGTTGTATTCATTCAATCAAACGTTATAGCAGTGGGCAGTGCAGAGAGGCAGAGAGGGAGGGAGGGAGGGAGGGATGGAGGGATGGAGGGAGGGGACGACCTGCAGTTTTGTGTTAATTTGCTTTCACTGCAATTAAATGTGTACATACAAACTTTTCAAAATATTCCATGCTATGCTTAAGTATTCTGGACACATGACCACTTTAAGTTTAAGAATATTAAGATTAAGTATTTCCTGGAGTGATAAAGTGAGTTTTAAGTACACTGAAGGAGATTGGATGAAACCTTAATGAAAACCTTGAGGAAAGGGATCAGACCCACCATAAAATGTGGCATGCGTAGATAATGTGTGTGTTGTGTGTGTGTGTGTGTGTGTGTGTGCGCGTGCACTTCAGATAAGCCCTTAAAGTCCAACCAAGTCCATCCATTACAAACAAGGACAGGAATATTTTGGTATAAATGTAATTTAAAGAAAATTATTGATTCTCCAAAAGTTGCTGTTTAACACATTATATAACTTGCAAATGATTTTGTGTGGATTGCTGCTTTATGCACCATCTGTTTGATTCTATTTAGACACTGTTTAGTTACACAATGCACAAAGAATACCTAATACTGCACTTTAGGTGCAAGATGTTTTAACTATTTTATGAACTATAGTCATCATGTGTGAATATACATTCATACTGTGGTCAATACTTAGTGTCGTCAAACTTAAAAGATAAATGAATAGAATACTCTCAATCACTAAGAGGTCAAAAACACTAACTGTACTTCACGACAGTAACTTGAGACGTTTTGACTGATAACCTTTCCTGACAGTCAAGAACACATAATCCCCGAGGGATTCAAGAGGGGCATACAATGTCTTGCCATAACAGATTTGTCTTGTAGTGAATGTCACATCTGTACTTGTTTGTTTAGATGCATGCTGTTCAGAAAATTGTATTTGTTTACTTGATTACTTGTCGTATTTATCTGTATTGTGTTGGTGCATTTAACTCAATTTCACATCTTTTAGTCATTGCTTCCTCGACATGAAATTAAATGAAAATGGAATTTCTGTAGACATACAAGACCCGTGTCAAAAAAAGCTATTACATTGTGTGCTCATTTGGTGCATGGTGCAGTCACTTATTTTAGTGGCAGCAGACGTTGCTGTATTGAAAGTAGTCAGTACATCCAAATGCATAATACATGTTAAATGAATTTCCAGAAAATCTGCTCAAACATGTGAATTCTTGTGTGTTTTTAAACACTAATGTTATGTGAATATTAGGAGCTGGTGGTGCTAATTCTCCAGTGCAGTTCTATTTAATCGTTGCAGAAGAAGAGAAGGAAGAAGATGACGACGAAAAACAATGAATAAATAGTGGTGGAAATATGTTTTTTCTGTTTGTTCTGTGTATCAATTTGAGGAAGTTTACAGTCTCTTCTTCGGCCCAGGCTATGTTTCGTCTCTCCAGTGAAGGTTCAGTGGATTTCACAGTCACATGCTTCATGTACGTCCTGATTTATTTGCTAATGGGCTTTACACACTAGGGCCGTTTTTTTATGCGATTAATTCCTCATCTATATATTTCTTCAAACTGGCAATGTGCTGCACTTTCCACCATGCATATATATGAAAATAGAGCTCAAAGTATCAACATTCCCTTTGCGACGGGAACAGACAAGTGAAATGGTGATGGTGGTCTTATTTTAATGAAGGTTTGAGTCACTTGAGAGAGGCTACCAATCATCTTGACCGTGGTTACAGTAACCATACCAAGCTGTATCACACTTAATTAAGACTATGAAGTGTAAATGAAACCCGAAGCAAGTTCATTGCCTACTGTAAAAGTGCTTCCGCACAGTACTTACCACTTTGGGCTTGAAGGGCGGCTGTATCTCCCTGTTCTGGAGGCGTTCCCAGTCGATGCGTCTGAAGAAGGCGTGTTCTCTGATGTCCCTCTCACCCTCAGCGCCGCAGCCCAGACGCTTGGATGGGTGTTTGGTCATCAGCTGCTCAAAGTAAGGAAGAAAAATGGAGAGGACATGAAGTTAGAACAAAGAAACCTTAAATTGACATTCGGTGGTGATTTATCTTACACGGTGGAATGCATGATTCACAGAGCTTTTCATTGGTTTCCACAACTTTCTTTCTTCAATTTTCATATGTAAGTTTCACCTTCAGTCGTAGTCAGAGTCAAGAATACAGTTTTCAGATATTAACAGAAAAACACTGAAGATCAGCGTTTGGATTTATATCTCCAAAATGGTCAGTGTTAGTGCATCAGGAAAAGCCTCACTTTGTGTTTCCCCACTTCTGTGTTCTTTCACTGATGTGTTTTGTATCTGATACCACCTCTTTTCTCAGGCAGTAAGTGACAGCTTAACAGATAGGTCTGAAAAAGAGTGATGTGTCCCGATCCCACTGCTGCCACTTCCATTTGCACCGCAGACAACATGAGAATACAGTTTGCACTTTAAAAACAAAACAAGTTTAAAAAAAAGGAAACATTACAGACAACACAATCTGTACTTAGTAAATTATGTAGGAGCTTACTGGTATAACTTAAACTTAATTATCCAAACAGTGTCCAGAAGTACAAGTGATTGAAATGTTTGTTTGTCAAGCTTACAGTTGGAGAGCTTATATTTTCTTGCATAAACAGAACACAAGTTGGTCTGGAGGAGGATACAAGCAGGTCTATTTTAAATGCATTAAAGCAATTCCTACTCATAATGGAACATAATCGCTGACTGGCTGCTTGTTTTTCCTGAGTGTATGTATGAGAATTCACCAGTTCTCCTATTTACATAAATATTCTCGCATTAACACTCCTGCCTCTGTGCAGCGATTTGTCCTGATTGAATTGCAAAGTAAGGGAAGGAAGCCTTTGGAGATGGACAGAGAGAGAATGGTGGGTTCCAGTATTGACACTCCAAGGACAGAATGACTTGTTTATGCACTAGACTCGGAAATGGAAATGGTTTTGTTTGACCAAGCTAGTTTAAGTACTTGAATAAGGCTGGCTTGCACGCTCTGGTATTGTATGAAGCGTATGTTTTTTTAAATTGTATGAGCACATACATGCAAGCAAGCAAGCATGCATAGACAGACACACAAGCAATAATACGTATATACATACTATTTGCTTTGTGATGACATCTTTTTCTATTTTAAGATAATGGTTTGAGATTTTGGGAGATACAGGGATTAATTGTCTTGCCTTCTAGTTTAGAAGATTGATACCAACCTCATGCGTGCGTACGGTAAATAAATACACACCAGACGACACTCCACAGCCGCATCGCTAACATGGCTGCATTGTTTTTGTTTTTTAAGCAACTTTGGGCGTAGCTTTCCTGGCAGCTGAGGAGCTCAAAATCTCCTTGCTCTTTAGTAACTTTGTCAAATGCACAGAAAAAATGTGGGAAATAACCTCTTATAAAATCCATGCTCTCAATCATTCCTGCCGCCTAGCTCTGCTCTTATGCTCTCCCTCTAAAGTGCACAGTTCTGCTGTATTGATACAACAGAGGAGACATCTTTGTATTCAGGTAATGCATTGTATTACATGAATACAATATGGTGTTCTTTTTTGTATTCATCCCATCTATTCCACTATCCAAATCTAAATAAATTCCACTCTATAATTATAATCTTTGGGTAAACAGCCCAGCATTACTTTAGATGTCAGCTTGCAAGAAGTACTGTTAGTATGCAGAAAGTGCATGAGGATAGAAAAGTGTGCAGTTGCAGACAAATTAAATGAAAAAATAACACTGCACTGCTCGGTTTTCTGTTGTTTAACGTTTTGAAGGAAATATGATTTAAGAGATGCGAAGACATAAAATGACATGCTAAAATGGCTAAAATGGCTAACAAAGTGTTTCAGTGTTGAATATCTACTTGCAGGATTTTTGCAGGCCAGCTTTCCTGCAGCAAGCCCTTTGGACATACAGGCCGCGGGCTGGGCCACATCTGAACTAGCAGAGTGCATCCAGCAGCTGTTGACGAGGAAGAAAAAGTCATTTGCAGCTTCCTGTCCGTTCACACGACTGTCAACGGCTGTGAGAAAGCATCCTGCTGCAAACACGAGGCTGACGCACCTCACACACTGACATGTCCTTGAAACTGACTGACTGCTGGCCCGCCGCCATGTCAATCAAACGCTTGTTTTTAAACTTGAAACACTTTGCACTAGTGTGATAGATAATGGTCTCCTGAAGAAAAGTTAAATGTGGTGTTGACATTTCATGCAGAGCATTTGATCATTCTGTCTGCAGAAGTGCAAACTGTTGGCACTCATCACATAAACTGTCAGCGAAAGGCTTAGTTTCATGTGTTCACAAAGTGTGTACAGAACTTCGAAGTTACCCTGCTGAGAATATTAAGAGAATGAGAGTGGTGAAGTAAAAGAGAAAGCAGATGGGGTCTCTCAGTCAGCGGGGAGTCGGGTCAGGTAAAACTGAGTGATTCAGTACATCAAGGCTTTCTAAACGCACACGCCATTGTCCTTTAGAACCCAATTAGTTAATCTACCGGGGCAAAACATCTGATCAAAGACAAACCACAGTTGTGCAAAAACATTTCTTTGTTGACAATACAACAGGAACCTTTCTTACTCGTCAGATGCTTTTGCCACAGAGCTCCAGAGATTCATTCAATTCAATTAGTCAAGGGTGAAATGTTTCAAATCAAGGGTGAAATCTTCACTGATATTTTACCTCTACGTCACAATTTATACTCAAAACACGATTGTTGTGTGTGTGTCTGTCTCACTCTAATTCTCCTCCAGTGATTATACTGAACTGCAACAGCATTCGAATGGGCGACCTTTACGTAGCGTCCCATCACTTAGATGAATGTGTATCTACATCTGTGACCTATTTCAAATGCAGTGAACTGTACAGTATATACACTCTGGCTAAAAAGAGAGATATATGTATGGACATTTGCACAATAAAAGTCCACCAGCATACTTATGTACAACATACAACAGATTGTGTCCTTTTCATTAGTCTTGTCATGCTCGTCTAGAATTATCCATGGCTGTATTGGCATCAGTCTTCTGTCTAAACTCAGTTATTCTTTCTTTCTTCCTCTATTTATCTCCCACTAACCAGTCTTTCTTATTTCTCTTGGGGCTTTTCTTTCTTCTTCCCTCCCATCTCTCCCTTTCTCCCTCTTTTGTGTGTCAGGTTGCTGGCAAGCCCTATGTATCCATTAAGAGGAAGTGCTGCAGTCATGCCAAACAAGGGTTGAGACAGGGACTTGGGCCAAGACCAGTGTGTGCACGCACACACACGCACACACACACACACACACACATACAGCTAAGAAAATGAAAAGGATGGGAGAAGGAATGAGGAACGAGGGTGACAAAACAAGTGGAGTTGAGGAAGGGACAAGGAGACAAAGCGTGTTATTGCACTGCTCATTGAATTTGCACTGCCTCTGGACAGAAATAAAAACTGCCACTTTGACTATTAAATTACTGGCATCCACACACGTACACTAATGTGTGCTTTTGTGTAACCCTTGAGAGTCTTTCTGCCATTTAAAGGAAAGCGAGGTTTATATACACATGCTTTGTTATCCTAATTTCACTGCTTCTGTTACCAACAGTCTTAAAGTCTCTTCAAGGACTTCAAGCACTGCTACCAGGAAGTGAACCAGAGTCTCTGCTGCTACTAACATGAACCACATGAAGAATGTGTCAAAAGTAATTCTCATTATTCTATTAATCAAATAGTTCTCAGGCAAACGTCATGTCGTGACATTGTGACAGCTGTTAAATCCATTCATATTTTATATACACCCCCTATAGAATAACCATGTGTTGACATACTCATGTTTCTTCCTGCCTTCTCAGGAGTACATACAAAGTGGCAATGAAGGTCACACAAGCAGAGGTTAAAGTGCAGTTTTTCCTTTTTATTCTGTGAGGCTTTGAAATAGGGTTTCAATGAGTCCTAAAAAAAAATCGAAACACAGGAAGTTTTGTATGTTCCTTCCTCTTTCATTTGCTTCAGAAACATTACGCTGTTGCCATACAATTACTATTTGCCTGCTTGACTTGCACTGAACCACTGTACTAGTCCCCTTGGTCTCTGGACATCCAGCAGCCATGTATCCATGCTGGCAGAAACAGCTCTTAACACATCACAGGAGATCACTTTGATGCGAGGAAAAATGTCACCAACAAGGCCAGTGCTGGCAATAAATGCAAAAAGCATAAACTGTATTTTGAATTTGGCCATTAAGATCAGATAATTATATATACTGTAATCTCTATAAATAGACTTTGGTACCGGAAGTGTTCTGGTTTCTGTCTGTAGTCTGAGTAGTATTGCGCAATTAAATCAATTCTGGTAGAACCCTATATTTGAATAAAACAGTGGGATCTTTAGTCCAGAAACTGATCTGACTTAAGACAGCTCAGTCTGTTGGTGAGTAAAAGTGATGAGCCAAAAAGGGCTCAACAGTCAAAAATAGATAAATAATTGACATGATTGTTAAACTTGCTCGGGAGGGGTTTCCTTTTGACTGCCCATGTTTTCCATAGAGCCAGTGTGACTGACTAAAATCCAGTTTTTGGATTAGAATTATAAGTTATTATAACTACTGTATACTGAAGGTTTTATATGTTTAATACCATTTATTGTAGAACAACACACATTATTAAAATGTCTACAAAATATTTGCAATAAATGTTTAAAACACCAAGCTCATTGAGCTCCTTTGTAGAAGTATGTTGGATGACCTGATAGGTTCACTGCTTTAATAATGTAAATGTCACAGACACGAGAACTGAGCGGGAAATGGAGAGGGAACTTGTAGATGACTTTCCAGGCAATATTTAAAAAAGCCGACACGTCATTCTTACAGGAAATAGAGCTAGACTTCCCATATGTTAGAAAGTCTGCCTCCAGGAGGCTAAGAAAAGCCTGCCAGCAGTGTGTTATGCAGTCTGTCAGTTTTGAACTAGCAGGAAGGGCGTGTAGCCCTCTTACACAAAGAATTATTTTTGGCGTCAGTGAAGATCGTGAAAGACACAGAGCGTAAAATGCTGATTTAAAGGATTTTTAACCCAGGTGGGAAAAGCTTCAGGGGGAAAGAGTCCCAGCTAAACAGGACAAGAGACTGAATGGGGAGATTGGATATCAGTTTAAATCCATTTTGTGCAATATGTAAAACAAATTTGAAATAAATGTCCCCACTGACAGCAGGTACAAGGTTAACTGTTCATGAATCTCACCTATCATCTTGTTTATGGATTTTGCTTGAAAAAACTGGTTAATAAAGGAAAAATATGTATTCACTGATTATTCACTGAACATGCACTCACCCCTTTGCAGATGGAGACAGCTTCTTTGGACAGGGACTTGGGGTAGGACACGTTGTGCTCCATAATGGACTGGAACAACTCATCTTCATCCTCGCCGTCAAATGGAGGCTGGGGGTGAAAGGAGATAACACGAAGAGTGTTGATGGTGCTTTCATCCATCATCCCACAGTGGATGGATAAATTGTTGCTGTTCTCTCGACGATTCTTTTTACTGCTAAATCTAATGTGTAGAACCCACGGGGATCCAGCAGTGGTGCATTCGTGTTTTTTTTTGTCATTTGCGCCCTCTCTACATGACAGGTAAATTGACCAAATGAAGTGAAAAACTGTTTTCTCTAATGAATAAAGATGAAGAGGGCAGAAAGACAGGACACACATTTGACTAAATGGGTGCCAAGGATGAAGAATACAACAGAAGAAGAAAGACAGAGAGAGAACACTAAACCACATAGACACGAGAAAGAGAAAACAAGAAAGGGTGTAGAGATTGTGAGGACAAGTTTCACAGGAAGAGCTTGCAGGGCAAATGAAGTGGATGACCCAGCTTTCCCCCTGCTCACGGGGTGGTTATCATCAGTAACCATAATGTGGGTGTTTTGACAGTCCACAAAATGAATTATTCGTCATTTCCACTTCACTGGCCCCTTCGTGTCTGCGTCATGCCCTCTTTACCTGATTTCACACAAGGCAGGAAGGGACGGAGAAAAGGAACATCCGAATAGGTAAAAACTTCCAACACAATGTGGTTTTAGGTTGACGTTGAAACCTCTGTGTTTAGCACAGACTGCATAGTTATCATAAATAGCTAATGCTAGGCTAATCTGGAAGAGTACACATTGCTTCAATGTAACCGCCAAATAGAGATTAATCAGCGTTAGGCTAATGCTGTGCTAGTTAAACAAAAAACCCAAAGAAACAGTGGAAAAGGAAGCTTCCCAAATGGGTTAGAGGTACTGTAATATAAAGAAAAGAGAAAACTGAATCGCCTCAATTCGTGCACAAATACGGACACTTAAATGCATGCAGAGCCACATGCTGGAGGCTCAACAGTGACTAACGTAGCCTCGAGCCCTTATGTTAAGCATAGGTGAGGGCGGGCGACAGAGGTCTGGGAAGCTTCCAGCCCACGTAGAATTACAATCACAATCAAAGTCACACAGCCCAGCCAGTGTGAGCGAATCTTACGTCTGTTCAGCCAGACCTAACCTAAAAGACGGCAAAAGGTAACACCAAATAGCATATGTGTCCTATGTTTGGAAGGGGAGATTGGGGGGGTTGTGTGTGTACATGTCAATGTTTATTATTGGTGCTGGTGGGAGAGTCTTTAGGAAGCACCACCTGAGTACATTGAGGCCTGCGTAGAGCCTTGCTGCTAGGGAACTTGAATGTGGGAATAATGTGGGTGTGAGCAGTCTGTGAGCAAACTTGTGTCTGTGTAAAGCTGTCGGCATAATCTGCAGCAGGTAATTGCATAAGTAGTACAACGTGTATGCGTGTGCACCGCTCACCTGTCCTGCCAGCATTTCGTAGAGCAGAACTCCATATGCCCACCAGTCTACAGAGCGTCCATAGGGCTGATATGCAATGATCTGTGGAGGAAGGCAGAGAAAGGGATCAGAAGTTCAGCCTAACTTAAACAACTAACGTTTTAAATTCATCAGACAGCGTTGCAGTACAGTATCTACTAATCTGTTTACAAGTGAGAGAGTAGAAGAAATGTGCTGCCTGTCAGTTAAATGATACAATGCATATTTAAAATGAACTGGAACCCAATATGTTCTTCTTTCAGCTCAGGACACAAACAAAGGTATTTTCATCTCAATGTGACATCCAGGTTCACTTATGCTGACTGTGATCCATTTTTAATCCTATTTTATGGAAAAAAGAAGCAAAGTAGGTTACCACGTTCATATCGGCACACTATAGTAGCCGGCTAGCTGACTCAAAAATGCAGACATTTTCCAACCCACTGGTCTAAATCCGAACACACGCCAATCCCTCTGGATCTGTAGATTAAATATGCAGCTTGTCACATATCCTATAAATATGTCGGTACATTATTCATCCATGACAAATTTCACTACTTATGCTATATTCTGTTACCTCCGTCAGAACCGAACGTGCATATCATTAGATGGCAAAGATGTAATGCTCAACATTCGACTCTTTAATAAATCCAGGACGGGCCAATTTAAAAAGCTCCAGCAATAAACTCAATAGGCCTCTTCTCAGCATGTTTTTTGTTGTCGTTTTTTTTATTGTGAACAAATATTTTTGATTTTCAGGATACGACTTGGCAATACCAAAAAGCTAAATAATACGGGAATTAAAAACTCACCGATCATAGCTCTTCCTACAGTTTGACCCAGGCAAAGAATACACATTAAGTCAGGGTGTATCTAGGCACAAAGGATGGATGACCCCTGAATCACTTACATTTTAATCCCCTGCAACAACACTTTTGCCACGGTTGAGCAAAGAAGATAAGAAGCTAGAAATGTCTGACAAGAAGCGAGCATTTGGTGCGTAGGCAGGTAGTAGATAACAAAAAGACTCACTGAATATCAACACCAACAACTCTGAGCTACAAAAACAGTTCTCATAGGATGATGTTGCTGCTGCTGAAGCTAAAAAAACAGAGTTCTCACTTTTTTTCACACAAAAACAGGCTCAAGACGGGAGTAAACAACAGCGAAGGCAATATAAATGCAACTCTTACAGACAAGTGTTTGCATATTTGGAAGAGCTATCTTGACACACATTTTGTTTTGTTCTGGTTCTTTTGTCCAAATATTCTGAATACTGACAGCATTCTCTCTCTTGTCTGAGCTGGTGATTTTGACTTTTTGACATAAATGGTTTTGTTTCCTTTTCGAATGGTCAAGGACTCTCGTAAGAATGATTATTGATCTGGGTGATATAGATTCAGGGGATGAATTTGTCATGTCCAAATCCTGCTCATAAAGTAAAGCTACCACTGCAAAAAGTTATAATATCAAAGATCCCTAACCTCTTTAATGTCATTACTAATAAACGAGTAGTATAACATCCAAATGCCAACGACACAGAGAGAAACACACAAGCGTTAAACACACAGGAAGTGAAGAAAAGAGCACATAAATCTCCACTGGATATCCTAGGAATTAAGCTTCTCTCAACTGTGACATTTTGTCTGGGAACAAAAGGATTTCCCGTGGGGTTCTCTGACATTGGCCGGGGTTAATGATTTCACCCGCTTCCACCCTATTTACACCAGGCAGGAGACACACATACTGTCCACTTACACATCCAAGCATTTCTCTGAAGCCTCTATGTAACAACAATTGGTGCAGCCATGTGCAAATGTGCAATTCAGGCTCACATACAGTACATATATAGAGTACAGTGCTGAGTAACGTCTGACCTCTGCTGAATACATGCTGCCCTGGGACACTCCTCCAGCTTAGTAGCACACATATACCCACATATGGCCAACGTACTGTACACGAATACACCAAAACTCACATGCACACACACACACACACATGAAGCATACACACAAATGCACAGAGGTGTGTGAGAGCAGATCTGTCCTGTGGCGCTTTATAACCTTTGCTGCTTAACACTTGACTTCTGTCTCACCCATGGGAGCCCACAAACACACACAGAGGCGGCCAAACACCCCACATCTCTGCATTCCTCAAAGATGAGGGTTGCTTTACTTGTACTGCTTGGCTGCTGCCTGTCTGAGGCAAATGTGCTGGGACAGGGGTTCACTGCCATCACATATACTCGGGATGAGTCCGCTGAAGCAGACAGCTTCACTCTGCTCAGCGAGATGATGGCTGTGCTGGACGAACAGAGAAATGAGCTGCGACACACCAAAGAGCAACTGGTGCAACTTCAGAAACAACTGGGTATGTGAGGTAGCGTCGCTGTATGCAGCATCAGAACAAACAGCAAATATGGTATTGTTACTTACTATTTCATCTTCACAAAATGTGTGTACTTTTGTGTACAGTATAGATGTGCAGACAGTCGCTGACAGCACGATGGATAAGCTATATGGACACAGTTGGATAAACTGAAGAAAGGCTTCACAGGTGCATTACTTGTTTGTATCACATTATATACTGTATATATATATATAATCAATACCTGTGTAATCTTTCATCCATATATCAATAAGATAAAGAGTTTCTGTGTGTTGTTGAATTTCTGCCTTTCTATTGCATGATTTCCATTACGTAAAAAAGACCACGAGGCCAGGCTGAGAGTCGGTGAGATGCAGCAAGAGGAGGAGAAGAAGCAGGTGCAGCAAGTCGTGCGGCAGTACACAGGTCAGGTAACTTTATCCTCAACATGAAATATAAGCCGAGGTCTTTATTTTGAAATGCTTATAATCCCAATAGGACCTCTCGATGTTGTTAACAAATTGTTATTTCACTTTTTGAAATACAGCCAATCAAATTGACTCCCTGCTCTTTCTTCCACAATGCTGCAACCTGCATATGTACAGTGGTTAAAAATTCGAAATGCTTTCAACCAATCGTTTGATTTGTTTACTCTAACCATCATTCTCTCCTCCTCCCTGAACAGAGCTGGAGGCCAGGCTGAATGCCAGTGATCCGGAGGGCCAAAGCAAACGAGTGGAACAACTGCAGAAGGAAAGTAAAGGTACCACAACAAAGTCAATTATTAATGACCAGCAAAGTAGATCTCCTCCTCGTCTCAGCTCATCTCAGACTGCATGGTTGAAGTCATTCAGTATTTATTCCCTCATTTTGAACAAATAGAGTCGAAGGCCAGACCGACAGAACTCGAAAATAAGCTTGAAGACGGAGATTCAAGAGTGAAGGCACTGTAGGCTGCTGATCAAGGTAAATTAACTATTGTCTAGCTCTTTTTATGTTTAACCATTAACATTGTAACATTTTTGATTATCCCAGTGCCTTCTGTTTGACATTGTGTCATGAATCCAAACAGATATTGTACATCACAGTCTATATCCAATAAATCATGGTTTGAAAATGCAGCGGCGTATCAGTGTTGACCCTTACGAAACGTAAACGTCACGACAAATGTGCGTATCTGTTTAACATCCGCCTCACGTATTGATCCATCTGTGAATGTCTATGAGCTCCTAAAGATCACGTACACATGAAACAGAACAGCAATGAGAGTACTGTATAACCCAGAGTGACGGCACAGTATTAGAATGGCGCCCATGCCTTGGCATGAAAGCGAAACACGGTGCCCCAAGAAGGTGGGAAGTGCTGAAACTTAATCCTCGGCTTTCCTTGGTTCTTTGGTAGGAAAGACGGAAGACGCAGCTGAAAAGCCCACTACCTTTATCTTGCCTCAATGCTTTCTAATTAGCTCGAGAGTCAAAGACTCTGTGGTGAGGGAAACCTCTGGCTGAAATCTTAAGCTTGCCTGTTCAAATCCAGCTTTCTGCTGGAAGCACGCCGACCTTCAGCCTGGCCTGACAGCTGCAAATGAATACAGCTACGCCCTCTGAATATATGTGTGAGAAGGGACGACTCCTTTGTTAACTGAAACAACCTCACTGGGAAACATAAATACTTACCAGTTCTGGATCTCTCTACTCACCTCCAAACACATTGAACATGTCTTTAATGAGGAGAGTCCAATCGATTAACACTCTACTGGTTTGCTAAGAGGAAACGTTTTTACCATGACATGGTGAACCAGGCCAACGTTAGACAGCTCGTCATCGAGGACCTAATGTGGCACATTTGTCGTGGTGTGTCACTGAGATTAGACCTCACAGTCTCTGCTGTGGAAAGAAGCCCAATGAGGGAATTAAGGATGGAAAGCATGCAGCAAGGAGATCGACAGCCTTATGGCGGTTTGTATCATGGGTATGAAAACAGAGAGGAGAGATGGAAAGGGGCAGAGTGAAGGAGAGAGAGAGGAGGAAAGGGAAGGGAGCAGCTAAGGAGGAAAGTCCGATGTTGTGAAAAACAATGAGATCAGACACATTTCTTTCCCAACACTAACGACACTATATGTTTCAATTGTTTATTTATTATCAGGAAATACCAGCAAAATGAATGACATACATCAGCCTCCGCTGTTTCGTAAACCAAGATGGTGAACTTGACAAGCATTACCTGCTAAACATCTACAAGCGTAAATTGGCTTGTCTTGGTCATTAATGCTAGGAGAGAAAAGATCAAGACAGCGAGAAAAAGAGACGTCTATAGAATCCAGAAATAAAAAATGCTGTTATTTTACCTCTATCAGAGAGAGACATGAAAGTCAGAGGAGGGTGATAGAGTCGGATTTAGAGTCAGTGAAAGTAAAGCAAAAAACAGAAAAAGAAGAAAAAACAGAGAGGACAATTGGAGTTCAGCGACAAAAAAAGGAGAGTGCTTAGATCAGTTTCAGACCATCGTGCGCAGCGCTGCGTAATGTGACGCTGCTGTGACTTCCTGCCCTTGCCACCCATAGCCTGCCTGCAACAGCACCGGCGGACATTAACATGCACGGTGACCTTCGTGCTCTGAACCAGCGTGTTGAGTCTCCGGCTTTCCACTTATTTATTACATACAAAGATGTTTGTTTGCTTTTGCTGAATGCATGG